GTTTTTCATCTCTATAATTCTGTCATTTTTGAAAATGTTGCAGAAATGGAATTATATAGTATGTGACCTTTTGAGATTGGCTCCCCCCCTCCCCCCACTCAGCATAATGCCCCTGAAATTCATTAAAATTGTTGCATATATAAATAGTTATCCCTTTTTGTTGCTGAGTAGTATTCCATAGCATAGAGGTAGCATTGTATAACCATTTTTCTATGGAGGTATGTTTTGGTTGTTTCCAGTTTCGGACTATTACTGGTACACTTTAATGTGTACACCCTTAAATTGCCAGAAGTGTAACTGCTAGTAAGTACATATCTAGTTTTTAAAGAAATATCCATGCTATTTTCCAGAATGTTGGTACCACTCTCTTTTCCCACCCACAATGAATAAGTGATCCAGTTTCTCCACATCCTTATCAGAGTTCAGTGTTGTCACTACTTTTAATTTTAGCTGTTCGTATAGGTGTGGTGATAGCTCACTGTGGTCTTAATTGGCACTTCCCTAATGACTAGTGATGTTGAACATATTTTTGTAAAGACATGAAGTTTATAATTGGTTTCAGGGTTCCTTTTGGCAAATCATTTCACTCTCTCCAGCCCTCAATTTTTTTTTTTTCATCTGTAAAATGAGAAAATTTCACTATATCACCCCTAAACAACCCTCCAGCTATAACCACTAGATCCACCCTGGGTGAGTTTGTTTGCAAGGTGAGGAGCTTTTAATTTTCCCTTTGGGCACCAGCTATTCCCATCTGCCAAGCATTGACAAGCAATGAATCTTAGCCATGGCCTTCATTGACATTTCCATGAAATGTGTGACAACTCCCTACGGGCTTCATTTGGCCCTGAGGCCTTATTCAGCATTTAAGTCACATCATCAAAGGCTGAGCAAAAAGACTCGGGCTTTCAGGAATTTATAAGGGGCTTTATTGATTTTCTGATTCATTATAAAATTCTTATTCCTTTGTTCTCAAGGTTCACTACAGAGCAGGGTTTTGAGTAAGTGATACCTTACAATTTTCATCAAGCATCCACCGAGTGCCTACTGTGTGCTGACAGAGTGGTGCACTAGAAAGAGCACAGGCCATATATGGAGAGGAACTTGGGTTTGAATCATGCCTCTGCTACTTAGTAAGTAAATGTGACCTTGGCAAGACACACAACTTATCTGAACTTCAGCAACATGAAGGTAACACCTGCTGACAAAGTGTTATCAGGAATAGAGATAACCTATGTAGATGCCCAGTTCATAGTAAGCACTCCATAAATGGTAGCTATGATTACGTGGGACATAGGGAGGACATCCTGGAGAAAACCTAGAGGACAAGAGACATGACCTGTGCCACACCCGGTGCATTCCACCTACACGCACGCACACACACACCTCAGTTAATTTCTGCATTAACTAATGCTGGGAGACAGATAGCTGCAAACCTGGTTTTATAAAACGGAGGCTGAGAAGTTAAATAATTTAAGATCACCCTGATACTAAGTGAAGAAGATGGAATTCAAACTGTGTCCTTAAGGGGTTTATAGTCTAGCCAGAGAGATAAGCTGGGCAGAAATAGATAAGTACCAACGCAGAATGGCCAAGTGCCAATTGAATAGCAGAGCCAAAAAGCATTTGCCAGTTTAAAGAGGGAGTTCATTCTGAGGATTGGCCAACTGGGGAAAGCAAAAGGAAACAGGATTAGAACTTGCTCTGTCTCCCTGAATACCCTTGAGTTCCTAGATGTCACCATCACAACTGCTTGTTGGTCCTGGAAGCCCAGCCCAGCTGCTGCAGGGACAGAGGCAGCCCTCAGCTCTCCCAGTCCCCCCTTCTCATCCTCCTCCCATTCATTAATGGAATATTCATATGCAGGTCGTCCCATTTCACTCTGAAGTTTTATCCAACCTGTGTTTTTCAGCATTATCACAAAAGGTCACTGTCAGAGTGGTAATTCTTCTATTAACACAAAACCCAGGTCTATTTTATAGAAATATGTTCTAGATTATCTTTCTTGAAATCCTTTTCTATGATGTGAGCTTGAATTGCTTATAAGCGTATGTCTGGGCCATTTCTGAACTTGGTAATTTTCAAAACATCTCTTTTGGGCTCTATTGCCTATGTAGTCTAGCTCACAGTGGGTACTGCTGAAATTCATTTTGCCAATATACTGTGTATTGAGCGGTTCCTATGTGCCAGGCACTGGAACATAGAATGTATGTTCTATGAATGGCTGATTAACTAATGAAGGCCATAAGGATCTAATTTGAATATCAATATCCATGGCAGATTATTAGTAAATAAACTCTGCAGCATTAATGAAAATATAGTGTATACAGTGACATACAGAAAAACTCCCAATTCCTTGTGGCAGGAAACAATCCTTGACAATTTCATCATTGGGCGTATAAACACGTCATCATGTAGATGGACTTTGAGTCAGCAAAGCTGGGCAAATTCACACATCTTTGAAATTTGATCTTAATTTCATTTGCAAAGGCCTAAATTGGGTTAGAGCAGCTTGCCTTCTGTCTTCACCGGCTCCTCCTCGATCCTCTGGGATCAATGACTAATTCATTCTTTAAAAGTAAGGTAGAGGGCAGCCCAAAGACTCAGCCTCAGGGATTCCATCTGGTTTGCAACTTCCTGTGTGTAATGCACAGACTATGTATTTTAGCTGTTTTGTGAGTAACAGAGTACAGGCTTTAAGATCTTTTAAAGCATGTCAAAGGGTTCTATTCAGCAGCTGATGAGACTCCAAATGTTTTCCTTATTATTCCTAGCCCTCCAAGTTTCTCCAGAATTGTCACCGTTTAGTGTCTTTTCACGTTGTTCCCAAAATTCTCTATTTATGCTACTGTCATGTTGCTCAGAAAAAAAAATGGAGCTTTTATTCAGTTCGGGTAACACCTTAGATCCACACCGGTACACCTCAAAAAGGAAAAAAAAGCAAAGACTGCCTTTAGCTAGAAGTTGAATATCTCGTTTCTTTCTTGGTTTCACTTCCTTTTCCATTCTGGTGGCTTCCCATTTTGGTCTGTGGCCTCCTGTTCCCTCAATTTATTTTCCGTTTGAGAAGCTGTTTTCTCTAAAGCTGTTTTTCTTGATTGTTCTCACTCTCTGGACCTGTTTTGCTTCTTCAGAGGTCTGGCTGCTGCCGCGGCACTGGCCTCAGACCCAGCCTCTGCTTGCCAGGGATCCAGGCCAACCTGGCCTTCCACTCAGTCCCTCAGCTCCACTGTCCAGCTCCAACCGGCTCGGCTCAGAACCTTCTGGTCCCTAACATTCTCTCACACAAAACCCTGCCAAGGGACAAATGCAGAAGCTCCTGCCTAATGGGCTCGGCGAACATGGAATTCAGGGAAGGAGGGGGAGAGGAAAAAGTATACATGATCAGTCCTTAGAAGGAGCAGTTTCACATGCTCCTTAGGTCATTAATAATAACTGATGAAATTTGTATTTCAAGAACTGTAATGAATTAAAGACCCAAATGACAATAGGAAAAAAAATCCAGATTATATAACAGCTCTACAGACCTTACGAATGAAAAGATATCTGTTAGGTATCAGATTTGGGGCCCCCAAGATGACTTAGAACTCATACCTCAGCACCTCTTCTCGTAGCCTTTAAGAAAAATGGTGCTTTGAGTAAGAACCTTTGAATTCTGTCCTTATCCCTAATATGTGTGTGTGTGGGGGGGGGGGGGATGTGGAGGGGGCGGTGGAGTGTGGTTAGAATGTTTGGGATCCCTAATGTCACAGGCAAGGCAACGACAAGATAAAGTATTAAATAATGTTAATGCTGTAGAAACCTTGGAAGAGTTCAGACTAGTCTTTGGGACATTGATCCTGAGCTCTGGAATGTCTTGTGATCCTGAGTGGGATATTTCCCCTCTATGATTTCAGTTGTAAGATGACACTGTTCTTTTGCACCAGTACATGAGGCCTAGCTAATTAAAATACTATACTGGTTCATTCAAGAAGTATTTACTGGGTTCCTACTACATTCAAGGCATCGTGCAAAGAGACTGTGTAATATGACAAAAATTTAAAAATAGATAGCCATAAATAAACTCCATGATAGGATTATGTAAAACCTTTCAGATAATTTTAGCTCTTTGGATATACAAACAGGGCTTCCAGTTCCACTGTTTTGAATAAACTGACCTGTTTTTTTCCACTACTACCCCTCTCTTCCAAATCAATTCATTCATCTTAGTCTACTGCCAATTTCCATCTATTTTCTAATGGTATGACCAGAGCTGCCATGTAATGTTGTGCCCGGCACACCAAGGGGGCAAACAGGGCAGAAATCCATTCTATGTTTTGCTGATTAAGCCATGTCATCCAGCCTGGGTCAGTGTCCACCCAAAGGAACAATTCTCTAATTTGACAAATGCCCCCTATATGTATTAGCTGTGGCCCTGCTCATGTCCTCAGGTGGCTTACAAGCCAGACATAGAATAAATGGGCAGAGCTGTGTTGTGATCAAACAAGATTCATAACAAAGACACATCGGTTTTTGTTTTTTAATATATTTTTATTATTGACAGTATTACAGATATCTCCCATGTCCCCCTTTCCCTCACTCCTCCAATCCCTTACCGCCCCCCTTCCCCTCCCCCAGGTATAAAGACACATTTAATGGCATATATGGCGCTTATCTTCACTTATTTCTGTAAGTGGCCATATTTGGTGTCCTTTTTACTCAGCCAAGCCTACTGTGGGGAAGCAAAAAGAAAACTTGTTGGGGAAGGAGGCCACAGTGAAAGCCTTGGTGAGGTCCCCTGGAGCCACAATATGGGTTCCCCATGGTCTGAGTGTTTCCAGAAATCTTATGTCCAGGAGAGTCCAAGATCCTGGGACCTGAACTCATACTTAACTCACTGAAAAACATCAGCATCTTCCCTCTGGTAGATTTTGACCTTCTTACTGAGAATCAAAGATGACAGGTGAACAAGAGGCAAACAACAGTGAAGATTTTAGGGGTACAATAAGGCGGATCAAGGGGTGTTAATTCTCACAGTGGGGCTTTTATTTACTCTCAGTGGGTGGGGAATAAGCATGGAGAATAAGCATATTTATAAAGGTGAGTCAGGCCCATCTACAATAAGCCAGTAGAAAAAAGACAGAAATTGGATTGAACACTATTCTGATAAACATACTATCATTTTTATATTAAAAGGTTGCACTTGGGTATAGATCTTTGTAGTTCCACTGAAGGTGATAATATGTCTGATAATTATTGTCCTTACTCTCCCACAGAAGACAGAAAGAATGAGATCACTTCCATAATCAGACCATGCATATTTCCAAGATTCCAAGCTACCAGGCAGAGATGCCAGAAGAATGGGACACTTTGGCTTTCTCTCGGGCCAGGAAATACGTGAAGTGATCCGGCTATTCACAGGGCACTATAGAAACTCGCTGGCTGCTCTCAGGGGTGGTCCAAGGCTGTCTGTAGGGTCACAGTCATGGCACCCACGGTTCAAAGCTCTTGCATAATACATTCTCATGATGGAAGAAAAAGGCCACTTCATGATGTAGTGAGGTGCTCTTCACTGGTGGTATTCGAGTGGAGCCTGGATGCTCCAGTCAAAGGCACTAGAGAAGACATTGCTGGCCTTCATATGGAAGGATATCTCCAGCTCTGAGATTCTCTAATTTACTTGTAAATCATCGTTGACAGATGGGATGTAGGGTATTATTGTATCATGAGACAAGCAAAAGGTAGAGCCAAATGTGATAAAGGAGTCCATCAGAAGAGCTTGAAAGCTGACAGTCTTTTGGGAGCCAAAGAATGAAGAAACCTTTGTGGCTCCTGTCTTTCTGCCATAAATGTTCAGTCCTGTAACATCCATGTCTGTGGTGGGTGTGGTCAAGAGCTTTGAGCACTGGACTTGAGTCCATAGGGGGCAGAGGTGACCGTGGTTCCCAGAGGAGAGACAACTGGAAAAGAGCTGTCCCCAATTATTGATCTGGTGCAGGAAGGTAGATGACTTCATTTTTCTCTGAAAGAAAGACTTTTTAGTCAGATACGTGCATTTTTCCTTATAGCTCAAAAAAAGATTATGCAATGTTCAGCAAAATCTGAGAAGCTGCCATTGACATTTTTAGCCTGCTTTGTCAAGATTCTCTCAGTACTTGACAAATTTTAACTCAAATTCACACACTCCACAAGATAAAAAGCAGGAACTCAGTGTCTCATTCTTGAGACAGGTGTGTCATTGTAAAGCTTTTTTTAAATTTTCTTTTTTGTGTTGTTTTTTTGTTTGTTTGTTTTTTCTTTTTGCTTCAGCCATTCTTATTGCTTAGATTGAGATTAGTGCTGTACTTTGTAAAGAGAACAGAATGATCCACTAACTCTGAGCTGATTTTCTAATAAAAGGGGTTGTTTTTTACTTTGATCTAATAATATGCTTTATACCATAGCACTTGAATTGGGGTTGAAATCTGTGGTTATGAAGCAATACCAAAGTCCTGGCCCACACTGGGTTCAAACCCAAAATCCGGGACTCATCAATATTATGCTGTGATCAACCTGAGCATCTACTGAAATCGGGGGTGGGAGTAGTGTGGGGGGAGATGACCCTAAAATACAGTGGAAATCATGTCTGTCTTTCGCATTCCTATATCCCAGCATCCAGTACAGTTCCTGGAACATAGTAGGTATTTAATACATATATATGGAATGGTTTCCCCAAGGTATCAAGAACCTATATCCCTCCCATTTCTCCTTCCCCTCTGCCTTACCCCAATTCCCATTTTCCAAAGGTATCTACTTTTCAACATTTTATGTATTGAAAGATGAATTTAGAAGGAAAAGGAATTTCATATAATTGGGTCAGAAAATGTTTGTCAAAATGGGAAAACTTACTGATGTCTTGAAACAAAGGACAAAATAAAAAGTCAATAGTAATTAATAATAAGGATATAGTTTAGAAAAAGACAAATCAAGATCACTCTGTCTTCTCTGACCCAACTTCTGGGAGGACAGTTCACCTGGACAGAAGTTGTCCTACTCTGTTGATGTCAGGCATCACCTATGAAACAGACCACTCTCCTTGCAAGCATTATTCACGTGCGTGTTCCCAATATGGTGGGAGAGGTGTTCCTTCTGTGATCAGAAAGTGTGGACCAACTCACATCTAAATGGAGGGTAGAGTGGTAAGTGCAGAAAATAAAGTTTGTGGGGCTATGGGAGTGATAATCTGCAGCCCCTTGGACCCTTCCACATGCCTCTCACCTTGAGGCCTCCTTCTCCAGGCCAGGAAGCCAACTCCAGCCAGGATCATGGCGAGGACAATGGACCCAGAGACAGCTTTGACCACCAGAAGGATAGCTTCTGACCCTAAAAGCAAGCATATGGGGGGAATTCCACAAGTCCTTCTCCCGCTCTGTATTAACTTTTGGGCACTTTTGTCCCTGTGATCATCGGGAAGCCCAACACCATTTTTCTTACTCCTGCTTCTCACTTCACGGATCCATGCAGGGCAGTCATCTAAAACAGGGGGACAGTAGCTCTCAAAGTGGGGTCTGAATGCCCCGGGGTCTTCAAGCAAGACCCTTCAGAGAGTCCACGAGGTCTAAGTCATGACTTCCCTTTCCTTATCTCTCACATGTGCACAGTGGGGCTTTCCAGAGGCTACATCACATGTGAGGACACCATCGCTCTGATAGCTCATGAAATGTGTACTCGTATTTTCTTGAGTTTAAATGTTAAAATTTTTAATATAGTTAGTAGCAATAGAGAAAACCCACATAAATAAAAGCTCTTTGGGATCCTCAGTTTTTAAGAACACAAGGAATCCCTGAGACCAAAAGGTGAGAGAGCCTCTGATTTAAAAGACGCATTCTAAAGCATCCAGTGATCCCCCTCGCTGCTCGCCCCCCTTCCTCGTCTCACTTCCCAGACAGCACACCCTGTCCTTACCCTGAGGGACCTGAAGAACCATTTGGACGTCACAGTGCTCCACATGACAGGAGTAAAGGTCGCTACTCTCAGAATCCAGCTCCACAGAGACCCATGTCTGATAGGTCCCATCTCCACTGGGAAGAATACCTCCATAATCCATTTCTTGGATCATTTCTTCCCCATTTTTCATCCAAATCATGGAAATTTCAGGGGGGTAAAAGCCATAAGCTCTGCAGACAAGAGTTGTAATCCCTGGAAAAGTTTCTTTGCGACTTACTTTGACCAGTGGGGGCTCTAGGAAAAAGAAGATAAAGTTAAATAGAAATATCTTATGTACTGAGCATACAATATCAGAACTTGGTGACTGGGTTTCCCAATTAATTTTCTTCATTGCAGGAAACATCTAAAACCAAGAATGACCCGGAACCCAGTTTCATCAACAACAAATTTATTGTGCACTTCCTGCTAGGGCAGTGTGCTCAAGAATAATGCATGTGTTGCTGAGCCATGTAACTAAGCTACAGAAGTTGTAGTAACTGTGACAAGTAATTCAGCAAAAGTTTGGAGATTAGAACTCAGCACTCCTTTTTCTCAATTCTGTGCTTATGCAAAGATATCACAGCCATCTCCGCTCAGCTTTGGCTCTGAATTGCCTTTGAACTCAAGTTGGTACTTTGGTGATTGCTGTGGTTTGAATGTTTGTGTCCCCCCCGTCCCCCCTCTCCGCCCCAAATTCATATGTTGAAATCCCAGCCCCCAAAGATGATGGTATTAGGAGGTGAGGCCTTTGGGAGGTGCTTAAGTCATGAGGGTAAAACCTTCAAAAATGAGATTAGTGCCTTATAAATGAAGTTCCAGAGAAATCCCTTGTCCCCAGCCACCATGTGAAAACACAGCAAGAAGTCAGCAGTCTGCAACCTGAAACAGTGTCCTCATCTGACCACACAGGCACCCTGATCCCGGACCTCCAGCCTCCATAACTGTGGGAATACATTTCTGTTGTTTGTAGGTTACCCAGCCTGTGGTATTTTCTATGGCAGCCCGAATGGACTACGACAGTGACTGTCATCAGATACAAACATATGGAACAGGTCACGTCACAGTTATGCCCTCCAAGGGGCTATGGACATTCATATCCTGGAGGAGCTCCAGCAGTGACAGCAAAGAAACTGTCCATTTGTGGTCTTGCTTCCTCTTAACCATTCTGCTCATTTTCCATATGGTGCTGTCCTTAGTGTTTCCTGTTGACACTGGGTCACATCGAGACATGAGCCACACAGAGCCCAACGCCATCCCTGGAGGGGCTGCTTCCTGTTTGTCTCTACTCACTTCCTCACCCCACGGTGCTACCTGCCACCGAGATACAGGAGGAGCCCTCGTCTCAACAATACCTCCCAGTTCTGTTTTCTGTGGCATATAGTTTAGAAGGAGAAAAGGCTTTCCAACATTAACAAGAAAATATATAACGCCTCCGAGAGGAACTCTGCTTGTTGCCTGTAAGAAATGATCCCAGATCCTTTCCTAGGAGTGGGTTCTGACCAATGGGTTGAGACACCTTTAGGACACTCATGGTAGAGCGAGAGTAGGCTTGGAGGGGGAGCAGCTATGCTGAAGTTAGACTTCCCACACTGCTCACGCACACCCCAGGTATGCAAGCTTCCCCCATTTTCCCAAAGAGTACTCGCCCTCAAATCCCAGTTAAACTCTGTCTTCCTTCTCCTAGTGCTGGTTTCACTGAGAACAGCAGGCCTGGCAACTGGGTTCTCTGTTCGAAAAGGTTACGCCACTAATCACGCTGGGGAAGCAGAGACTCTCACAGCTTCTCTTCAGACCTGGCTGGCCTCGGCCTAAAATGCCTCATGACTAAGGGTCCCATGCAACCCCAAGGTGGCCCTAGACTTCAACCAGATCCTGAGCGGTCAGACGTTTTTCAATCTGGCAACAATACCATTTAATGGGTAAACAGAGACCTATAGTATACAAAGAGCTTTCACATACATTATTTCACAGCAATTTCTGTGAGGTAGGCATATCATTTACTTAATTTACTCACAGTTATTGCTTTGCTGGCCTAGCCTCTATTAGCCCCATTTTTTCTCATAACAAGAACCCCGTCTCCTGACAAGCACACTCCCTATATTGAAAAATTAGTCCACCCCACCCTAACATCTTGCTTCTTTTAAGAGGTACCATTCTTACCTTCCCCCTACTGCTTCTTTTAAGAGGTACCATTCTTACCTTCCCCCTACTGCTTCTTTTAAGAGGTACCATTCTTGCATGCTCCCTGGCAGGAACTTGAACTGTGACCTCCTGGTTCATAGGTCAACGCTTAACCACTGAGCCATGCCAGCCGGGCAAGAGGTACCATTCTTAACCCTGACACAGAAACATAACCCAAGCTGTGTGTCCTGGCTGCTCTCTCTTTGCTAGCTCCCAGATCTAGTATCAGGCCGTCTGTGCCCTGCTCTGTGCCCCAGGAGGCTGTGCTCACCAGACTGCACTCCAGGGCTCCCTTGCCCCCAGCTACCTGTTGGGTCTGGCCTCTGGGAGGAGAACCCCTAGCAAAAGATCAGAAAACTAGAAGAGAGAGTGGCTAGGAATTTGTCCACCAGTTGCCCAGCCATTGCAGTCTGCTATTGACCATGGTCCTCCATAGCCACAGCTCTTGCTAGAAGGTTCTTCCAGGGTACCAGCCCTTGCGGGGTGCTGGTAACAATAGTTCCTTCCCTTCTGACTTCAGATCCAGGGGGAGTAATGGCTTCCCTCTGCTGCAAGTCCCTTAACGGGTGTCCTCAACCGTGATTGCACCTATGTAAATAATCTTGTTACTGACTTCCCAGTTAAACCATCCTGAGTGTGCCATTTGGTTCTTGTCAGGACTCTGTAACCCATGGCCAGTCTTAGAAACTTCTCCTGATGGGCACAGTGATTAGGGCAAGAGGTGGCACATGATCCAACTGAGGCCAATCAGAGTCCTCCTATAATTCAAAAAAAAAAAATTTGTAGCTAGAACTAGGAGAGAGAAGCCCATTCTTCCAGAATGGTGAAACTACAAGGACGTGAGCTTTGTGTTGGCTACCACCACCTCCCCTTGGAGAAAACCATTCAAATCTTGGTTTTAATTCATTGGATCCCCACACTGCCCTGATTTCTGCCTGATAAATAACCTCCCCCCTTATGCTTAGGCCAGCTAGCGTAGGTTTCTGTTAACTGCAACCATTAAAATTGAGATTGTTACTTAGCTAGTGAGTAGGAGAGTTGAAGCTCAAACTCTAGTTACCTGCCTCCACAGGCAGGCTCTTAGAGAGATAGTCCACACTCATAACCGGGGCCCTGATGCCTCCCGAGGGCCGGCCACAGCTCTGGAAAGCCCACCATTAAAGATCACCCCTGAGGGAAGAGGCACATTGTGTCTAGGAGTTTCCTATAGCATGATACAGGCAAATTCACTTTGAATAAGATTATAAGGGGAAAGTTCTGTATTAACTAAAAGTTAACTGATTAAATCCTTATCATTAATGTGTAAGGAGCTTTTCACCGAAAGAAATCTTATCATAAATCCTTTAGTAAAGCAAAGACCCTCTGTCTCTCTTCTTTGTAAGTCCAGATTTCACTCACACTGGTGTTATGGGAGCCCTTAGTTACCACAGAACTTGTAAGAACTGCTCCACTGCCCAAAGTGTTTCCCAGCTTATCATTGTCAGGAGATGGAAGGATTCGTCTCACTGGATCCCCACAAAAGAAGGTGTCCCCAGGGGTACTCCACTCTCTCAAGTGGGATTGCTGAATCTCGTCAAGATGCTGATAAAAGCAACTGGGGAAAGTTTTCACAGGGAGTCATAGATCATGATGGTCTGACTAACAAGGTGTGTTTCGGAGTAAGGTGAATATAACCTAGATTAGAGGAAGTTATAAAACCAGGGTTCTGGGGGCGCGGGGACAAGGAGTTCTCCCTTCTTTTTACCTGTTCTTTGTAGAGTGTCTTTCCCATACTCCAGGAATCTCTTTAACCAGGCGATACATTCTTCTTCCAGCCAATTCTTCTGATATTGTAACTCATGCCAATTGGCCTCCCACGCCCTCTTGGTGATGTGAGCCACATTATCTACAGCTGTCCAGGAGAGCGTGTCTTTATCAAAGATAATGAAATCCTGTCCGTCATATGCATATTGCAAAAATCCTGTGGTGCTTCCATCCTCCAGCATCTCACAGCCAATCATCCTCTGGTAAGTGTGAAACCCTGCAACACATACAGGCCGGGAAAGCGTTTACACAGGGTGTGGAGGTGAATGCCCTGGGGATGGGAGTGGGGGTGTGGCTGGGAGCATCCTCCACCCCAGGACAGAGCACCCCACAGGCCCACCATGACATCACTGTCTCCAGGAGGTTCCTGTGACATGATCCCATCTAGCAACAGATATTCGTGGCATACTTACTGTGTGCCAAAGGAATGTGATCATTCCTGCCTTGGGGAACTATAGGATAACTCCTATAATAGCAGTGATTAATGGGTAAACTTTATAGTGCAGTGGAGCGAGAGATATGCAGGAGCCAGGAATATCCCTGGAAAAGTTAATGTCCTAAGTCACTATGCACACGTGAGCAATGAGACACAGAATGGCCACATTTAGATGGGAAAGGAGAAGATACAGGTCACCAGCCTGAATGATATTGGGATCAGGACACAGGGGGCAAAGGACAAAGGGCTCCTAGGGACGACAGACAATTTGGAAGATGCACAGGGCAGATGGCAGGCACGGAACCCCATCCAGCAAACTGTCCAGGCTTTGCCAAAAGCCACAGAAAGGGCAACTCGGCAAAAGCTTTCACGCGCTGTCGGCCCAGGGACCGGTCTTGGCCAGGGTGGGCCCCAGGGAGGGGAAGCAATCTGCTGTGCTCACACCTGAGTGATTGTAGTGTCTCTGCAGGCGCTCCAGTTCCACCTTGAACGTCTGCTGCCAGCCCCGCAGCAGCTGCGTGTACCTCTCCCAGTGATCCGGCGCCAGGTGCTCCGCCATCCACGGCGCCCGCGGCTCCTTCAGCCGAGAGACACTGTCGTATGTGGTGATGGGATGAGAGTCCACGTACCCCACTGAGAGAAATTCAGGGATCCCATGGCCAGGTTCTGAAACGCCCAGGCGGAAATATCTCAGAGAGTGAGTCCCTGGGAGGGAGGGAAAGAAGGAAGATATTTAGAGTCACAGACCATGCAGGCCCATAAGCTGCCGTCTCTGTAATCCCCACGCACTGCTCCATGTTCAGCGGTGCCCACTCCTCCCTGGACCGGCTGCTGCCTCCTCTTACAGAATCATTGTCCCAGGAACTGGGGCTGCAAAGGGCTTGAGAACTTTAGCCCAAGACCTGGAGCCTTTTTCATAAAGGGGAGCAGAGCTGAAATCGGATTTATTTGGAGTCTGCAAAAGTATGCTTTTATCTGTCACTGACTTTGAAACTGTGCTATTTCTCCACATCTGGAAAGGTTCTATGGCTTTGCAGATATGCAACTGTTTAAAGATGGAGGCAAAAGGAAGAACAGATTGTGAACATTAGTTCTCACACCTCCCTGATATCCGTCTGTGTATTCAGCAGACATCTGAGCGCTCTGCACTAGGCCCTGCACACACAACAGACAAGACGGATGCAAGTGTCTGCCCTTATGGGGGGAAGGGAGGAGACAGACAATGCAAAATAAATGAAATATATAACATGCCTTTAAAAAAGTGCAATGGAGAAAAATAAAGCTGCAAAGAGGACTAAGCAATACAATTTAAACAGCAATGGTTAGGGAAGGCCTCCCCAAGGAGGTGACTTCTGTAGGGAATGAGGGGGTCAGGCAGATATCTGGTGACAGCAGTCCAGGCAGGGGGGACTGTGCAAAGGTCCTGCGGAAAGGACCTGCCTGGCATGTTCCAAGAGCAGCAAGAAGGCCTGTGGCTGGAGAAATGGGTAGGAATTGCTTCCACAGTTACTCATAGAAAAAAAAAAACACCTCACAGAAATCAAATTCTAGGCATAGAATGAGAGAGGAGAAGGAATAAGGAATTGGGAAAAAAGATGGTGTTACTGAGCTAAGTCGGATTGGTATAGAAGTGCCCTTGGAATATGGGGTTCCATGTATGACAGCTGCGTCTACATGCGTAGAACATGCCACCAAGTTAAAAAAAAAAAATAAAGGTATTAACATCGTGGGGCATTTCTGCTCAACAGGAGAATCTTTTCTAAATGAACATCACTGGCATTACCACACACAATATTGACAATTCTTGTAATGTCGCTTTCTTCTTAAAAATATCACTTCATAAAAGTCTGCATTACTAGAGTTTATAAGAGGTAAGTAAAGAGAAATATGGTTTGTCGACAATGCTGTCTAAGTCCAGTGTTCTGCCCTTTTCTCCAACCTCAATCTCAGTCTAATTCCTGGTTGCGGAGCAGCTCTCTGTCAGCCAGCCCTGACTTCAAAGGCTGCTCCGCCCCCAGAGGCTGGCCTCCATCTGTCCATCATCTGCCTGTCCACCCCTTCTGCAGCCGCAGCCTGGCCCCACTCCAAGATATCTCAGCCCTCTCCCCTTTCTTCACTGTGGGCCTAGTTATCCATCTGGTGTGTCCATAGGTACGAGTCACGCTTGCTCCTTAGTTGGGCTTCCAAAATGCGACCTCAGCTGTGATGGGAGATTGGTGGACAGATGTTAAATCAGTGACTCAACAGAAGAGAGAGGGGAAAGTCCATCATCCCCTCTCTCATGGTACCTTAGGCCCTGTGATCATTTATATCCTATGGATATATTACCCGGATGATCAGATGAAGTAGAATTATGAAGTTTGAGTCACTTGAAAAGTCCTATATTTGATCATTTTTTATCTCCTAAAATGGCAATTTCATATGATCCCATCTAAAAAAAATCTTCTGATTCTTTCTTCTTGCTCCAATAATTATGAAATTGGGTTTCTCTCTTCCTTTCCACGAATAGACTATCAGTATCAACTCACTTATTGAACTGAAATCTACAATTTTGAATTTGTTCTGTTCAGGCCAGTAAAACTGCTTCTCAAAGGGCCTCCGCTGCCTGTCCCAAGAGCCTCTGATAGACATTGCTGGAAAGCCTGAGCAACACAACCGAACAACTTACACCAGACACAGTGGTTACTTAGTGTCCTAAATTATGTTCCTTTAACTTATAGATTAACTGATGAGGCCACTTTTACAAAAGGCTGTAAAAATCACTGGTTATAAAATAACTGATAGTGTTTTCAGATATGCCTCCATGGGGGCAATTTTTATTTATTGGGTATGTACCACGTACATGGAATTGTGAGCAATGTTAGGAAGAGAAAAACAAATCAGATACTAGTTCTTCCCTCCAGGAACGTACATTACTATAGAACTTGTGACATAAATAAATACAGTGCAATGACACATAGCAGCAAGTAGTTAAGTGACATGATCGAGTGCTCAGAGGAGAGAGAGCTGCTCTCTCGTGAAGCAATCCAGAAATGCTCCAAGGAGGAGGTGATGATCCTTCCACCAAATTGGGCCTTCAAAGAGCTATGGAGGGCCGCAGCATCTGAGTCATAACCATGAGAATTGCACTTATTTATTGAGCATGTACCGTGTGCTAGGTACCAGGCTAAGCCTTTGGTAATGCGTTTCATTTACCCTTCATAGCAACCTTATGAGATAGGTTCTAAAATTCCCATTTCAATAGGTTCAGAGAGATGAAGAAATGGCCCAAGATCATCCTAAGAATCCGTACGTGGAGGAGCCAGGATTCACTCTCCTCTGTCTTGACACTCAACTGGTCCTAAGGCAGGGGCACTTCTCCAGCCCAGACTATTATAGGTTCCCCTCTCCACCACCATTGCTCTCTCCTGCCCCCTTGTGTCTAGAATGATTCACTGTCACTGATTCCCCTAGTCTCCCGAGGCTCAGGCTTTTAGAACCTTCCTACAAGAAGCTGTGGGCCCTGATTGGATAACCAGGTCAACAAAGTCCCTATTATTTGCTGATCCTCCCAAGTAGCCTGATGCCTTAATACAGTCAGAATGACTATGATTTCTGGGAACCACTGTTTGGAATTTCAGGCATCTTGGGAATGAGGGGGAGAAGTGGATGGTGATATTTTTAGTTAAGAGAACCCTTGGACACTTCTCAAACCAAGCATTCAGTGAATGTGGACGGTTCTATAAGCAGGCAGAACTCATCTAACTGCAGGAACTTACTTAGGGCATGAAAGTGCTGAACGGGACAGTTTGACATTTTAGCTACTCTTTGGAGGCCACCCTTTTGGAGGTTACCAATGTCTCCTTTTGTATAAGTTTTATTCTTTTCTGAATTTGCAGTAGGCATAGTCCTAGAGCTAGGGATGCAGCAACGAACTCGTCAAAGCCCCAGCCCTATAAGCTAATTTCCAGAAGGTAGTGATGAAAATTGTGAAGAAAAATAAAGCAGATAAAAAGTGTGAAGAAGGCTGATCTTTTAGACAGAAGGATCAGGAAAGTCCTCTCTGAGCAGGTGGCAGTTGAACAGAGATGTGAATGAAGTGAGGAAGTGAGTCGTGGGAGAAGAACCTTCCAGAAAGAATAGCAAGCCCAAGTCCTTGAGGAGGCTGTGTTTAAGGAATAGCAAGGACACCACTGTAGGACCATGTAGAGCATGAGAGAAGGAATGAATGAATGAGCCCTGGTGGGGTTTTTTCTTCTCTCTATACAATGATGACCATGTGTCTCATATTTCCCAGGGAAATTCCAATTTTGTGAATTTTATTGAAGTCATAACAAAACCTGATTTGATACTTATATTCTTGAAAGGGTTTTGATAATAAATATAAATGTGGACATCTGAAACAATGTCCCTTGTCATCTATCTCAATCTGGGTTTCATAAAGCAAGTGGGGTAAGAGGATGGCTAAGGTCAATGGATTTTAGTGAAAATAGATATTCCAACTAGTCAGAAAAAATATCTACAAATTACTTGAATCTCTCCAATTTAGACAGATTCCATGTCAACCAAGAAGAAGGGAGCCTTAGGGGAGTAAAACGTTGTCTTGGAGAATTTTCTACTGCATGTACCTTGGTAACAGCTCCATGGAAACCGACTGAAGTCTAATAAAGTCTATAGCAAATGCCCATATTTCCCCCACATTAACTCTTTGAACTCAAGGTCATTTCTAAACAGATAATCTCTAAGTCTGTGTTTTTATACTAGCTCAGTTGTCAATTTAGGGGGCCTAGACACCATTAGTCTTTATCTGTGAAGGATTCCATCATTTGTGAGGCAAATTGATACCGCAGATTGATATGCATCCATAAAATTATGAGTAATATCAAGAGTCTGACCTTGGTTATTACAAGATTAAGCATACAAACCACATATGGCTGTGCAAGAGAGATCCTATGCAGGGCCCTAGCTAACTGCAGCCACCAGGGACAGTTTCACACAGGTTGAAATGAAGAACAGGATGAGTTGTAAAGCATGAAACAACATTTTTTGGTTTTTTGTTTTCATACACATTCTGCAACTACTGTAAACCACCGTTGCAATTTTACAGTCGTAATTACTGCTCAAGTTCTCTCTGGCTCACAGTCAGATAATTTCAACTTCTTAGGGACATGACCTTTGAACATAAACTCACTCAGGAGGCATTTATTACGTGTCTACTGGTCACTAGGTAGTGCTGGGGAAATAAAGAAAAGAAAAATGACGAGATCTCTCCCTGGCTTTAAGGAGAGCCTTGAAGGAAAGATTTCTGCAAATAGGAAATTAAAAAACTGTGAACAGGAGCTATGGGAGCACACAGGAAGGAGCAGCCTACTGCAGGCTATGGAGCCGATGAAAGCAACACACTGGAAGCGAGACTGGAGTTATCTTGACACTTCCTAGAGCTGTGCTCCCAAGCACTCCCTGCATTTCCACCTCTAGGAGCTCCTACGCAGGGCCAGCATGAGGCTCATATACCAATTAGACCAAGTCTTTTTTCATAACCCTGCCTCTCTTCCCTATCAGCATCCCTCGGTGCTCAGGAACTCTCATTCAGGGTCATGGCAGGAAACAGCCTTCACTCCAGATCAGTAACATGAAGACACCTCGAGAAGGGACCCCTGGTATGGGAGGTATGAGCAAGGTTAAGAAAAAAAAAAAAAAAAGAGGGATAAGAGGTCCAGACGCTAGCAATGATGGGAAGCCTTTACCACCCCTAGAGTTGCAGAGGTAAGAGTAGCAAATTGTGTTCCCCAAGCCCAGTGGGAGCTGGACCCGCATGAAGAGGGGCTAGTCAGGGGAAATTATATTGCAGAGGGACACCGCTACCACTGGAGACATGACAGAAATGGGAAAAGGGAAGATGAAATACCCCGACCTGTCTTTCCTCCTTGCTCTCTGACCTCTCTCCTGTCAGTGTCTCCCATTGGGTGGAAATCAACCTGCAAGAGAGAGACTGGGTGATGCTGCCTGTAGGCGTCATCCTCCAGGGCACAAGATAGGACAGAGAAGGATGTGAAAAGGAGAATAACCAGAACAAAGTGAGCCTGCCTACCCTTTACAGAGGACTGGCTTTGTTTCACATCCACCATTACCAAGGTTCCAGGTGTCCGCATCCAGGGGCGCTGTGACATTGAGAGAACCCCAGAACCCCTGAACTGTGGGCGAGAAGACCTGACTGCTCATTACGTCGGCTGGGTTTCCTAGCCTGACCCAGGGGTTAGTGCGACCACAGCGTGAAAGATTATGTTCAGCGGGTATTGTGGTCACACTATTGGACAGCTCTTTACGGATCAAAGGTAGCAACATATATGCGCCTTTTACCTTCCGGAAATAGCACCCTTTTCTCCCTTCTTCTGTCCATTAATTTCTCTCTGTCCCTCATCCCCCAATCTTTCCCATTTCTTATTTAAATGGTGGGATTTTTCTGGGTTAAATTTCTGCAGAAGTAGGACTGATGTCTGTCTTGTTCATGGTCGCAACTCCAAAAGTTGCTGGCACGTGGTGGGCCATCAACCAACATTTGTGTGGTTACTACACAGATGATTTGCAAGAGCTCCTTCCTTCCCGTCATCTCAGGAGTCACCGCCTACTGCGGCGCTGACGCAGGTGGAGACGCCGCCTGCTGCCGCCCAGGGAGCGCAGCCCGAGCGGGAAGAGGAGTTGCTGAGGGCACAGCGCCTGGTGCTTCCAGCCATGGACCTCCTCGGGTTTGGGGGGGTAACCGCAGGCTCCTGCTTCCCCAGTGACACGGGCCCTAAACCATGGAAAACTCCTCCTGGGCTCAGTCGATATCGCTCACACCCGGGAAGCAGGTCCAGAACCAGGGTTTTATCTTTGTGGGACCTTCGGTCACAGGTGGAGCTTGTGGTGAGGAAGAAAAACAAACCGGCACGAGGACTCTGCTCCACTGTTCAAAGCCCCTGAAACTCTGCCCACATCCCAGGAGACTCGGGAAGCCAGTGAAGAGGAGAAACAGACGTAAGAGAAAGGGTCTGAGCAGAAAACAGGGGGCAATGCTCAGAGGAAAGTGAGGCCGCTCCCCGGAAGGTCCTTCCAGAATGGCTTCCGCCCCGTCGGGAGGGGTGACACTGAAATCCTGCACGCGGGAGCTGGGAACTGTTCACTAGTCCAGCCTCCGGCACGTCCCGGGTGTTTTAAACACGCTTCTCCGCCCGGCTTCGTCCACATTCCGCCGCGAGTTTTAGGAAGACAAGCTGTTCCCCCTCGGCGGCCTCAGCTCCGGAGTTCGGAGCAGAGAGAACTTGGGATACTCACGGGCAACGCTGCGCTTCACCGTAAATACAATGAGGAGGGGTAACAGGAGCACCATCAGCCCTTCTAAAATGCTTTCTTTCAGATTCTTTTAACCAGAACACCGGCAGGTCCCAGCAGATCTTTCAGGGACCTAAACTCCACCCACTCTTCGGGGTTTAGAAACTGCTCGAAGCTCAGGGCCTCTCCCAATAAAAACGGGAGATATATGCAGTGTCATCAGTTGCTAGGCAGAATAGAGGAAAAAAAAACACCAGCGCTTCCAGATTCACTTTTAACCCTTTGGTGGCTTCAGGCGCCGCTTGATCCTTTTGGTATGCCTATCTCAAACCTGTTCCCAATCTTTTAAAATTATTATTATTATCATTATTATTTTTCAATTACAGCTGGCATAAAATATCATATTAGTTTCAGGTGCCCTATTCCCAACGTTTAAAATATTTACAGAGCACAGCTATGTGTAAGGCACAGGGAACACAAAGATTAGTCATTCCTTGTCCCCCCAGGGAGCACAAAAGAAAAGAAGCCTTTATTTCTTCACTGGAGCATAGATTTCACTGTCGAAGGATGTGCAAGATTCACACAAGGTCCCAGGACTTGCAACTCCCTGCCCCGGCTTCCTACAATGCAATAGTCCATACAGCTGATAGAGCACATATCACTTAGCCAGTCTTATCATTTTTAGCTTAGGTCTATTTTCCCTGATGCTCGCACCCAGTACAATAAACTAAAAAAAAAAAAAAAAAAAAATTAATGCTTTAATAAAGGAGAGCAAGTAAAAGGCCTAAAAGTAGATTCTGAGGGGCAGCCACTTGGCTTGTTTGATTAGCAATCTTCAGGATTAAGCTCTGACTACATTGTGATCAGGAGAGTGTGACAAGTTGAGAAGCAGCAGCTTAAGCTTTTCCAGGGAACTTGGGGGACAGGCCTAGGCAGGAAGTAGAGGTGACTGGGAGAGATGAGTGGAGTCAAGGCTACGAGGACCCAGGTTTGCATCATAGCTACTTGACCTTCAAGAGAACCCCAAATTGAGCTGAGGCTCAGTTTCTTCAACTGGAAAAGCAAATCCTGGCATATATTTCATGAAGTTGTTGAAGTATTAAATGAAGTTATGTTTATGATGTACCTGGTAGGTATTAGAACTATACAAATTGATTTCCTTCTGTGGTAGGTAAATACCGACCCCTCCCCCACCTCTCCCCCCCACACACACACACATCTTAAAGATATGCACATCCTAATCTCCAGAACCTGTGACAGTTACTTTATGTGACAAAAGGGACTTAGCCTATATGGTTGAATTAGTAATCTTGAGATGAGCAGATTATCCTAATTAGCTGATGGGCCCAATGTAACCACAAGGTCCTTGTAAGAGGGAGGCAAAAGGGTCAGAGTCCGAGACGTGTCAGTAGAAGCAAGGTTGAAGTAATGCCAATGCTGGAAGGGAGACATGGCCAAGGAAAGCAGACGGCCTCTAGAACTGGTGGGAGACAGAACAGATTCTCCCATGGAGCTTCCAGGAAGAATGGAAGCCTGCCAACACATTGATTTTAGCCCAGGAGATCCAGTTTCAGACTTCTGACCTCCAGAACTGCAAGAGAATAAATTTGTGTTGTTTAGGCCACTAAATCCATGGTAATCTGTTATAGCATCATTAGGAGACATTGGGTCTTTAGTTAGAGTTATACACACACTAGAGGCCTAATGCACGAAATTTGGCCCTCACAGCCCCGGCTTTGTCCAGAAGGTCATCGAGACGGGTTGTTCTGGTCTAATTAGCATATTAGCTCTTTATTATATAGGATAATCACCATCAGCCCTCTTGAGCCATCCCAAATAAACGGCTAATTTAAGAGAGTAGGTCTGCCATGTATCCTCAGTTCAAGCCTCCTAGCCCTGCTGTCCAAATTTTTAAGCTACATTCTGAAACTGCCCTATGTAGAAATTCTGGAGCTGCTTCTGAAAATTATGCGTGTATATCACCTAGCACAATGTCTGCTCTACAGTAAGGAAATGTTAGCAATCATTAGTACTCTGCTGTTATTCACTAGTTTACCAAGAGAGATTGTGGTTTCCCTTCCCCATGCACTGACAAGTTCATAGAGATGGTAAAGAGCCTATCTGCTCTCTACAAGGGTTCAAATTCACTGTTTCATCAAGAAGTTCACTGAATTCGAATAATGAATTTTAACTTTTAATACTTGCCAAAATCCATTCATACATACATTCCTAATTTGCCTTACTCTCAAACATATTTAAAACTGCTAAATTTTGATGTTCTTTTGCATGTGTTACTTGGCTTTCTCACTTCTCTTTAAAAAATATTATTTTTTTTAGTAATAATGGCCTTTTTTATTAGATCAAATTAACAGATATCCCATAATTCCAAATTAGTGACAAACATGAACCGTATTTCATGATGCCCATAACAACCCTGCCTTAACAATGAACTGATTTACTGCTAGAATTCATATTTGGGAATAAGGCTAAATTTCAGTTATATTAGTGAAAATAAAAATGTATTATTTTCCTCCATCAAATTCATGGATACCCCTAGGAAAATCTCAGTCAAAAACCCTTCCGCAATTCAAATGAACATTCCATGATGTTTCTTTCCTGGCTGTGTTTATGGCGGTCATTGCAAATACTCGCTCGAAGCTTGTGTTCAGGACCCACTGATGAGAACTTGTTTGAAAAGCAAGTTCACTGATGCAAGTTCTGGTTCTCCTGATACAAACAGCTGCTGAGTTGTCACAGATGTGTTAAGGTGAACAATTCATTTTACTGACTTCCACCTCAGAGGCCATCAGGGTGTGGCTGTGGGGCAGCCAGGGGCTGGGACAATGTGTCCACTGTGTTGATGGCGCAGTCCTGGGGATGGATCTCCCTGGCCAGCTGCCCCTTCTTCTTCAATGTGCAGGCCTGCTGGCACAGGGGCGAGATGGGGGCCGGTGTGTGTGGGGGTGTACTTGGGCTCTGAGCCGTCCTCCAGGTCCAGTGGGTAACTCAGGTCCGAATCATAGGAGCTCAGGTCCCCACAGGTCACAAATGGCACAATGCTGCGGGTGGGACCATCTGATTGGTTGAGGTCTCGACTGTAAGAGGGGTCCAGCAGGGGTTTGGTCAGGTCTGGCAGGAAGCCCTCAGGGGGGTCATAACCCTGACAGACAGCGAAGGCCTCGCTGCTGGCCTTCCGGCTGCTCCTGGGCTTGGCACAGAGCACGCTGGAGAAGAAGACATGCAGCTGGCTGTAGATCAGCGTCACGTCCCGGCCTCGGAAGATCTTGGCTACAAAGCAGCCCCCGGGCTTCAGGACGTGTGCAGCGATATTCAGAGCGGCGAGGAGAAGCTGGGCCTGCAGATACTCATCAACCTCATGGAGGCCGGTTACATCGGGAGCCCCGTCGCACACCACCAGGTCCGCCGGGCAGCCCTCAAAGTGCCGGATGATGTCCTCGGCAGTGGACAGCTGGGTGATGTCCCCCTGGATCTGTAACACACCTGGGAGCGGAGCCATAGCTTGAAGGTCCACAGCCACCACGTGGCCGGACCCCTGTGGACTCCCGATCTTCTGGCTCAGCACCTGGCTCCAGCTGCCCGGGGCTGCACACAGGTCGACTGCCCGTGTCACACCTTCAAAGAGTCGGAATTCCTCATTGAGCTGTAGCAGCTTGAAGGCACTGCGGGCGCGCCAGCCATTCTCCTTGGCCAGGCGGTAGTACACATCCCGCTTGTCCTTCGACGTCCGTCCCATCTCGCACACTGCTTGCCCAGGGACTTTGGGTCTGAAGACTACTAGCTGCAGCGACGAGGGTGAACTTCTCTCCTTCCCTCGCTGGCGGGACAGCGCAGTGGTGCCTCAACCGTATAGGCCTGGCCCACGGGAGGAGTGGGACGGAGGGGTCCGGTCCGCCCGCAGCCCCAGCCAAACTGTGAGAAATCGCAGGGCTTCAGTTTCTGTTCTTAGTTGACCCGAATGCCTATGGCGCAGGCCAGCGGGCCGCCGCAGCTGGGCAAGGCTGTCAGGGTGATGCGAAAACTGCGGGAGGCGCCGACCAACCGAACTTACTGCGCATGTCCTGTCACTTTGCGTCACCTTGCGTCACCTGCGTCACCTTGCGTCACCTTGCGTGGGTGACGTAGCTGAACGGAGAAGGAGAACTTTCCCAACATGCAAAGGGCACGACCAAAGCTGCAGAACGCTTCCAGCGGTTCTCCACCTGTGGGTCGCGACCCCTTTGGGGGTTGCCTAAGACCTTCGGAAAACACATATATAATTACATATTGTTTTTGTGATTAATCACTATGCTTTAATTATGTTCAAATTGTAACAATGAAATTGGGACTGTATTAAAGGGTCGTGGCATTAGGAAGGTTGAGAACCACTGGAAACATTTTTAAATGTTTTTTTGTGTTCCTGATGATCGAAGTAAAGATTTCATAGTGCCAGACTTTAAATGCATTTCCTTTTTACCATGTATACATTCCTTCTATGTATTAAAAGATTTTTTCTTTATAAAAATGAACAGAGTTGAAATCATATATATACAATTTTGCTATCTTTCATACATGTCATTATACACTTTTAAATCACATTTCCCATGACCATCAAATGGGTATTAAATTCTTAATGGCTTGCTAGTGTTGGATATGTAAGTTGAGTAGAATTCCTCCGTGTTTACTTTAAACTAGTGCGTAGAGAGTAAGGGTGCAGGTGTTGGACCAACCTAGGAGAAGGAAGGCAATGCACCCCGTGTGTGGCTATGGGTGTGGCCATTTCCTGCAGATGGGGCTGAGGCATGCAGACAGCTGTGGCGGGACCAGTGAAAGCCAACAGGAGTAAATGTTCCCTGCAGTGTGCCGGGGCATGCATCTGTACATCAGGGTTTTTAAAAGATCGGGATAATGATGAAGAGTGTAACACCTAACACCTATGCAACACGGTCTCCCTTACTTGGTGCTGTTTCTGAAAGGATTTAGGGGGAATTCAATAACAAACAAGCAACCCAATTAAAAATGTGCAAAAAACTTGAGTAGACATTTCTCCACAGAAGACACAGAAATGGTTTATAAGCACATGAAAAGATGCATGCATTTTAATCATAGTTTTCCTTTCCCCACGGCAGTGGAAGCCAAGATCTTGTCTGGTTTGAGAGAAGGTGAAGAAGGGTGACATATTAAAGAAAGAGACACCCCATACTCCACACATACATATTATATCCCAACCCCCCCATTCTCTTCATTGTTGGTACCTTTTCCAAACCCCTAATTATGGGAATTCTCCAAGCCTCTGTCTTCTATCCTCTATGTCTCTGGCCTCTTACTTGTGATTTAGTTAATAAATTCATGGAATAGATAATAAGAGGCTATTCTAGGCTTTAAGGTGATAATAACATTAACATAGTCTTCCCCTCCCTCCAGGAGTTTCCTGGTTAGTGGAGAAAACCAGCATGCTAATTTCTATCCACCTTACATCTAATCCTCCTCCTGTGTTCTCTTTGCTGGTGATTAGAACTAACAACTACCCACTTCCAATTCCAGAACCCTGCAAGCCTTCCTCCTTCTGCTTTCACCAACCTCAGAACACCCTGAACCAGTCAGTCACCAAGTCCATTGATGTTGCCTCTAAACTATTTCTCAAATGTATTCCTACTCCCCATCCTATTTGCCATGAGCCTATCTCAGGACACACTCATCCCTCCTCTGGACCATGACCTCCCAGCTGACTTCCCAGCCACCACAGTATCTGTCTCAAATGCCAGTCTGACCCTATTAATTCCCTTGACTGCCATGATCTACAGGAGAGTATCCACAGTTCTTAACATCACAATCAAGGGCCCTGATAACCTCACCCTGTCCATCTCTAGCCCTAGCTCCTCCTGCCACCATCCATCACTTCCACTTTGCAAGGCCCTCTGCCGTGGCTCCCCCACAGGCTGCCATGCTGTCTCCTGGCTGCCTCTAGTCACTGTTTAGGAACACCACCCCCCACCCCCTTCCCACACACTCCCACACAATCAACTTGTATGGCCTCTGTGTTTCTATGGCAACCTGTGCCCTTCTCTCATTGTATGTAACTACCTGTCTCTCCTGCTGGTCTGAGAGTTCCTTGAAGACAAAGACCAAGCCTGTTCTTCTCTGTGTTCTCAGTGCCTAGCACATAGCAAGAGCACAACACGTGTCAGGCACTGTTCTAAGCACTTTGCACACATCAATTAACTTAATCCGCATGACGTTCTATGAGGAAAATGTTCTTACGGTGTCCATTACACAGTTGAGGACAGTGAGAGATTAATCAATTGGCCCAATACATAATAGGAAGTAGCAGAATTGGTATGGGAACTCAGGCAATTTGGCTCTAAATCACTGTTCTCATCTGCCCCTCAACTTACTACATGTGTTTGTTGAATGAATGAAAGATGATCCCTTTTCACCTCCCCATCACAATATGTCCACAACCAAATAAACAGTTCTCTCCCAATAGCTTCTTTTCTCCACATGTGACCATTGCTCCTCCAGTCTCAGAGAAGCCTTTAGTCTGTGACTTCCAACTCTCTCCTCCCTGACCCCATCCAATCTCTCATCATTCATTTCCAGGAGTTTTTGCTTTGTTTTTCCTTGGAAACATGTGTCAGATTCATCTCAGTCTGGTCCTCATCCCTTCAGGCCAGATGTCCACAGCAGCTTCCTGACTGGTTCCCTGGCTTCACTACCTCACTCCATTGGAACCTTGGGGTTTACATGCATTTTATTAACACTTCACAACAGCTCATGGGCTCACCTTTGATAGATGAGAAACTGAATAAGAGAACCCAGGTTCAAACGGGGTTTGTCTGGCTCCAGGGACTCTTTCATTTCCAAAAAGACTGCTGATCTTGGTCAAGTCACTTAATCTCCAACAGTCTCAGATTTCTTAATGGTAAAATGGGGATAATAACAGTAATTACCTCATTGTGAGAGCAACTGAGACAGCGCAGTGCCTGACACACAGGAGCTGCTCAAAGATCATCGGTGATTAAAGTTCACAACCCGCAGCGCATAGCTAACACATGAGTTGGCTAACTGTTCTGACCAAAATGCTTTCTTGAACCATAGCTGAGAGGAAGCTGCCATACCTGGCCCCTGCTTTGTCCCTCAAAGGTGCTCCCTCCTGGGACGCATCATACCACTGCACGAAAAAATTACGTTCCTGGTGACTTGCAGAATGCTCAGCAAGAGAGAACACACCCCGGTCCGGTGGAAAGTGCACAGAATCGGTGAGTCTGTTCTGTCCAGGCTGTGTGACCACAGGAAATCTTGATAGCTCTTTGACTTCTCTCATCTACAAAATGGAATAAATAATAATACACTCCTCCCCTAACTAATATCGAGATAATGCATCAATAGCTGTTAGTGCGTGTCCGGACACAGAGTAAGACCTAAAGGAGTTGTGCAACGTTACCGTAGTCAGAGCATCTATATGGGCACGCTTTACGGTAAGTCGAGGACGAGATGGATTTATAAATCACGTTATCAAATCAAGTATGAAAAGTGCATAGAGGAAAGGTAACAGGACTGTGCACATCAGGTACCGTCGCGTCACCTGAAAACCTACCTGTCTTAAGAGACGAAGCGGCCCCTCCCCCCTGAATCCTGAGAGGTGGGTAGAGAGAAGACCCGCCCTCCTCCGTCGCCGCCAGAGCCCGGCCTCCAGGCCCAGTGACGCGAGCCCAGGCCCCGCCCATTAAGGGGCGGGGTATCCTCTGATCACGTGAGCGCGGGTGCGGAAGTGGTGCAGCAGGCGGCGTTGGTGGTTGGTCCGGGCCGTGCGTCCCGGGGGCGGAGTCAGGCAGGCCGGACCCGCCTGGGAGAGCCGGGGGAGGAGGCGGCCGCGGGGGCCGGCACCAGGTCTGGGATTCGATCTGCGGTCCCATCGAGTGCTGGACCAGCGGCCGTCCGGGGCACCCTGGCCTGCGCGCGCCCGCGGCTCTGGGTCACCCCGGCCCCAGGCGCCGGCGGCTGCGGGAGGGGGGTAGGGAGGATCGGAGGGCGCGGGCGCCCTGTGTGCTGAGCAGGCGGGAGGCGGCCGGGGGCCGGGACGCCATGTCCATGGAGGACCCCTTCTTTGTGGTGAAAGGGTGAGTGTGGCCGAGGGCTCCACTGGAGGAGGAGGTGGCGATGCTGTCTGCCCGCCCCTCCCCGCTCTCCTTGCTGGAGGGGGAGGGGAGACAAGTTGAGGCTGGGGAGGGGACAGTGGGGATGGCTTAGCCTTCAGGGCCGTGACCAAGAGTCCAGAGACACCCCCTTCTGGATCTACCTGGACTGAGGAGTCCCAGCCCCTGGGGAGGGGGTCCCCTTTGGCCTGTGCGCTGCTGTGTAACTTCTGTGGGGGTCGAGTTGTTCAGCAGCTCTGCAGGTGGGGCGGGGGGTGGGGAAGCACGGGTCCCAGCCCAAACTGGGGCTCTAGTGGAGCACGGGTCTCTGCTTCGAAGGAGGGAAAACAGCATCTGGGCAGGAAAAGGGAAATGGCCCTCCTGAGCTTTGTAGTTGGCTTGGACGGGGGTGAGCTCCCATTGTCCATTGAGATCGGAGCGCCGGCCCGCAGACTGGTGGGACCACGAGCAGCCCGGAGGCGTCCCGGCACGTTTGCAGGCTGGGAGGCGGGGGCAGGGCTCCGGAAGGCAGCTTAATTCAGTGGGGGAGTTTCACTGAGGAATGGGCCGGGAGGAAAGCAGTCGTTCATGCTCGGTGATGATGTTGGAAGGAAAACAAAATGAAATCGGCCAAACTAAACTTTCCTAGGCTTTCTGTTAGCACCGGGATTTTCCCACAGTGCTAAAGGAAACGAGTGCTTTCTTTCCAACTCCCCGCTTTCACCCCGACTGTTGGACAGGTTTGCTCACTTGTTTTTCCCTTTGAGCTGTCCTGACTCCATCTTTGATTGCTGCTGGATGGTATGGAGATAGAAACTTTAATTGCATTTTATTTCTGTATCAGCTTTGTAGCCATTAAATAAATGCAAGAAAGATGGATTCTGAGGTTGTTACAACCTGTCAGCTTTATGTTGTAAGTGTCAAAACAAACAAATCTGAGAACTGTCAAGTTCCCAGAAGGTTAGTACTAATAACCATCCAGTGTCCCTTTGCTTTCAACTAGTTGCTACTGGCTTCCTGTTTATGTAGTGGAACAAGCGGAGCTGGTGCCTGGGTGTTAATTTTTTTTAAGGGTTCTTAGAAAAATGTAAATGGTACTTGAAGTGAAATACTTCATTAACCAAGATACAATAAAATATATAGTTATTGACAAATTCCCTAAAAAGGGTTTTCTTCACCTTACTCTAATTTAGATGGGAAAATGTTAAGTTGTAGATTTGTTTTTTAGTAATATGTCACTATCTGGAAAATGTGTTATTTATTAAAAGGATTGATTTAGGGATTAATTTTTAGATGTTAAAGCTGTGTGTTTTCCCTCTGCATAAAAGTTCTTAAATGCTTAGGTTGCAGAGGTATCTCTGGCACTGGGGATCAGAGAGAATCAGAAATTTCTTGTTTGATTTTAAATGGGATTTGTGAAAATGTTAAATTGCTCTGCCATCTTGACATTTTTTATTTCCTGAGAGTATCCAATACAGTCTCCTGATGTTTGCTCACTGATTAGATATCACTGCTTTATTGGAACATTGACATGGGAGTTTTGGTTGATTTTGACATTTTATTGTCTGTAATGTGCCTGAAGGAAATGAGATTTTCAATATCTTCTGCTGTGCATAGTCAAAGTTAGCCACATAGGTGCCTCCAGACTCTATATGTGGCAGTATTTGAGAAGCCATGTACTTCTGCTTATTAAAAGTACTGAAAATGCATCACACAATGTGGAAAAATTAAAGACGCCTAGATTGTGGCCCTTACCCCAGGAGCTGATAGTCTAATCTGAGAAACAACTGACCGTAAAACTTAAGTAGAAATGACGGGTGGCAAGCGCTGAAGTGCTGAAGTGAATACCACAGATGATAAATGCCCCAGGAGTTTGGAGAAAGGTGGCTCATTAGGGATGGTTATGACTGGAAAGCTTTTGGAGGCAGTATTAAGGCTTGCGTTAGGTTTTGAAGGTGGGCAGAATTTAGGTAAGTCAGGCCTGTCTCATCTGGACTTTTACCGAGGAGTCTCTCATTGTTCTTCCTGCTGCCACCCTCTTTCCTCTTCCATGCACCCCTGGCTGTATCGGATCAGTTCTATCCAAAATACAGTGGGAGCCACAGATGCCATTTCACGTTTCCTAGGAGCCACATTAAAAAGCAAAAATAAGCAGGCGAAATTAGTTTTAATGTCATTGTCAGCCAAATAGGTTCAAAATATTTCAACATGTGATTGATCAGTAAAGATTATTAATGAGATCATAACTTTTTTTGAACTAAGTTTTCAAAGTCTAGTGTGTATTTTACACTTACAGCACATCTTAATTTAAATGCTAAGGTTTTTTTTTTCATGAGAAATACTTATCTGCGCTTAGGGTTTATTAAACTTAGCGTTGAGAAAGTAGAGTCACATACCCAAACTATTCCGAGCATACTTAACATTTTTCCAGCAACCGAATTACATATTAGTTTCTCAATTTAAATTAATTTAAATTAAAAATTTAGTTCCTCAGTCACACTAGGGCATTTTAAGCATTCAGTCGTCACGTGGCTTCCGTATTGGGCAGCACAGAACCCAAGCAGGGCTTCTGACTTAGTATCACTTAGCGGCTGCCTGTTGCCTGCAGAATAAAGCCCAAGCACTTCATGACCTTCATGACACAGTCTTATCTCCCCTCCTCTCACTCTCCCTGCCCCCATGCCTGGCCCAGTACTGTGACCATGACCCCAGTGCTAGATGCTCCTACTCCACATGCGCCTCCTCTGGCTGATTCACCCACACGGCTTCCAGCATCTGGTGTCAGCATCTCCACTGTCTCCAGGAAATGCTTGCTTCCCTTGGCACCTGTAATACCTTATTGCACCTCTTCCTCTGTCTTGCATTATTAGATTATGAGCTCTGAGGGTTGGGACTGTTTACTTTCCCTGTATTTCCAGCTCAGCACCTTGGATATGTTAGCATAAATGTTGAATGAATACCCTTTGGTGGTGGTGGTGGTTCATGGGTGGGAACGCCAGCAGCAAAGGCCCTGAGATGAGCATTGCTTGTTTAGAAATCATCAAGGCAAACATCCCAGGGGGAGTAGGAAGTTTATTTGGGGAGTAGTAATAATAATGGCTAACATTTAAAGGATGCCACGCCTATGCCAGGCATTGTGTGCTAAGTAAGCACTTTGTAAGGATTTTCACTTCATGAGAACAGTTCTCTGATGTGGGTATTGGCCACGTTTTAGAGATGAGGAGCTGAGGGGGCACAGAGGCGTTAAGTCACTTGCCCAGGGTTACACAGCTAATAAGTGGTAGACCCAGGATTCAGATGTGAACTGCCTAACTCATACTGTTAACTCTTCACAGGAAGTACAAGGTAGGATAGGGTCAAGGAGAGTCTTATCTTGAGGCCACCAGAGATTTTTATAGCTGAGAAATTGCATGAAATCAGGGTTTCAGGAAGGTTGATTTGGTAATAGTGTTGGATAAATCAGTGTGAGGAAAGATGAAAAAGGAGACCAGTTAGAAAGCTGCCTTACAAGACAACCCGCTTGGGTCCCCTCCCTGTAGTAGGGAGCTTTTCTGTAATATACCTTTACTTTCGCTAAAAAAGAAAAAAAAGAGAAAAAAAGCTTATATATGCCATGATGACTGGGTGTTTGAGGCTCATTTTTTACCCTGTTGAAGTCTTGTCCGGAGTACAGAGGAGAAAAGCCCACAGCTGGAAGCCGTGTGAGGGATGGGGTGGGGTGCCGACAGTTCACCGTGGTTTACACACGTGGTCAGTGGTGTAACTCACACTCCATGCCTGAACCTCCTGGCTCTGCCTATCACCTTTGGCTGTCTGTGTCCTCTCCCCATCCATCAGGATAGCCTCACTGGTTGATCCTCCGTGTGTTCTCAGGTACTTCCTGTGTGTCTGTGCACCTCCCACATCCGGGTCACTCTGGTACAACTCTCTCCTGAGAGCTTTTCTCTTTTCTACTAATTACTGCACATCCCCCACGCATATCCAAGGTGCTGGGCGGGTATCTTTTCTTTCTCTTCTCCTTCCTCCTGCCTATAAACGCCTGGCTGGTCCATCCTCTTCTCATCCCTCTTCACACCTGACTCCACACTCTCCTTCAGTCCTGTGTCCACTTGGTCATCGTGTCCTATTGGTGCCATCACAAGGATATCTCTGGAATCTTCTCTAACGCTCGGTTTTGGTTTGGTTCCTCTACCCTAGTTCATGGCCATGTCCTCTCCCACCATCCTTTTATTTCCAGGTTCTCAGCTGTGGATCAGTGTTGAAACAATGGCATAAGTAAGCAGAAAAGCAAGATAGTAGGGGTTATGTTGTATTATCCTCTCACCATACCTTATCTATATACTAGAGGCCTGATGCACGAAATTTGTGCAGGGGGCTCGGCCCTCACAGCCCCGGCCGAATAGGTCGTCCGGCTGTCTGGTCTAATTAGCATATTACGCTTTTATTATTATAGATAGAACCTTTTAGAGTATGAGCTCCTTGAAGGCAAGCATTGTGCATCCTGTTTACAATGCTGAGAGAACTCTGTTTGTCGGTATAGTCTCTGTGGAAAAAAAAGAATTCTTGTTGGCAGAGGAGCTTTAGTCCAGTACAATTGGATGTAAATCATATCTGATTTCCTACTTTTAAAAACTCAGAATCAGATGTTTCATTGTAAAAACAACGTTCCAAACACTGGTTATAAATGTATTGAATGCCTAATACTATATTTGGCTCCTGAGATTGTAGTCTAGTTTGGAGAACACTGTGCAGAATGGGAAGAGTGTAGGGGAAGACAATGTGCATTGTGTACAGTTTTGGAATGGAGCTGAGATGCTGTGGAGATTGAAAAAAGGAAAGACCCTGAGTGGAAATGTTGGTCAAGGACACTTTAGTGACGCAAGTAGGGTCTCAATCTGGGCTTAAAGGAAACGTCTGTTTTTCATTTGCAGAGGTGTAGGGACTCTCCCCGGCTAGGGAAACGCGCACAAAAGTCCAGAGCCAGGAATGAGAAAAGGGAGGGTGCGAAGATGGCCTCCCAACTGAAACCAAATTTGTGTTAATGAAAAATCAGGTTGGATATTAAAGTCGGTCAGCTTAGGGGGAGGGGAGGCATGGAATACCCAGCTGAGGAGTTTAAATTTAATATGTTTCCTATCATCAATTCTTAACCAGGAGGCGGTTTTCACTCCGTTACTATTCACTTGCCTGTGGTCAAACAGCTTTTCAGGGCTCAAACCCAGGTGTTCTGAGTCCAGAAAGAAAATCCACTTGTCTGGAGGCTTAACAAAGATGGAATTGACTAGGTCTTCGTAGTGAAAGGTGCCTCGTACTCAGAGTCAGAAGAACTCGGGGCAGGCAGCCAAGATGGCTGAGCCCCAGTTCTCTTATTTGCTCAATGAGTGCAGACTAGTTATCTTGAAAGTTCCTTCCAGATCTCATCTCCAGTGATTGGGCTTAAGTAGAGGTTGTGCAAGGTGAGAAGTGAGAGGAAGAGTCAGAGAGGACACTTGTCTAGACAAGTTTTGAATCTTGGAAAACAGTGGCACTATTTACTCAAACAGGAAGTTAGAGAAGGAAGCAGATTTTTAACCCCAGTTTTACCTTTTTGTTTGAATACTTGCCTTTTTGTGTGTGTAGGGAGGACATGGTTTGTTTGGTTTTATGCAGCTAAAATATAGGAGTTGATCCTGGGTGAGTGGTTGGGGTTGGAAACGCAGTTGGGGAGCCCTAAAGGGGTCTTTTGAAACTGTGAATGTTGACGAGAACGTAGAAGCTGTAGAAAGACTGCTGAGGGAGAAACACTGGGGCCAGGTGGAGGAAGAGCAGAGAGAAAATTGGTAGAAACTAGAAGAGCACACAAAACCAAAGGAAGTGAGAGTTGCAAGAAAATCAATATGAAGGCTGTTGTGTCTAGTGACTGAAAATGAGAACGAGTTAAGTCACTCACGACTCGGACCTGCAGGCAGTGGTGGCGGTAGCCCCATCCCAGGGGAGCCGTGGAAGCAGCAGCAGGTTGAGGTCAAAACTGTAGGTAACTAAGTCAAGACAACTTTTCTTTTAACCCACAAGAGTAATTGCAAAATTACTGTTGACCCACCCGGGGTGGGATTGTGGGTCATGTGGTAAGTGTACACTTAATTTTAAGAAACAACCAAACTGTTTTCCAAAGGGCCTGTACCATTTTGCATTCCCACCACTAACACATGAGAGTTCCAGGTTCTCTGCCACCTTGTCAGCACTCGGCACGATCAGTGTTGTTTTCTTCTTAAAGCCATTCTAGGTATGTAGTGGCATCTCCTGGTGGATTTAATTTGCTTTTCCTGATGACTAATGGCATTGAGCATCTTGTCATCTCTGTCTTCTGTGGTGAAGGGACTGTTCAACTTTTTTTGCCCCTTTTTAAATTAAGGTTTTTTTGTTAAATTTTGAGTTTTTAAAATGTATATTAAAAAGGTATGTCATTAGTTCGATGTGTAAAAGTTTTCTCCCTGCCTTGGTGCCCATTTCCATATTCTATGGACAACATAAGCGCGTGCACGAAACACTCTTGCTATCTTGTGAAATAAGCTGGCTGTCTCCAGGAAAAGCACTTCCCCCACACAGAATCTCATTTCTACTTGAAAGAATGACTGACAAACTGATTGTTGAGACTTGCATATGTTCTCAGATCTCAAAATTACCTAAAAAATACTTGAGACATTTTCTTTAAAATGGATGGGGCAAACCTGTCACTTCATGGAAAACACCTGAAAATATTTTTGCAGCTGATACAATTAGAGCCGACCTCCCTTTTAAAAAGAATTTTGGAAAGTTTTTATCAACTATTATTATCTTACAAATTCCCAATGCTTACATTTTTTCTGATGAGATTGGTGGTGATATACATGATTTGAATACTGTGTAATAAAATGAGTCAGCATTTGAAAGATCTGTGATACCCAGGAAAGTAATACTTTCCAAATGACCATTACATGATGTTATAAAATCACACATGGGTAAAAGATCCATTCCACATACAAGATAGAGCCATAGATTGTAATGTATGATAGTTCAAAAAGTCTTTGATACAGTTCCAGGCTCCACATTGCAACGTTTAAGAAACTGCCATTTGCCGTGTTTTGGTCCACAATTACCTGCAAAAACTATTAAAATACTCGCTTTCCCAACTATATATCTACATGTGGCTGGATTTTATCATCTACTCAACCAAAATGTATGCCAAGAGACTGAATGTAAAAACAGACATGAGAATCCCATTTTTTTGTGTGAAACCAGATATTAAAGAAATTTGAAAAAATAAAAATATTAAACAGTGCCATTCTTCTCATTATTTTTTTAGAAGTCAGTTTTTACGAAAATGTGTTAACGTGTAGTAAGTTCATTGTGATTTTTAATTAGTTGATACATATTTTTTAAAGTTCTTTGGAGTTTTCAGTCATTTTGAAGAGTACAAAGGAGTCCTCAGACCAGAAAAAACACACATGGTTGCTACTTAAGTAATTCTGATCCTGCCTGGTAGTTGGGTGCCGGTGGTGGAGAATGTGGTATGCCCTCGCCTGGGGTTTCTTGGGTTTGAGGTTCTTAGTTCTCAAAAAGGAATTTGTATTTACTGTACAGAATTGGTCAATTTTACATCCTTTAAAATGAGATATTGGTCTAGATCCCGCTCTGTCTTCCCATTATCGTAGATGATGTCCCACACTTACAAATAAACCTAGTGCCTCGTGGTATGGGAAGAGTGTACCTCTTTCTCCACCAAATCAGCCGGAAACCTCGGTAAAGAGCAAAGATAGTGGATTTACATCTCACTTCCTTAGGCCTTCCCCTGCTTGTCTCAAATGGAATTTCTCATTAGGACTGAAAGCAAAGGCCGATGGGAGAGGAACTACAAGAGCACTTGCCCAGCACGTAAACTGGGTATGAACATACCTTGGTAGATGCTTTGCGGGCTGTGGAGCTCAGTGATGTATTCAGCTGGGGCCCAGCAGCTATATGATTCTCTACTGAACACTTATCCTTTTTGCTCATCAGTATTCCACAGACAAAATATTGTCAGACACTTTTCTTCATTTTTGTTAGTGTTCTCTCTTCTGGCACTTGAAATGTCAGCGGGAATCGGATGCATGCAAATATGGATTTAAAGCTACAGACAACAAACACCCTGATTGAACACAGAAGAATTGGTTAAGAAATGATAGAAAAATCAGAACTGATCTCTTAGTTTGGGAGCAGTCAAGTCATTATCTTTGTACACAAGAGACCATCTATAATAATAAAAATGTAACATGCTAATTAGACCAGATGGCCGAACAGCGGAACGACCGTCCAGACGAAGCCGTGGCTGTGAGGGCTGAGCCCCTTGCACGAATTTTGTGCATCAGGCCTCTAGTACGATTATAAAATGACACCTTTTTTGGCTTTTATATGTGGTAGTGTTAGATTATAACATTTATCTAGTGGATTTTGACCCAATGGTGGGGGAAAAGTTTTTGAAATCTTGTGACATTATCTAAGGTAAAAGAATACTCGGTCACAGCACTTATGACCTAGTCCAGGGGTGGGCAAACTTTTTGACTCGAGGGCCACAATGGGTTCTTAAACTAGATCGGAGGGCCGGAACAAAAGCATGGATGGAGTGTTTGTGTGAACTAATATAAATTCAAAGTAAACATCATTACATAAAAGGGTACGGTCTTTTTTTTTTTAGTTTTATTCATTTCAAATGGGCCGGATCCGGACCGCGGGCCGTAGTTTGCCCACGGCTGACCTAGTCTCTCTCTGACCCAGAAACACACGAATCTGCTTGACAGCACTGCTAAGTCCAGGAACTAATACTGTTGGGAATCTTCTAATGAGGTTTGGGGTTTTTAAATGTCCCAAATAAAAATCCTTTACCTCTAAAAGATTAACCGAGTAAGAGTAGCCCTTTTTACCTCCCCCTCACCTCCATCCCCAAGAAAATAAACGTTAATGGCTCTTTAGTTAATTTGTAGTATTGCTTCTAATACTGTGTTAACCTTAGTGTGTTCGAAGCATAATTAACTTTTTGTCCTTCTCAATCAAACTTGATATTAGAGCTGCTTAAATAATGTCTATTTTATTCTGGACCTCAGCTGAGAATATAATACTTACACTGTTACTTTAGAGTTTTGAACTTTGATATTTGCCCTTGAAGAGCCTTCTATAAAGACTTTAAGACACCCTGGGGAATAGTGGTTGCTGCTGAGGATGGTGTGTGACCATAATGTTCACTAAGTCATGCAGGAACTTGTTTATGGGACATGTTGTCTGTGACACTTCTACTTTCTACCTGATTACAGAGAGGTACAGAAAGCTGTCAACACTGCCCAGGGGTTGTTTCAGAGATGGACAGAGCTCCTCCAGGACCCTTCCTCGGCCACAAGGGAGGAAATCGACTGGACCACCAACGAGCTGAGAAACAACCTCCGGAGCATAGAGTGGGACCTAGAGGACCTGGATGAAACCATCAATATCCTTTCCATGCTGTCTGTGCCATTTGGGGCAAACGGACTGATGAACACGTTTTTACCCAGATGTCTTAAGCACGTACATTGGGCATTTCCTTTTATAATTGATTGATCTTGTTTTTATTTATATGCCAAGATCTTCTCTAGTGCATGGCGATCCTGCAACACAGCAGCATAGCGCAGTGGTCATGCGTTTGGACCTTGGAGTCAGTCTGCATGTTAAGTCCTGGCTCTGTCAGTTACTGTATGACTTTGAACACCCTGCTCTGTGCTTTAATTTCCTTTCCAGTAGAAAGTTAGGATAATAATAGTACCTAGTTCATAGGGTTGTTGAAAGTTTAACAGGCAGAGAGCTGAGAATGGTGCCTGACACACAGTGAGCTTCTGTAAAAGTGTTAGTAGGCATTACAACATAGAGGTACATACAGACCGATGTTACACATTGGTAATTGGAGCGCAAAAGAATTCCTTTTGTAGACTGCCTTTTTCCTGTTGAGGAAGTGATATGACAATGTCCATTGGAGAAATATCTTTTTTCACGAAACAGCATTTAGTAAAAGAACTATTATGCTAAGTGATGCTATTGATGTTAAATAAGTCCACTGATCTGACCGACAAACCAGAGCCCTGTAGAAGCTGAAATGACGTGGCCTTTTCCACTGGAAAAATCCCATTTAATAACAACTTTAGATTGAAGACACACCAGGTATATGTTCTGGGTTCTGTTTTGTTTGTTTAAGTGTGATAAGGCATCAAGGAAACCAGACCTTGTCAGGAACACTCCGTAGTAAGCACAGGTTCACATGCAGCCATTGCGTGAAATGCATCATTTCTAGTCATCATAATGACCCCAGACACCTTTTAAATTATGAAAAGACAAGTGTGTTCTCTAAAATGAGTGGGACAAAATATGTGAGAGGGTGGGATCAAGATAAGTCTTCCCTTGAAACGGGGCAAGATAAAAAGATTGGGGGAGATAGTATGAAAGAAAGAGGACAAAAGTTTTAATAAGTAGTCACCAACTAGCAAATAGTTATTGACTGTACCATGTGCTGGACATTTTGTTAGTTACTGAGGTTGGATTAATAAGCAAAACAGCGTACCAGCCCTCATGGAATGACAGTAAGGGGTAGAGAAGGACTCGGGGACAGACATTAATAAGATAATAGCACAGATGTGTCCTGCACACCATAAGAGACAAGTCCAGGGAGTCATGCCAGTGTCTGACGTGGGCAGCAGGACCAGGCCGGGCGTGAGGAGATTGGGGGAAGCCCTGTTGAAGAGGCCTCCGTCTCCAGATGAAGAAGGGTTAGCACCTCGAAATAAGTGGGAAGGTTTAATGGCAAATGGAAATGGCTTGCAGAAGCTGTCATGGGAGGCCTGGCTGGTGTGGCTCAGAGGTTAAGCGTCAACCCACGAACCAGGAGGTCATGGTTGGATTCCCAGTCAGGGCACATGCCCTGGTTTCGGGCTTGATCCCCAGTAGGGAATGTGTAGGAGGCAGCCGATCGATGATTCTCTCATCATTGATGTTTCTATTTTTCTCTCCCTATCCCTTCTTCTCTCTGAAATTAATAAAAAACTATTTTTAAAAAAAGCTGTCATGGGAAAGGTGATCTCGGGTCAAGAAAGAATAGATACAAGTGCTGGTCAACATCTGGAAGAGCCCATCCCAGCTGTGGCCAGCCAGAGGGCTTTATTGTGGACCCAGTCAGGCCTGTGGGTCTTCCCCTGGCAGGCGTCTCCACCCTGAGGCACAGGATCCTCCCACAGTGTGGGCAGAGCAAGTCTGAGAACAGTGAGTGCCAAGTTGACTGTCTTTCCAGAAGCCTTGGGCAGACTTGACTGCTTGCCTGTGACAGAGTCTGTGGTCTAAGGGAATGTGTTTGTGAGGCTGTGGTAATGACATGGCTTTCCCTTGACTTTTTGACCCACGCATAGTTGAAGCAAATCCTAGAAAATTCAATCTCGACGCAACTGAATTGAGTATAAGAAAATCCTTCATCACAAGTACTCGGCAAGTTGTCAGGGTAAGGAAGATGATCTTATCATGTCATTTGTGTGAGAAATAGCCAAACTTCTCAGAACTCTTTCCCTTAATTGTAAACTAATATGTCGACTCTGAAACCACTTCTTCATATGAATTGAATGCCAGTTTCCCACATAGACTTTCTCTAGTTGAAAAGAGAGAAATCTGTCTTTAGTATTGTCAGGCATATTTCTTAGAGCAGAAATGAGAGTTGACTGCTGGCTTTGGGAAGTTACTTCAGTGGTATCTACTTGTCCACACCTCTCACTCCTCCAAACCACTAATCTTTTTCCTCTTTAGTTCTTACTGTACTATGTATCTGGACTAAAAGAAGAATTACTATTGTAGAAACCATTTGGTTTCTTGATGGATTGGTGATCATTGCATTGTGAAGAGGGACTCTTCTGGGTTTGGATGGCGGCTTCTCACCATCTGAGTTTCAGCTTCGGGAACTCTTGCCACCGACATTTCCATATACACTGCCTGACAGGCTTTCGAGAGTTACCCAGAGCAAGCAGGCATCTCTCAGAGCGCAAAACCCAACACAAGTGAACAAATATTTAGTCTCCAATTATTTAGGAAAGAACCCATTGTTTAAAAACTTAAGAGAAAATAGCATTTAAGTCAAATCTTGTATCATTAAGATTTGTTTGTATTTTGAAACTGTATGGCTAAGCCATTTGATTAGCATAACTAGATGTAAGAGAACCAGCTGTCTTGAACATATGTACTAGAAAGCAGCTTCCTGGAGTAAAAAAACTTGGGATCATATCAGTGCTAACATATGGCTTTTTAAGAGTCATCTTAGGCAGGAACCTTGGTACATGTTTGCCAAAAACTTTATGTCATGTGATTTCCTTTTGAAATTATTTCAAATGGTAGATTATCACTGAGCTTGAAATATTCTTGCTTCTCATTTTATTCATTAGTTGCCTCTTTATATACATATATCTAAACTGTTTATTCACAAACATTTTAATGGGGCGGTAACCTCTTTGGACCTCTGGTGTGCCCCATCTATATAATGAGCATTTGGATTAGACAATCCTATTTTCTGGCCAGTTCAGAAAGCTATTCTGATAAGGAAGCCCTGTTGTTTGATGATGTATGTTTTGGTAAGGTAAATAATTCCCCCTTATTAATCTCATAAATACAGTTTGCTTCTTTATTTTTTGTAGATTTTCTGAAGGACACCGCTGTAAATGTTGGTATTTAAATGGTGTCTTGCAGTAAAACATATATTCCTTGACCTTATTTATTAAAGTTGTTCTTTCTGAAAGGTTGTATTGTAAATCTTGCAAATTGAAATTCAGAGGTTAATATATTGAAAGTTAAGTTAGTTCTTACTTCAAATTGTAATTTGAAGTAGAATCCAAAGTTTGTTTTCTGATATCAGAAAAGGTGTTTAAAGTGCAGTCCTTAAAAGAAGTGTTGTGAATCAAGTCCGCGCATCATAATGTTGTAGCTTCTAGAGCTGAGATATAAACCATCCTCAGCTATATATGATCCGACTGAATACTTAGGGTTGTTCATCATCCTTGTTTTAATTTAAATAAAGCCTAGCTGAAGTCCTGTAGAAGAGAAGGAAGCAGTGGGTACTTTGAAAGTTGAAGCAAAGTGGTTATCACTCAGACTTTCCACAGTGGGACTTACGAAAGCTGTGGCACTGTCTGCTCTCCCATTCACTTGTCATGGGTCTTAGAAGAAGTTTCCAAAAGCCTAAAACCTCAACATTTGCATCTATAAAATAGTCTCCCGGCCAAGAGAAAATTATATTTTGGCAGCCTTAAAAAAATTGTATTATAGTAACTAGTACTCAGTTCAAATCATTATAAAGTATATTGGATTGTGGTTACAGTTGATAAGCAAAATGGCTCATATTTAGCAAAGTGATTTTTCTTCATTGTAAGTAATGGGTCTATTCATTTTTCTTTCCATACAAAATTATTTCTAATGCCACTCTGGAAATTCACTCTGGTTAGAAATAGTCTACACTTCACATGAATCCAACTCAAAAATAAAATAAGTGACCTGTTTGTCATATCACTATTTGGGAGTTTTTGCAGGTGTTCAGTGGTAATTATCCTGAAGTGCATGGGTTCTCATTATACTTGATGATGCTAGCCCGTGAGCACAGGCTTTGTGTTTGAGCCCCAAGGTTGCCATTTTCTGACTATGTGACCTTGAGAAAGTACCTTAAGCCTTTTTAGATGTCAGTCTCTTCAGCTGTAAAATAGAGACAATGCCAGCTTCATAGGGTCGATGTGAGAATTCAGAGATAATGTCCAGAAGCATTTAACAGTGTTTCTGGCTTATGGTAGGTTCCCAGGAAATACAAGTTCCTTTTCTCTTTTCTCCTAATTAAATTTAGTGCCCAGGTTACCTCGTTTTAATGGGAGGTTCTCTTTATTTCCTTTATTCATGAGACACACACACAAAAAAAAAGCCAAAGAATGTTATCTTTTTGTTTTAAAAAAATTAGTAAGTTATGTGTATTTTGCTAGTGTACAAAATGTTAACTGTGACTCTGTTTTATCTAAGGATATTCATTTGTTTTCTGGTCTCCTCCTTACCTCATTAGGACATGAAAGATCAGATGTCAACTTCATCTGTGCAGGCATTAGCTGAAAGAAAAAACAGACAGGTGAGTAAACCTCTGAGTAGAGAGTATCAAATCAAGGAAAACGCAGAGTTAGATGCTGACATCTGTGTATCATGTGACCCAGCAGAAGCCCTGTGCCTGCTGAGCCTGGAGGGAGGCTGGCAGGTTTTGTGAAAGGCCAGTCATCAGCCTGCCCTGCAGCATGGTCAGCTGTCCTGCCCTGCCCTCCTCCCTCCCACCCTCTGCTTCTCTCCTCTGGGGTTCAGAGTGCCCTTACCACACAGCCATTTATTCTGCACCTGCTGGGCACATTCTGTGTGCCAGGTTCTGTTAAGGGCTGTAATTGCTTAGTTACTTGTCTTTTTCTCTGCTGGACCCCAGGCTCCTTGAGAGTGAGGAGGGATTGTGTCATGTTTTTTTGTTGGTGGGGTGTTTTGTTTTTTTTGTTTCTTTTTTTTCCCTTCACTTCCAGCTGCTATTGCATTGCATACCTCATAGAATTCACTAGGTAGTTAATGACTGAAATTTTATGAAATTTAGAATAAAATGAAAGACATTTGAAGAATCTTAAATGTGTGTGAATCTAATGTGTTAAATTTAAATCTTTCATCATTATATATATATTTTCTTTGAGATGAGATCCAGTTTTTATTAGTTATTACAAATGAATCATGAAACCTAATAAATTTCTGAAACCAAAGCACCAATATTAACACATCTAAAATAAAAGTTACAAGAAACCAGCTCTTGAATTTTAGGTATCTTTTTAAAATTAGACACTTTTGTGTATGATAGAAGTTCCTTTCCAACTGATAAAATACAGTCCTTTTTAAAAAAATATACATCACCTAAAATATAGACTTGATTTAGATTTCATTCAGACTCCATAAAGTTACCAATAGTCCATTTATTAGACTCTTAACTCAAGAATTCAGCTCACCATATCTAACTGACTAGGAATCAGCAATTCCCTACTTTATACTTGGAGGTGTGTCTTGACCCACTTAATTTTGAAAAATAAATACAAAAGCTCAGCGAAGGGGAGGGGACTCTCCAAGTATCACCTCACTTAATTTTTCTGTTTCCTTTCCCTGGGTTTCATTTTTCAAGTTATTGTTGTTTTTATTCTTCCTGTCTCCCTACCTTGTGACAGCGAAGTAGGTAACACCTACTGTCCGTTACTCCTAATCTCTAGATAGTATAGTCGAACATATAATATGTGCATTTATGCATTGCCTTTCCAAGTATGGCTTGGGATTTTGTTTTGGGGGATAGTGAAATGTCTTGGAGTCACAGATTGTGAAGGAATAGCAGGGCCAGGGTCCTCTAAGCACTCAAGCAGGCAGAGTCCCCCTTGCTGCCCCACCAGTACCTGGTGCTGTGCTGCTTGCTGCCTAGCCAGGACCTCCTGCTCTGGCACCCACACAGAGGCTGGTCTTCCAGTGCCCTGGTCCCTCTCTCCATTTTCTTTCCCAGTAGAACAGACTCTTATAGGCCAGATTGATGAAATCTAAGCTACTGCACAATAAAGCATAAACAACTCTTAACAGTGTGTCCTATGCCCACCTAACCGTAGCCCATGGATAAGCTAGAAAAAGTAGCCTTTACTCAGCCCAGGAACACACAAGGCCCTAGGGAAGCCCCAGTTCTCTGTCCACAGCCTAAGGATGCACTAGAGCCTTTTTCTGACCTGGAAGAAATTAACTATGGGCCTCAGTGTCCTCCACAGAGCGCCTTAGAGTCTGTATCAGACCAGCAGATGTTTTAAATATTGACTGACAACCCTAAGACCAGGCTGGGGCAGAGCCATCCGAAAAAATCCTTGGTCTGCTTTATACCTGAGATAGTCACTGTCCAGCCTTTTGATTGGACTGAGGCGCTGGTCTGCTGGGAGCTCTCAGGCATCCTGATCCTGCCCTCATAACCATCTGGAATTATGCTCTGTATCCCAGGATTCCCCGAGCCTTGTCCTTGACTGTGGCCGTTTGACTGAATTCACCCCTGAAAGTCAAGGGAGGTCAGTGTCGGCATTGAGGGGCTATTGGAGGGCTTTTCAGACAGAGAACCAAGTAATCAGTGAGGCTTTTAACAGTCCCAGAGATAAACAGTAGCTGGGACAAAGATCTGGCAACTCTGTAAGGAAAAAGAATCGTGGTCACCCCAGGAGCTGGTCCACGTGCAGGGCTGGGTGAGCAGTTACTTTACCAGCTTGTCAGAAAGGCTTGCGGGGATCCTGGTCAGCCTAGACAGAGCTCATATCCCTGCCCGCCTCTTCATGTATGGAAGACAGTCCCAAACTTCTCCTTTCCTTGCTACAAACTTCCTCGAATTCCTACTGGGGAACCTGCCCCTGGCATCTGAGGGCCCTGGTGGCGATACTGACACGGGTCAGGCACCCATTGTGGCCGTACCTGCCTGGTGATGCAACGCCCAGTTCCCGTCTGTGAGGCTTGTAGCCTTTTAGTTCAACTGAGGGGCATTTGGATTTATTCATGGGTTAAATTGAACAGACATTGATGGTTCTTATACCTTCTGTGTGTGAGACTATGACTTAGCTTCTTATCATTCTAGGACTCTCTCTCCCCCCTTAAAAAAACAAAAAACAAACAAACTAAAAACCTCTTGGGTCACAGGACTGTAGGTCTCTGGAATCCATGGGACTGGAACATGGGTCTCTGGAACTTCCGAGGGTGCTAGGCAGAGCTGGCCTGGAGGCTGGGTGCTCTCAGATTGTAAAGCTGTGTATAGGTGGGCGTTTGTCGATTTAAAGTTGACATTTGCATTTTAATGGGACAAATCCCATTGGTGAGTCCCACTGGGAGAGTGTGGAGACAGTGCCCTTCCTGGCATCCCTTAAATCGGACCACGCAGGCACCAACCTGTACCACTATGAAGGCGGCCCTGGGGAAGTCGATGGTGAGCAGGAGAACGCTTTATGTCGGTGATGGAGCACTTGCTCAGAAAGTAACCGCTTGTTTCCCCTTCCCTCTCGCAGGCACTGCTGGGAGACAGCGGTGGCCAGAAGTGGAGCACAGGAACCCCGGATAAATACGGGCGCCTGGACCGGGAGCTCCAATTAGCCAACTCCCACTTCATCGAGGAGCAGCAGGCACAGCAACAGGTACTGGGAACCCGCTGCTGAGGACTGAGATGTGGAGGCGGGCCCCTCCCTGGGTCCTCGGCCAGCCAGGGGGCTCTGTTGTTAGGACAGGCAGGTTGGACCAGGGCTTGCCCTGCGGCTGCCTGTGTCTGCCTGTGCAGTGATTGCATATATCAAGGGTTTCTGAAGCCCCCTCTACAGCACGGCTCTTTCACGAGAACCAAGCTTGATTAGGTCTCTGAGGAAAAGCAGACCAGACCTCCAAAACTGACAGACAAGGCCACTGGTTTAAAAACAAACAAAAGAACCCGTCTTCCCCCACCTCCACTCATATATTCAGTCTCTTGTTCATTTCAACAAAGGCACACTTTCAGAAGCATTGAGTCCTTTTTTTTTTCATCAAAAATCATTACTGGTTCCATTATAGATGAAAATGGTTGCTTGAGTGGAGGTGAAGGGTAGAAGGAAAGGGAGGTTGATTATCTCTGTGTTGTTGCTTTTGACGTGTAGTTGGAATAAAAGGAAACTAATAATAATATACCTGAGGATTTGAAGATTATCTACCATTGAAGCTCTTGGTTCTTAAATATTGTGTTATATATATATATTATATAGGCTATATGTTCTTTTGCCATTAGCATGTTTGCTTAACCAGCTGTCTGCTTAAATTGCTATTAACCAAGCAAATTTAAAAAAATAAAAATAAAAAGGAGGACGCTCCCACACAGTAAATGAAACATTTATCATCCAGCAATTATCCTTGAGGTAACTTACTGTCACAGGCCGCCTCTGTGTGTCCTTGAGGAGGGCGGAAAGGACTCTGTGTGTGTGGTTTTCCCACGTCCAGAGCTTTGCCAGACGCTCTGTGTTTAAGTCAGCTGTGGATTGAGACTCTGACCCCGGCACTGGCTTCCTCTGCCCAGCATCCCCGTGTCTCCGTGATCACTGCACAGGTGCTCTTGGCCATTGTCTGGTCCCTTGTTGGACTCCAGCCAACAAGAATCAATCTCTCTTGGTGGCTTTAAGCCCCGCTGACTGTTCACAGTCGGATCAGCAGGAGATATCAGAAGCTTGACAATCCAGCCTTTGGAGCAGTGTGTTCTCAGAGGCGCCGGTCTGGTCCTTTGATTTCTGGGCTTTGCGTCTGAATGAGAATTGTCCCAAGTTGGCAGAGAAGGTAGCAGCTGCTGGAGTGCTGGGCTTGGGCCAGGTAAGACGGCTTTTAATTGCTTGTTTCCCATTTCTCTGGCACCAGCTGACCGTGGAGCAGCAGGATGAGCAGTTGGAGCTGGTCTCTGGCAGCATCGGGGTGCTGAAGAGCATGTCCCAGCGCATCGGAGCGGAGCTGGAGGAACAGGCAGTGTGAGCACGAGACGCCCCTCTCGGGGCCATGAAATTGAGGGGAAGGGCCATCTTACAGGACCCCTAACAAGCCTGACCGTTACGTGACTAGTAAAACCCAAACTATTTCATTTATAGCTACATCTTTATTGTTTTATAGACTTGCCCCTCCAAAAGAAGCAGATTGTCAGTTAAATTATTCAGCAGGGTTTGGGCAAAGTTATGATGATTATTATTATTTTTCAACACCTGCAAAAACACAAATTCCTCTGAGCAGGTACTTGAAGTGTGGTTGGGACTGGGAAACAGACATGTAATCTGGAGATTTGTGTCCTGCAGAGGATCGGACATGAGCTACTGTTATCATCCCACGACTCTCCCACTACATCTTACATTTCAACTTCATGAGAAAAGCTTAAAAATTTAACTCCAGTTAATACAAAATATTCCCCTTCAAACATCAAACGTAAAACTACACCGGGAAATGTAGCTGGAGTTGTTTTTTCCTTCAGCACAATCTTTTTTAACTCTGAAGGATGACATCAAAATTTTTAAATGCTACTACATAATACCTTTACCATTTTATAATCTTTTTTATGAAGAAAAAAGATAATCTACTAGAATATATCAGAAAGTCTTCTATCTCAATTTTGTGTTCAGTGTTATACATTCATTTATTATAAGTTCAAACCGGGCACTTGTTAGGGAGGCCCTGGGTATCATAGAGGAGCGAACAGAACAGTCAGTGTCTCTGCCATCAGAGAGCCTCCCATTTACTGGGTAGACTGGCTATTATGTAAATGAATGCAAGTCACGCATTGGTGACAGAGGAGGGGGACCTGCTGTGAGGGGGAAGTGCATGGTGCCTTGAGAGCCCTGGCTTAGCCCAAGCTCAGAGTTCTCTGCAGAAATATTCACGTGTGTGATTATGGGGACTGCCGCAGGCCCTGCTGAGGCGCTGTTTAAATTCCAAAAATTCTGAATTAAGAAACATATCTGTCCCAGATAATAGATTGGGGGCTTGAATCCCAGTGTTGCTGGCTGATGTTTGCTAAAACTAAGGCCTAGGCCCTGACCGAATCCCACGGCCCATGCATCGCCCAGGCTGTGTGCTTACCCGCTGCCTTCCCCACACCCGCTTCTCTCTCTAGTATGCTGGATGATTTCTCCCACGAGTTGGAGAGCACTCACTCTCGGCTGGACAATGTGATGAAGAAACTGGCAAAAGTATCGCACATGACCAGTGGTATGTATGGTGCTTAATTGTAGGAACAGTCTCGGGGGTTCTCGCACGGCGTGCCCATTCAGATCCCTTTCCTGTGGCACATTTTCCCACAGCTGGTTGGTGGTTGGTGGCCTTTCTCCTGGTGGAGCCACTTGCTTGCCAATTACAAAATCCTTTTTTCTTTTCTTTTTTTCCTATTTCCTTGCCAAAATGGGGAACTTATTTTAAAATAGTAATTAAGGAGCCAGTTACTGTTTCTCCTGGACTGGCTTCATTGAAAGGAAAACCCTACCATTTCAGAATAAGATGCCCTGGCAGATCTAATTTAAATAGTTTATATTTAACTCCACCCTGAAACATTCCAGCAAATTTGCACCAGGATGGGGATGAAAAAGTAACATCTTTCAAATTAGTTACTATATAGGAAGATGTGTTCCAGTGACTATTTTATTACTGCAACTGATGTCCCCTATTACAGAAGAAATAACATGTTTTAAATCAAAGAAAATGCAGGATTTCTTTTTTTTCTCTTTACTTGATGGGGGTGGGTTGGCGAAAGGAGGAACTGAGATATGCCTTGAGGTAATTTAAGTATTCTTGAACCAAAACACCGCCTCCCCCATGAGAACTTCCTGTTTCTTGACACCTCGTTTTCCTATTGGTTTCCTGGTCAGGTACATGGCAGAGAGTCTAATAGTTTAGCCTTTTGAGGCAAAATTTAAATATATGTATATATTTGCTTTTCAGCAGTTTAACTCATAGTCAAGTTACATTAACAGTTCTCTGGGCCTCAGTTTCTTACTGATTAAAAATTAGGGTGATGCCTGGCTCTTAAGGTCATTGTGAGGATTAAATGAGATAGTAATAATTAATGTTTAGCAGTGTCTCCCATGTATTTTAGTACTTAGTAAATGTTTATTTTAAAAAATCATAAGACAGGAAGAAGATGGCCCTAAGGGGCAATGACCTGGTATGTCTAAAACCAAGGGAAGCTCATAGCGAGGCTTATTTCCTTCTTTCTTCCCAGGATCAAGTGTGTTTGTGCTTCTAGGAGGCTCGTCATTGCCTGAAGCAGGCACAACTTAGTTCATCTTTGACACTTTGAGAGAGAGATTTGCAAAGTGGTTTTTTTCTGATTCCCTCTGCTCTCTCCTCTTCCACCCTAACCCCTCTGTTTAAAAAAAAAAAAAAAAAAAAAAGCGTTAATGAAGTATTATATAATCAGTTTAAACACCAGCCCTCTCACTAGTGTATGTATTAGTCGCAGTCAAGTAGCTACTTCAGCACCAGTTTTGTTTGGGGAAGAGCAAACGAACAAAGATGCTCTGTATCTGTGCTTCCCGGCATTCCGGGTATGAATAATTTAGAAAAGTACTTGCATTGTGATAAGCTGTCCAGTGTGTATAAATAGCACCGAAACTTGCTTATGTTTTATTCTACTTTCTCCCGAACGAAAGGTTTGGGAAGCAAAGTAAGAACTTTACTTATATTTGTCTAGGAAAGGGAGCCAGGGAACAGAGCATTTGGCCTGAAAGGCCCTTCAGTTTGGACAGCTCGCCTGTGGTTTTCATTCCCATCCTTGCTTGCTGCCCGGGAAAGATTGTCCAGGGCCTCCTGCTTGGTGGTGTCTGTTTCAGTTTGAGGACACGGCAATTTGTATTTGTCTCCGTCCTCCTTAACTTTTAGGAAAGTTTACTGCTTTTTCATCAAACCTGTACATACAGAAAGTATATTAAGACACGCTGAAGTTTGATTAGGCAGTAACTGAACACACGTCCCACGGTTCTTGAAAGCCCGAACATCTGGGCTCCCATGGCCGGCTGCTTACCCAAGAGAGACACCATCTTGTCATTTTCCTACCCGATGTACATTCTTTTAGGTAGATGCCAGGGTTTCCTTCCCCCCACTTTCTGAATTCTACTGTTCATCTTTTCTCTTTAGGGGAGGAAAATATTTTGGGAGGAAAAAAAACCTACCACTGGTGTTCCCTTTGTTCCCTGCGCTCTTTGAGGCAAGTGGTTAGGACTTTTCACTCGAGGTCCCAAAAGCCCTGTGCTTAGTCCCACCCCTTCTCTGGAGAAGTCAGCTCAGATAACAGTACCCTGAGGTTACCTAGTTCATGCTTCATAGAAGCAATTTACCACGTCAAAGGAGCATGGCTTTAAAGAGCATTTCTGGGTTGTGCTAGCTTGTGTGATGGATGTTCTCCTTGATGAAAACTCCTACTTAATGCAATCACAGAAGAGAAAGTGATGGTGGTGGTGGTGGGGGGGGGGGGGTGTTGATAGAAGCTAATGGGAAGCCAGAAGGTGGAAAGCTGGTCGAATGTTGGAAATCTGGTTTTGAACGTAGCAGGATGCCTGGGGGTGGGGGATGAGTGCAGGAATTAGGTGTGAGATGGGGGTGGGGTAGTTAGGAAGCAATCACCTGGAATATGGACTATTTTCAATGACAGTGGTTTTAAATTATTGTAAACATTTAAAAATAGATGAAAGAATGTTAAGTTACTGTAGTGTTCTTCACCATTGAAGTGATCATTAAACAGACTAAAAATAGCTTCTGGAGTAGGCCAACTGCCTACTTTGGAGCAGTTCTGCTTCAGAAAAGGACTTAGTGTTGCCTGTGGAAAGTCATACAGTCTAGATTCAGATCTTTTTATAATGTGATTCTCAGTAGCCATGGTGTGCTAAAATGTTCAAACAACCTGCATGGATCAGTATTCGTTGATAGTTCTATTTAAACGGAATTCTTATTTGTAGCAGTTGACGTACATTTTCACAGGCTAGTGAAACTCTTTCCTATCAGACCCCCTGTAGGAAATGGCAGGGATCTCCAATGGAAAGACCGCTTGCTTTCTACATCTTCCCAAGTTAGCCAACCATCTAGACGAGGACAGCATCCTGTGCTGTGGGCCCTAAGACTGCGTGAGGGTGTTCTTGTTCAGCTCTCACAGCAGCCCCTGTGAGGCAGCTGTTGTGGAGTCGGGACTTGGGCTGCAGCTGGGATTCCCCCCGGGGCCTGCTTGGGCCCCTCTGTCCCTCAGGGCCTCCTTGCTCTCAGCCATTTAGATGGACTCCAGCCATCTTGTTGCCTGTACCTTTTCTAAATTGTTGGTGGGGTAGAAAGTTTCAGAAAAGACAGTTCACTGTCATTCACAGAGAAGCCGTGGAGTTTTAACACAGTCACTGGTTAAGTAATCTTCTTTCTTCACTAGATGTGGTGTCATTAATCATGCTCGTGATCCCTGGAGCTTGCTTTTTCAGCTCTTCGTTTCCTGAAGTGACCAGCAGAAGCTTTCCTTCCCTTTCCATTCTCCCATAGTGCTTTGAGAACAGGACAGGATTTATTGCTTCTTTAAATGATTTTACTTTGGTGGGAGATGAAAGCAGATGGACTTTGATCTGCAATGCCAGGGCCAACACCTTTTCCAAGGATGTGGCAACCACCAGCAGAAAGCTAAGAGCCGCAGGCTTTAATTAAAGTCAGAAACACAGGTTTTAATTAAAGACTTGAGATGGGAAGCACATACTTATCACAGGGCAGCTCTTGGGGACGGCAGAGCTGCAAACACAGGTGCAGTTCAGGCCCGGAGCAGAGCAGCATCAGAGGACCAGGCACCTGGGCAGTTCAAGAGCCTCCCTGCCCCTGTCATGTGCACATTTTGTCGCTTTTCTGCTTCCGAGTGTGGCCTTAGGTTTCTTGTTGTAACTGGACAAATAATGGGTCCGCGCTGCCTGTCACTACTTGAGCCAGGTCAGCAGAGACAGGGTTGAATCACGTATGAGTGGTTAACAGAGCATGATTAATATTCCTTACAATTCTAGCTGGCTCCCCAACATTCTGTTTCTGCCCCTATCCATGTGACTGTATCTCGGGGAATGCCCGGTCCTGAGAGCTAACCCTCGTGTCCTGCCTCGCAGATCGGCGCCAGTGGTGTGCCATAGCCGTCCTCTTTGCCATCCTGCTGGTCGTGCTGCTCCTCTTCTTGGTGCTGTGACGCACAGGAACTGGGAGGAGGACAAGCAGCCCCCGGTGCCGGCTCCCACCTGCCACTCCTGGGAACACAGCCCACGCTGACTTTTCTCTGGGTGACCCCACCTTTGAGGCAGCTCCTCCGTCCAGTGCTGGAGGGGCCGGTGGGAAGAGGACCTAACAGCTTCACACTCCTGGCGCCACCTGTCCTGTCCTGAGGACAGCTTGCCTCTGCTTTGCCTCCCTGGACCTCGTTCCCCGTGGAGGGCCTCTGAGGAATCCAGAACAATTCGCAGACTCAGTAGTGTTCAGTGTTGCTCATTGCGTCCGTTCGTCTCTGGCGGCTCTTTTCTCCTGCTCAGACCCTCTCCCTGCCCAGCCGGCAGCCAGAAGGACCCTGTCGGGAATGGGGTCCTGGGTCCCCTCCGCTGCCCCTCGTGGGAGTGTTCTTTAGCCCCTGAGAGCTGGTCATTCTGGGGACAGAAGGCCCAGAAGCAGTTTGGGACAGAAAATGCAGTGGTTCTTTTTGCAGGGATGATTGCCTTTCCAGGCACATCTTTTTATGGTAAGAACTAATGGGAAATAATGAAAAGCACTGGGCTTTGGGAGTGCTAACAACTTGTGTCTTGAATTGAAGGGAGGAAGGGGAGCAGGACCCTGAGTGTGCACAGCTGAGGGAAGGGGGCAAGGTCATGGGAGGTCACAGCCTGGCTGAATTCAGGTGGCTGTCCTGCAGGCTCCTCCCCAGAGGTTCAACGTGTATTTTTAGGATGACCCTTAAACATATGGCTGCTGAGCAGCACACGAATGGATTTAGATCCTGTGGCTCTCTCTCCCCCTTGGCAGATGGGGTTGGGAATGGTTAGCACATTTATTACATTTAGTCAGAAACTGTAATGACAAAAAAGGCTAGTTCTGGACCAGGCTTTTCTAACCCTGTGAGAAATGGCAAAAAGGGGTAGGTGAAATGGTTGTTTTTTCCCTTCAGATGACAACTTGATTTTTATCCATTCAAATCACTGAGCCAATCCAAATTTAAACAACAGATGCTTCCATTGAGTTTTAGTTGCTGAGACTCTAAACTTCAAGCTTCTGGTGACTCTGCGTCCAACGTGACCATGTACATAGGATATTTTTATAACCTTCCTGACGAATAACCTAATACTGAAGCAGCAGCTGAGCAAGGCAGCCTGGCAGCCGAAGCTGCATCTTCACCGTCCTCTTTTGCACGTGGGAAGCGCAGTGACATCAGATAGAGTTCTAGCTTTGACTTCTCATTTCCTAATCTTTTGGCGTCCATTCCTAACTTTTTCAAACTTTTTTTTCTCCTTTTGTTTGTATTTCTTGGTTTTTGTTTTGTTTGGGGCTTTTATTCCTCTTTTTTTTTTTTTTTTTTTTTGTGATTTGCAATGATGTATTTGCCCAGCTAACTTTTGAATTGCACTTTTTAATAAATATTTGTAACAATTTTTTAAAGAAGGGTATTTTCTCATGTGTAGGATGCTGGTAGATAAGGCAGTCTGCATGTTGATGAAAGCTAAAAATAGATTTACAAAACTTAAAGGGTGGTTGACACCTATGTTTACACTCAATTCTATTTGATATATAAATGGTAATTTCTTTTCAAATGAGTAAAAAAAGGTAATTGTTACAAAGGGCTTGAGATGTAGGGTACTAGATTATTTGTTTTACAAAGTTTTGAGACATTCAAATAGCCTTCTATAAACTTAGAAGAGGGATAGTCCTTAGATTTGCATTAAGATATACAAGTCTTTGTTAAAACTTTTTTAAAATGTGGGCCTTGTCTTAGTGGTCTCATCTACACTCTCCACCTTCCACCAAGGAACCGGAGTCTGAATTACGTGACTGCCCTACTTAGGGGCCATGCTGTTGTCCAGATTTACCGTGTCGCGTGTGTCAGGAGGGCCTGCTGGGAACACGTCTGATCATTAATGAGCAAGACATTCCCCTGACTTCAGGGTCTAAGTTTTGAGATCATGAGGCTTAATGACTCAATGTTTGGATATATTTAGAATTGGCATGCTGACCTCACCCATTTCAGGTGTCAGCTAAACAGTGGTTATTGTAAAGCAGACTCACGGGCCGAAGCTGAATAGAGAAATATTTGGAAAGAGAACATTTACTGAAAATATAAGCACTATGTATGTTCTCCCTGTAGGCCACTGCCCTCCACCCGCAACGGAGCTGTTCCTGGGCAGCCGGCCTCGTAGTGTGGCCTCAGAGCTGGCTCTTCCCCAGTCATCTCTCTGGCCTCACTAGTTTGATCCTGGGTCTGAGCCTGTTGTGCCCGGACTGGGTGGTCCCTACAGACGAATGGTCAGGCCCCCAACCCAGATTCCAAACTAGCGCTCCAAGAGAGCAAGCCAGGCCCTAGCTGGGTCGGCTCAGTAGATAGAGCGTTAGCCTGCAGACTGAAGGGTCCCGGAATCAGTTCCAGTCAAGGGCACGTACCCAGGTTGCGGGCTTGATCCCCAGTAGTGGGCATGCAAGAGGCAGCTGATCAATGATTCTCTCTCATCATTGATGTTTCTATCTCTCCCTCTCCCTTCCTCTCTGAAATCAATAAAAATTATACAGTATATGTGCCCTGAGTGGGAATCGAACCCGGGACCTTTCAGTCTGCAGGCTGATGCTCTGTCTGTCCACTGAGCCAAACCAGCTAGGGCTGAAATCAATAAACATTTATTTAAAAAAAAAAAAAAAAGAGAAAGAGAACAAGCCAGGGCTTAGGTTATGGTTAGGCTAGACTCCCATCCTGAGGCAGAGGTGCGCTCTCCTCCCTCAGTCTTCACGCTTCATCCCGTGCCCATCATCTGGAGAACTGGCAGAATGTGATAGGTCACAGAGAGCTCAGTTTACGTTTATGGGAAGAACATCTTACTAATCAGCTGGCTTGGGAGTGAACCACTGAGACAGTCCGTCGTGGTAGGAACCCAACTGCAAACTCAAGTAACGGTTAGTTTTCAGTCTAACCTTTGATCTCGTCCTGTGGGGATTGTGAACAGTCGCCGTGTTCCCTGTGTGCCACTGCGTGCTGCAGTTGTGTGTTACATGAGCATCTTCATGCCAGAGCCCGAGGGGGAGAAACTTGGTAACTTGCCCATCATTCTCTGCTTTTAGCCAGAGTTAAACAGACTGATGGGTCTGGGAGCCAACAGCTTGGCAACTGCCCCTCTTTCTCACCTCGTGAGATTAAGGGCTGTGAAGAGAAATCCGGTCTAACTCCAACCGAAATCTGTCTGTTAAGTGCTGTACCTTCTGTATGGGAAGGTAGCAGAGCCAGGATTTTTCTTCTGGTAATTTTCCTGGCTGTAAAGTGAGCCCGGTACCTTTCCAGAGAATTCATAGCTGGAAGATCTAAGTGCTGAATGATAGATATGAGTTGCTTTCCAACTGTAGATTTTGAACTGTTCAGCTTTCCCTTATAAACTGCAGGACGAATTTGTTAACAACACAACATTCGGACCATCTAGAAAGCTGAGGTTCTAACTACCTTTAATTCTCCGTCTGTCTTCCTCTCGCTGGCATTTCTTTTCCTCCCAGATATTTTTAAGAATTTTTTTCCCCTTAAAGAGTTTTCTTTGTCCATCAAGAACAGAGAGGAGAAAGCAAAGGATTCTCACAGCCCCTCAGTCCCTCTGCGCCTTCCCTAATCAAGGTTAGTTCTGCTCACTGGGAGACTGCTGTCAGGGTCCAGTCCAGAAATCGAAAGAGTAGAGAACAGCCCTTCAGACTGGATCAGACTAGGCCAGCCCTGCTGTGACCCTTTGGGACTGAAGCCTAGTGCTGGGGTGGAAACTTCAAACCAGCTGACTTCTGGGGTTAGTGTCTCTAAGAGGCTCAGTGGACTTGCCCACTTAGTTCAGTCTCCTTGTTTCAAAGATGAAACAGTTACAGCTCCCCCAACAGACACATGAGGGTCATTTGGTGCGTTGCATCTTGGACTTGGCCCAGGGGCCACACACCTGGGACGAGCTGACCTCGGTGATGTGACTTAAGCTAGGCTGGTAGTAACTTGTCGTGTCACCCCAGCTGTTTGGTGTCGTTGGCCGTTGGACAAACACCGAAGCACCTCTGTCATGTTGCTGCCACCTACATATACATTATATGGGAGCTCTTTATGTCATAGTGTCTTTACTGATACAGATATTTGGGGAGGTGAGGAAGAAAGAAAAAGAACTTGTTTCCTTCTGAGATAAACTCACATGTTGGTGCTGTTTTCCTTCTGACGTGACCTTTGCCCTTGCCCGAGGCTATGCCATGGAGCTGTGCCTAGATGGCCCCGTGACCTGCCCCACTTGGCTTTCACATGGACATTTCATGGACCGGGTTTGCCAATTGCAGCCAGACCCTCGTGAGAAAGTGTATTTTACCATTTCTTCTAGGTTGAGTTTTCAAACCTAGAAGCCACTTGATTATTCAGGGGGTTTTGGATTAAGACCACCCAGCATCCTTATTCTCTGACCAAAGCTCCCCCGGCCCCGGCAGCAGCCAGTGCTGCACTCCAGTTAAGCTTCCTGTCACCCCTGGGGTTGGGCCAAGTTCAAGGTGGCTCTTTCCTGCTCTGTAGAAAGTAGGGTTAGCTGAGACCCACTACTGAGTGGCAGTTTCGACTCTGCAATTAAGGTCTGTTCTGGGAGAGGCAGATGTCCTCATCCTCAGGAAAACAGAGTGCCCTGTCGTCTGTGCGGGTGAGAGGCCAGCCAGGTGTCCTCGGGAAGGTGTTGCTAATAAGTTATCGGAACTGCTCGTAAATGCCATGTGCTTGTGTCCTCACTGACCAGGCTGGGAGAATGCCCAGGGTAATAGCCAGAGAGAGCGAGCTGTAGATGATTATGGATTCATTTTCTGTAAGTGAAAATATGCCTTCCCTAGCTCACTTGTTATTAAAAATTCGTGTAATTTAAAAATAGAATGTAATCCATGGCAGTGCTCAGCAGGACTAAACCGTCTATTTTTCTCGCAAGGATAAATAACCTGATAGCATTTTAATGTTAAGTAACTAGAAGGTACAAACTAAAGTGAGATCAAGGATTAAAACTGAGAACACCTGGGTGACTTCCTCTGTCCCCGACCCCCACGGAGAGTGCCGGAGCCCTGGTGCCAGACGTTTACAGCCCTCGCTGCAGGGAGAGCTCGCTCGCTTCTCTCTCTACACGGTGGGTCTCCAGGTGTGCTGTGGGACCAAGGATGCAGCATCCTCTGGAATTTGCTAGAAATATAGGTGTGCAGGCCCCACCCAGACCTGCTGAATCCCAGCCTGGGTGGGGCCAGCAGCCGCGTTTAGCAAGCCCCCCAGGATGCTCGGGGCCCCACTCCCGCGTGAGAACCACCACTGCTGTATCGGGAGGTCGGGCTACAGTGAACGCTCCCTGCAAAACAAAATACCTTCCACAGCCTTCGTTGTAATCCTAACATTAAACAAGATTTGACGACACTATAAACTTGAAAAATTTTTTAAATACTTGTGTCAAATAAAACCTCAACTAGCCATCTTTTAAAGTGATACTTTTACACCCCAAAGTCTATCAGTAATGTTTCTTTCTCCTGCACTTGAAATCATGTTATGACTGTATAAAGAATGCTATTCAGTATTAAAAGGAAACGGGGAGAACGTGATCTTTGTCCTGGGTTGTTTTTCTAAAAGTTTGGTTGGTTTTTGTTTTTATTTTCATACCTAAGCATGGCTTCTTCCCTTCCTTCTGCCCCCCCTAATAAACATGGACATGTGCATACGAAAGGCCTAGCTGCTGGAAGATCTGAATTTCTGGGCTAGAGAAAGCTAAGTTGTGGTCTGTCTGGTCAAACTAGTTATATGGATTCTCAAGTCCCAAAATAACAATACCATGTATTCAGAATATTTCCAGCACAAGAGTTTCAGTTGGGACTAGGAATCTGGGGGAGCAGAGAGACTAGGACACAAAAGGAAGTTAGTTCTTTACTTCTCCCCTCAGTGAATGTCGGCGAACAATACTGGCCATCGGATCTGCAGATGGAGGAGCCTGCCCTCAGAAGGAAGCTACATAAGCTCGCTGAGGGCAGGGATCTTGAACCCACTTGCTCTCCTCACCCTCATTCTTTAAATGAGCACCTAGGAGGTGCCAGGCACTCTTCCAAGGACTTTGTCCATATTAACATATAATACTTATATGTTCCATATAATACTGCGTGAAACTGAAGTTTATACATCTACTATTACCTCAAATCTGAAGGCAAGGAAACGGAGACACAAGTAATTTCTCAAGGTCACACAGCTGGTGAGAGGCAGAGCCACGCACTATGTCCCAGTGCCTGGCGCAAAAATTGGCTCCCCCGTGCTTCCCAAGTCCTGGCTGGATTTCCCCTCACACTGAAACAGCTGGCTTAGGGGAGGAAAGGCAAGTCCACACACTAACCGGCCTTGCTGAAGAAGTGAGTGCTGATCCTAAGAGTTACGGTTCACGTTTGAGGAGGAAGAGATTTAGGAAGGAAATGGTATATGTATTCCCTAATGAAAGCAGATCACCCCCCACCCCCCACCATGAGGAAACGTGGACTGTGGCGTGGACAAGGGAAGTGAATCTACTCATGGTTCTGCTGTGCAGCTGTCATTCAAAAGGTCCCCACTGACCAGTCTTACATAAAACTAATGTTGGAAATGTTAAAAGGCAAGGCCTGAGGCAAAAAATGGCACAGACAGGAAAGGGAGGCTTGTCCAAGTGAAACTGATACACCTCCATCCTTGGCATCTCCGGGGTGTCAGTTGTCGGGGAACAGGACCCTCGCCCCCTCCCCAAGGTGCCGACACCCAGAACCTTAGCGGCGGCTCCTGTTTGGTGCAGACACAGGCAGAATCTAAGCAAAACGCCCCCACCAATGCACCTCTCAGAGTGGGGGTGACGGGCTCTAGAAGCCTCCCTGGACTTGGGCGTGTCCTCCCAAACCCGCCCTCTGCGGCCGTGTTTCCTCTTTCCCTCTTTCCTTCCTCCCAAACCCTGCCTATGCTTTCTGTCTCCACTCACAGAAGTTCACAGTAAGACTGGTCGGCCTTTGGGAAAGGGTCATCAACTGTTCTAGGGGCAGATTTCTAAAATGTATTTCATTACAAAAATATCAATATGTCTATAGCCAACATTTGATCTGATGTGCCAGGCAGGTCTTGACCAAGGCATTAAGGACCCAATGGGGAGCAAAATACTGGGTTTAATTCTCACAGCCTATTCTCCTCCCCACTCCCCCCCCCCCCCCCCCCCAGCCCTTGGAAATACTATTGAGGCCCATCTTACACCTGAAGGCAGAGCCAGGGAGCAATGAAAAGAAATTTGCCCAAGGACACAACTAGTAAGTGCTACAGCTGGAACCCATTACTTAGCCTCCCTTAAAAGAAAAAAGACGCCATTTCAGTGGTGGCAAGCAGATGTTTCACTAAGCTGTCTTTCTAACCAGAGAAATGGTGGAGGATGGCTAAGGAGAGGAAGAGAGAGCAGAAGAGCTGTGGTACAAGCCCACGGTGGATTAAAGCACTGAACTCCTAGCCGTGCCCAAGAGAAAGCATGGCATCCTTGCCATGGATTTGACCACATCTCAAACCCTATAAGCCCACAGTGGAGTTTAAGAAGCCTGGTCAAGGCAGGTCAGCCTTGATAAAATACAGGGTTAGGCAAAAGTAGGTTTACAGTTCATATGGAAAAAGACATGCAGGGTATGAGCATTATAATAGCTTTATTAACTAAAAAGAATGTTACAATGCAACTGTAAACCTACCTTTGCCCACCACTGTATTTTGGAGCTTTTATGTGGCTGGAAATGTGTACAAGAACTGAGTTGATCTCATTGTATAAACTCAGAAAAGCCTGGAGACTCAGTCTGAGGAGCCCAGGATGAGAATCAAAGTTGTGGCATCTGGATGCTGCTGTGAGCTCCCGTGCCTGCCAACATTCCTTGTTCCTGAGATAACACCAGAGCTGATGGAGGCTGGTGAGCCTGGGGCTGGCTTTTCTGGGAAGAGTTTCTGCTCACCAGGTGGAGTGGGGCTCCTGCCTGGCGCTTCCATTGTAGCCCTTGGCACACTGGTCTGTCTCTCCACAGCTGTAGCTGACTCCCCCTGGGGATTTGGGCTTCCCAAGGGCAGGGCAGGTCTCCCCAGTGCCCGGCACCCAGCCAGACCCCTAAGGGCAGCTCCACACTGCGAGGAGCCCCTGCCTAAGCCCAGATGCAGCAGGGCAAGACAAAGGCAGGCCCGGCAGGCGGCCCGGCATCCACAGGAGAGCCCGGGAGACCCTCCAGGCCTGGCAGGGCAGCTCTGAAGGCCGGGCTCCACAGGCAGATGTCAGAGCCAATCCCAGCAGCCCCTCCTGGGGGCCCAGCACTCCGACTGGGTCAGACCTGCAGCCTGAGAGAGCTGGGCACAGCTTCTTGCCAAGGAAGGCTGCCGCCATTTCTAAGCAGGTGCTCTGGCTCTACAGGGAAAGATGGAAACTTCACAGAGGATGGGAAGGGGGAGGGGAGGGTGTCCAGCGAATAACTCCAGAACCAGCCTGGGGATTTGGGTGGGGAAATGGGTTGGGCAGATGGACCAGGGATGTCCAGTTGCTGCCAGGTAAGTTTGTCAGGATAAACAAGCAAGTCTATGTTAAAAGAACCACAACAAAGAGCCTTGGTACCAGATTCTATGGGAGCTCAGAGGAGGGGCCAAGGCCAGCACCCTGGTGTCAGGGAATGCTTGTCAGGGCAGCACCTTTGAAGGCTGCCAGGGTGGACAAGGGGAAGGGCGTTCCAACAAAGACACAGATAAGCGAAGCAATGGGGTGGGTGAAAGAATATGTGGAGCTGGCGCATGCCTGGATCGGGGAACCAATAACCCAAACTCCTGCCAATAAATAAATACTCACATGGGAATCGGGGGAGAACCAGGAAGTCCAGTCACTGCACTCCAGCCCTGGGATGGGGCCTCCTCTGGGCCGCAGGGATGTACGATCAAGGATGCCTCCTTCCCAGGGGCCAGGCACCCTTGGACCAGCACCCGGCCCCGAAGGCTTTGGTAGCCGCCAGCAGGCAGCTCACAACCCCAGGAAGCACAGGGCCAGACAGAGGGACCAGACTGCCTGGACGCCATCCCACCCCCCACCTCCAGAGCAGGGCCAGTAACAAAACTAAATCACCACTCAGGGCGCACACCTGGAAGAACCGCTTCCCAGACAAAACCTACTCTCGCCTGTGGGAGGCACTTTTTTCTAAAATGCTGGTGTCCGCCCACAAGACAGCTTTTGTGCCTCCCGACTGAACTATCCGCCCTTCCTTCCCCCAGCGGCGGACAGGTGGGGACGCCAACCCCATTTCCCTGCAGGAAAACCGAAGCCAAGCCCCTACATCGACCTTCTCGGAGGCCAGAGTCGGCGGCAGGCAAAGCGGCGAAGCCGGGGCCATGGGAGCCGGTTGTGGCCGCTGCTCTCCCCGCAGCCTGTGCGGCCCAGGAGGATCCTGGACGGGGCTCCCGGTGCGGCGAATTCCGGGAGGGCGGATGGACGCAGGCTGGGAGTTAGAGGGCCGGGTTCAAGTCCTGCCTCTGCTAATTATTGGCTATTTAACCTCTGAGTTTCCGGCTCCTAGTTTGTAGCCCGGAGATAAGGGGTCCCTCCTCGTAGAACTGCCCTAAGGTTTCAGCACTGTGTTCCTAATGTCCGCAGCAGAGCTCTGGAATATTTGCGGAGGGCACAGCGCAGTGACTGCACAGCCTGAATTCCCAGGTTAACCTTGATTCCCCAAGTTCCAGCCGCACCTGCAGTTCCTCCCTCGTGCGTGAGACCTCGGGACGCCACCCGCACCTGGTCCCCACCCCGCACCCCACGTCACCACCAGCTTTTAGTGGGAAATTCCCAGACTCTGGCCCTCTGGCCCTTCTTCCCTGTGAGATCCTCAAGGGCAAAATCAGGGTGCCTTCCTCCCAGCAAAGTGTCTTGCATGTAGGGGATGGGGTGGACCGGACTTCGGGCTCTGTCTGTGCCCAAGGCCCATCTCTGCCCCCACGGAGACGAGGGACCGGGACTGGAGGCAGCAGCGGGGGGTGGCAGGGCGCCAGGACCAGGGCTGCAGGGCCAGCGAGGCCTATACCTCCCGGGTGGCCGAGTGCCTGGGATGGCGCAGGGACACCCGCATGGGAGTAGCCTCTTGTGGAAGGTGCAGGCGACTGGATCCAGGACAGGTGGCTGCAGGACGTTGCCGGTGCACAGTCACTGGCCCGCAACAGACCCAGGGCACCTACCTGGTGCAGGCCTTGCCTGCCTAGGGACGATGCCCCCCCCAAAAGCAAGTTAAAACAGGCGTCAGTGGGGGCGCAGTCTGCCCAGGACTGCCAGGCTTCTTGCTAGTGGTGTCTGAACTTGCTCTAAGGATACTGACTTGTATGAGGCCAAAGTTGGTGCCACTGGTGTGAATCGAGGTCTGGACACACAGAGCACCACGAACTGCCTTGTGGTGGGGGTGGGGAATAGGTGAGGCACAGGAAACAGCCACACCTTTGCACTTCATTCATTTTCGGTGCCACACCTCCTTTCCCTTCCCCTTCTTGCTAGTTCCCACTCATTTTACAGAACCTGCGTGGCACACCTCCTCATAGGCCTCCCTCCCCAGGTGACCCCTGACCCCTCCCAGGCTCCTTACCCCACGTCCCCAGGTGCCAGCTTCCCTTGCTGCACACACCCGGCCTTGTGGTAAGGGTTGAGCGTCTTTCCTAGATTCTGGCAGCTTGAGGTAGAGCCCGTCTTTCTCATCAACCTGAGCTCCTGCCTGGCACATGGCCGGGCTCCTAGTTCTAAGTGAGGGTTCTGGCGGTCCTGTGGGCGATACCAGGCTGGACCCTAGGCAGCAGAGATGGGAAAGGTCAGAAGGACACCTGGAGGAGCCAAAGTCCCCTCCCACCTAGACAAGACATGGCCCTGACATGCTGTACCTTCTTGGAATTAGAGCAAGGCACGGCGACCTCACACAGTCCCAAGTGCCTCTCCCCTTCTTCCTTCTCTTTACTTCTTCCCCCTTCCCCTCATTTCTATGCAAATGAGGAATCCATGTTTGCACAGCCTGATTGGTCCAAATAGCACTGTCCTGATTGGTTATTATGGAGCTACTCTGATTGGTCAACAAATATACAAATGAGGCTACAACTGTGCAGTTCTGATTGGACAGGGCAAGTCTCAGTCCATTGGTTGAAATAGGATTCCAGATTTGGCTCAGACTGCAAGACCACAATGCAGGAAGCTTGGCACCTCAGTCTGTGGCTTTTCTCTGACATGCAGTGTGCAAGACAGGCCTCGGTAAACAATGGCTGCTAGGCTCGATTATGAATTTGGGCCCTGCTAACCATGAGGAGTCCTTTTTGGAAGGTATACTTCTTGGGTCAACATGTAAAGGCAAGGAATTGGCGTATAGGAGCCACCAGGGTTTCCCTATGCCTGCCTGTGGTTTCCTGTTATGTGGGGCCATTTCTATACTTTGGGGGCCCCAGGTTGGTCTGTGAGGTGTCCCAGTCCCTCCTCACACCCTAAAGACCCAAGTACTTGTTTCTTTGGTCCCTCTGCTCACCTGCTAGAGCCTTCCCATTCTTCTTTCATCTCCTACTGCAGGTCAGCCCAGCCTCCCCCTCCTGCCATGCTGTGAGGCTCTGGGGGCCCCCCTCACCCCCTAACCTCCAGGGGCAGTAAGGAGGGGTTTTAACTGGCTCCTGTGCATAATACCCTAGAATGGGAGAGTACTCACACTCCACAGGATTGCTGCCTCCTCTCCTCATCACCTTCCTCTTAGGCCCCATGCCTCCTTCAGTGACTTTGCTCCCTGAGAGCTGCTTAACACTCATTTTAACTGTGTTTGTTTTTAACCATAGTCTGCACCCGGCCAAGTTCTAAAACAGCCAGTTGCACCTATTCAAGGCCCCTTAGCTTCATTCCACCTCCTGCTCATAAATGTGCTTTGCCAGGACTCCTCTCCCAGCCCTAGGACTGACCCTGGAGGTTTCTGCATCTACACTGTCACCCCAACCCCAGGTGCCTGCCCAGCCTCCCCCTCAGGCATGCCCAACACAGGCCACTGCGGTGCCCTTGTCCTCCCTTCTCCTCCCCCACCCAAACCCCTGCTGACAGCTATTAAAGGTCAAGCGAGCGAGTGTGCAGCCCAAAAGATAGCAACTCAGGATAGAAGCTTCAGCTTTGGCTTTTAATAAATTAAAACGGACACATGGCCACCCACTAACCCTTTGGGCAGTGTTCAGTCCTAGAAGAGGGGAGTGACCAGGTGGGACAGCCCATCTTCCGGGCCTGTGCCCGGCCTTCTCCCTGTGGGTTGGCGTATCCAGAGCTGCTGTCAGGGAGTCTGGACAGAGAGCTTGTGGCTGAGAATTGTGTGGCCCTAGCTGCGGCCCAGTGTCCAAGCTCAATAGAAGGAAGACAGAGGCCTTCCTGGCCAGGTGGCTCTGGTAGCTCCAGCCTCGCTCTGGGCAGAGGCAGAGGCAGAGGAAGGGCAGTGGGGACGGGGCAGATCTGGCCAGTCTCACTGGCCACAGCTGCACCTCCCTGAAATTGGTCTCAGTTTCCTGCCCCCCCCCCCCACTCCCAATCTTATATATTACAAAAAATTTGTAATATTCTGGCTACCAGGTCACATTTCCTAGATGTTTTCACACCAGACCACATGTTCCAATTTTTGATTTGGAATATGGGGTCAATGGCTACAAGGCTGTTACTCGAGGACACTTTTCCCATTCCTGGAAAAAGAGCAAAGGTGTGGAATGGGAGCGGGGAGAACGAGATGGGAAGAGGCAGGCTCCAGGCCGATATGGCCCAGCACTGTCTTTGGTTCGGGAGTGTTGGAAGCTGCAGGAGCCCTTGACAAGGAGTGGGATGGGACCTGAAGGTGAGGCGACGCTCGGGGACCAGCTGAGTGATTCAATGAATCTCTTTCCTCCCCCTGCCAACAAAGGTGCAGGAAGCTGTTGACACCACCCCAGGCCCGGGCACCCGTATTTTCTTCTCCTTTCTTTGCACAAATTACATCCTTAAACAAAATATCCAAGTAGGCTCCTTCCCTCTCCCAAGTAGCTTTGTGCAGCGCATTCCCAGTCACCCCTCCCCCCAGGGCGCTTCATGGCTTCTGAGGGAGTGACATTGAGGCCCAGAGCACCTCTGAGTCACCGTGGGATGGGCCTCTGCCTCAGCACACGGAGTGACAAGCTCTCTGCATGGGTCAGGAGCTCCTCAATGTGAGCCAATCCCAGTCCTGCAACCTTGGCCCCGTTCACCTCCAGGATCTCATCCCCCACCCCCAGCAGCCCCGAGTACAGCTTGGCCGTACTTGCATCAGCCATCTCCTGCACGTAGAAGCCTGCAAAGGAAAACAGGAGAACTTAACAAGTGAAATGAGACATGCATCTCTGGCATGCTGACCAGGTGGGTGCTGTTTTTGGTGGGGAGAGGGGCAGGGGCAGGTGCTCATACAGGGCACTTCTGCTCGCGCACACGCACACACACATACACACACACACCCTCATTATTCCCACTCAAAATCACTACTTCATATATAGATATGGTAGAACTTCATTTCTCCATCTCCTCTTTTAAAATGCCCTAGTGCAAATAATGCTTTCAGCTGTAATGGTTCACATATACTCCAGTGTGAATGAGCTAATCTTAGCTTTTTCTGAGATGAGCTTTGATTGTAGAATAGGAAAATAATGTTTAAAAATTAGGAAAACGACCTACGACGTGTCCGGCACAGTGCTAAATGGCACTCACACACAAACTCCACTGCTGCCCTCAAGTCGCCGAAGCGGGGGGAAGGCATCGCTGAAGTAGCTGAGGTCCAGTCCAAGCCTGGCTTGCTTCCTGGTATTGTCTAGGGCTAGCCCTGGCCTCAGTCTTCCCCAAATTTAAAGACATGGTGCCTCCCTTTTCCCTTCTTCACCCCACCCCCCACCGCCCCCGAGAGGCCCTGCCTGGCCAGTGTGACCATTCCGAGGTCTCCAAAGTGCATCGGGAGCCCTGGGAGAACCCACTCCTCCCCTGGGTCTGACTCAGAGAACCCACGTTGGTGGGACAGGCTCTGTGGGGCCTCAGGGCTGGATAGGCCGGGTGACCCTCGCCTCTCCTGGCCACACAGGAGAGGGTTCCCCTCTCAGCAAAACTTATGCTGAAAACCTTTCAAACCCCTTCAGCTGCTTCCACTTACAAGGTTAGAGGAGGGGCAGGCTCTTCCAGGGAAATCTGGTGAACACAGGTGTCTGAGGGCACCAGCCCAGGTCACTGGGGGGCCGCAGGGGATGATTGACACCGGCAGAATTCATGGGGGGAGGGGGGTGTTGGGGGGGACTTTGCGAGGCCTCAACGCCCTCCCTGCTGCCAGCCCAGGCTCAGCTGGCTCCCTCCACACTGAACAGCTGCCTGTGCATCACTCCCCACCTCCTCTTCCTGGAACCAGCTTCCTTAGAAGGGACACGAAAGGGCCACTTGCCCTGTTTCTCAGTCTCTGACCTAAAGCCATTTAACACATCTCGGACCAGTGGGAACTCATCTCTCTGATCCATGCGGCCCAACTCTGGCCCCAGCAGTCAAGCTTTCCAGAGCCCACTCTGTGGAATTTGGGTTTGAATGTACATTGAAATCTCCTCTGAGGCACCTGAGGATTTGTAGCTCTGGGTTTAGCAAATCCGATTTTTTTTCAAGTTCCCTGTCCCTGGGCTGAGGTGGGGAGCCCCTTTCGGTGTTTCTCAGTCACCCCTAGCCTTTCCTGAGAGGCTGTCTCCCCCCAGCAAGGTACATCTGTCATCTTGATTGCACAGGCTTCTATCTCTCAGGCCCTGTCTTCTACCTCTGCCATCTGGGTGTTTGAACTGCTTGCTGGCCTGTCTGCATGTTGGAAAAAGGCAGGTAAAATAGGGAGGGGTAATGCCTGTAGAAATGGCTGCTATACAGCAGGATGTGAGGTGGGGAGTGTTGAGAAAACCCAAAAGAATGCAGCCAGAGACAGACCAGACACTGATGTCACGCCAGCCATTTGGGGGAGACTCTGGGGTAGGTTTTACAACTGAAAGTCATGACAAAAATATGACAGAGAGACTGCTTTGTAGGCATTTATTGGCTGCTGGACACGGCCTTTGCTAAGGATTTATGCTCCTTATGTTGCATTAGAAGCAGAAGACAAAGCCTGCTATTCTCTCATGCTTGTATAGAATCGGATGTGGTAGCCAGCAAGTTAGCACCAGCATCTTGACTCTTTAGGAAGGATTGCAAACCAACCCCAGCCCACAGAGCCACTGAGGCCCAGGAAAAAGGACTCTTGGCTGCGGGAGGACGGCGTGTGGTCAGGAGGCCCTGTTCCGCATGCATGGGGATCTCTGTGACATCCGGCGGCTAGCTGCAGCAGTAGAGGCAGGACACCACCTGGGCAGGACAGGGAAGAGCTCTCACCAACCAGGTGAGGGAGCCTGGGAGAGTGGGCCAGGGCAGAGCCCGAGGAGCCCTTGGTGATTACAGACCCCTGCCCATCCGAACTCCATGACAGGTGATGGGGGAGGGGATCCCACTGCCTACAGAGGATCCTAAAAGGACTTTTGGGGAGTATGGGGGGCCGAGTACATGCTTGGTTGTGTATGATCTCACACTGACAGATGATGCCAGTCCCCATCTGGAATTCTGCTCCCCAAATACATTCTCTTTCTGAGGAGGGAAGTGAAGAAAAGCGCCAGGCACTTTTCTCCGTACGCCACCGAATGCTCCTTCTGACTCCGCCAGGGTCTGGGAGCCAGGATGCCTGAGAACCTAACCCTCGGGAGCCAGCTCTGAGGGAGGGGCCTGGATGCACAGACAGGCAGGCACATTCCGCGTGCCCAGACACACTCAGCAGCTGGAGGAGGGAACCATTTAAACACATCGGCCACATCAAAGGACTGCCTCTGAGAACTGGCAAGCACAGAGTCTCCCTCTGGCTCCCCAGTGAATAGTTGGCCTTCAAGATTCTGATTTTAAGAATGTCATCAGACAGCAGAGGGACAGTGGGGTCAGGCCTGCCAAGAGCTACTTCCCCCGCCCCCAGCAGCCCCATACCTTGACTCTTCAGAAAGAGCCCCTGTGGGGAGAACTCTAGTCCTTTTGATAAGAGGTTCTCTGAGCCCAGAGCTCCACTGCTCAGCCAAAGACCAGAAAAAAACTCTGATCACCAGTGTGGTTTGCTAAGGTCCCAGGGCTGTGGGGCCCAGAAAGCGGAGGGAGTGTACCTGAGTCCCGGCGCCCATTCCCGGAGGCCACACAGAAGCCAAAAGTGCCCTCTGGGGAGCGTTGCAGCTGCAGCTGGCTGGTGCCGTCTGGGAACACCTCCACCACGTGGCCTACTGTGCGGGCCAGGCTGGGGGCACCCACATCCTCCACGCTGAGCGCACGCCGGGGCGGGGCCTTGGCTAACCTGCATGGGGACCGGAGACAGAGTGAGGGCGATGAGGGCTGGCACTGGGCTCCAGCCCCTTGGCTTAAAGAAGACTTGCCTCTCCACTGACGGCTGGGGCTCCAGCATGAAGAGCCTGCTAGGGCCGAGACTGGCACCCCCATCTTGAAGCTCCCCAGCCTGCTGCTGCACCAGAAGCCCCAGCCATGAGCAAAGTTTTTTAACCTTTTCAGGTACAGAGACTTCTCTGAGAACCTGATGAAAGCTGTAATTTTATATAAAATTTCCAGGAGTTAACGGACACCCTGAAGTCCCTCCATGGAACTCTAGGTAAGAGCAGCTAACCTAGAGGGTCACAGGTCAAGCGCCTTCTCCAGGCAGGGTCACAGGTCAGGGGCCTCTTTTGAGGTCTCTGTCTCTTTAATTTGATCTTTAACTGAACTAAGGTCGGTCTCTGGACATTCTGACTTCAAGATGTCATCAGACAGCAGAGAGATGGAGGAATCAAACCTTCCAACTCTACCCTTTCAGCACCCCACACCTTCTCAAAGCTCAACTGCACATGAGGTGTGGGTTCCAAGACTCCTGTGGCACCTGAGGCTCAGAGAACTGGCCTCTTTCTCTTAATGGGATCCCGTTCAGGGCCATGCTGCTGAGGCAAGAAGTTAGGCTTATGGTTCCATTGTCCATTCTTAGTGTGTCCTCTAGACCACTTGCCCACTTGCCCACTCTTACCTGCCAGGTTCACTGTGGTCCCCTGGCTCCCCTACCAGGTACAGGCTGGACCGGTCCACCTTGCCACTCAGCAAAGAATAGAGGTTCTGAAAGGAGGCAGCTTTCCGATGTTGGTGAGAGGGTGACACCTAGAGGTAAAGGTCCAATATTGCAGGTGAGAAAAGCCACCTGGCAAGGGGATGACAGAGACTTGACCCCAACCATGAACCTGAGGGGCCTCTTTCAAAGTAACAGGAGGAGTTTTGTCACTACTTCAAGCTGCTGCGCCATAATTTACTCAAGTAGATGGGTCTACACAGGTGATATGATCTGAAGCTTCCAGGTTTGGGGTTTTCTTGGCTGAAATAACAATTTAGTACTAAGACACTAATTACCACACCACTTATTAAGAAAATCTAATTTTCTTGTTAAAAAAAAAAGTAAAATCAAATTAATTATAGAATAACAAACATAACTTTAGAGTTAAAATGTTAGTGTTTTTGCGATTCTTTAGTATATCCCTTTTATGATCAGTTACATTTAAAATTTTTAATCTAAGTGTGCACCTTAAACCATCATGAATAAAAAGATGGCAAAGACAAAAGTCCCTTGAGGACTTTTCCCAGTGGTGGGTGTGGGGTGGGCACAGGTAAGTTAAAGGCCCTAAATGCAGTAGGAAGTGCTTGGTTGAAAGTGCAGATGATGTGCAGGGAAGCAGAAAGAGACTTCGTTTGGCTTAGGAGGCCTGGGGACACTTAGAGGAGCTGATCTCTGAGTGAGGCTTGAGGCAGGAACCCGTGAGGTGAATTCAGGGGTAGCGTGCTCCAGGGAGAAGAAACAGCAGGTACGAAGACATGGAGGGACGAGGGAAAACATGGTCGGTTCTGGGTCATACTCATGGTCTGGTGGTGAGGCTGCAGAGGTGATGGGAGGTGGGCTGGAGCAAGGGGCCAGCCCTGGAAGGACCTCGTATGGCCTGCTAGAGAGCCCCTGAGTGATGCTCATCTGAAGAGTTACAAAATCTGATCTGTGTTCTAGAAATCGACCCAGTGAGGAGCCCATTCGGAAGGTGGGGGGTAGGAATGGTAGGGAGAAGCAGACTTTAAAACAAATGTTACAGACATGTATTACATTTGGAATCCATGCTCTAGAGAAATAAGGCATATCATCAAGAAATTGAAGGGGGCGGGGATTTGTAGCTGGTTTATATCAGAGTTCAACGAGGCTTCCTGGGATAAGTCATGTTAACGCAGACCTGAAGGACAAGCAGGAGTTTCCTGAGGAGAGCCTTCCAGATGCAGGTTTAAAGGAAAGAGCCATAGTCAGTGGAGGATGTGGGAGTATCAGGAGGGGGCGGGTGAGAGAACAGGGCCGCTGCCCACTCAGGAGGGCAAAACGGAAAGCAAGCTGCTGCAGCATGCACCCACCCTCTCACCCCACACCCGGCGGCACAAGTCTAACAGGAAGTCGCTCGCCCTGAGCTATGTCCTGAATAGTTCTGGGTGAGAGATGGGTTCTTCTTTTATCCTCTTTTTCCAGTTCTTGTACATTTCTTTCTACTCCTCAGTCCGCCCTTTCTCACCAGCTTGCTCTCTCCCTTCCCACTCGGCTTAGATTGCTGACAGCACCTCTACTACACTGACATCATTGTCACTTCCCTAGAGGGCTTTACAGAGCTCTGAGGGCAACACACCAGGTGTCCTGGCTCAGATATACAGGGGACAGATCTAACTTCATGGGGAAAGTGAATTTCTGGAGCATGGTGTCACTCTCGGGTCCTCTTCTCAGCTTATATAAGGCTGTTTTGTTTCTGTTTTTGCCTTCCATTCATTCATCCAGCAAATACTTATTGAATGCCAACCACGTACCAGGTAGTGTTCCTGGAGCCAGACTGAAATGGAATTTTCATTCAGTCTGAAAATAAAAGACTCCAGTACAGCAAACCACAATCACCTGCTTCCTTCCACCCAGGGAGGGGAGCAGAGACTAGAAGAACAAACATAATACTGGAAACACCTGGAACAGAACAGGGTTTTCAGAAACATAGCTGAGTCAGTGAGCTGCTGTTGGTTTACCCTCCAGCACATGGGGAGGGACAATTCAGGCTGCCCTGCATCTACTCACTCACTGTGCATTATGTCTACGATAGTCACCATTGTACTGAATATTGGGAATATAAAGATCAACGGTGTTCCCTCAAAGAAGTCACACTCCAGTGAGGGGAGACAAACAAAAATCAATTAAAATACTATGTGCAAGTTCCACCAAAGAGGGTAGCCCAGAATGAGATAAAAACATAGAGTAAGGAAGGGTAGGAAGTGGCTTCCTGGAAGATGCAATGGCTGAAGTATCCTTGGATGAGAAGACATTAGCAGGTAGAGAAGGCAGGAGAAAAGAAACATGAAGGTTGAAAGTCAGACAGTGTGTGGCCTTCATGACAGAACTTCAAGGTCAAGGACAACTGGGCTGAGTGTTAGAAGGATAGTGATGAGAGATGAAAGCAGTCAGATCACAGAAACCCTCTGGCATTGTCAAGTGACCTGAGCTTTATCCTGAGAGTGGTAAGGGACCAATGGCCTGTATGAAGTGAGGGCATGGTAAGCCAGATTTGCATAGCAGAAGGACCTTTCTGGAAGCCAGTGGAGAAAGACAGACAGGAATGCCAGTCTGGAGGTCCTGGAGGTATCCAGGAAGTGATTTGTGCTAGACTAAGGGTCACTGTGGCCATGAAGAAGGTTCTAGAATGACCAGGCAGTAGACTCCAGGTCTTGGCAGCAGTGACAGAGTTGAAGGAGGGGGAGAGGAAGGCATCTAGGATGAGTCCATACTGGAAAGCCGGTGGGGGAGGGGAGATGCTGCTACCGTACTGCGTCCTGGGGACCCAAGTCTCAGAGATCAACTGTGGGGAGGCAGGAGCCTCCTTTTCTCCACCTTTGCCTCCTCAGCACTTCATTTCTCCTTTCACCTTTTGTTCCAATGGTGCCTACACCACCACCTGCTTCACACAGCCCTTGTCTGGGCCCTTCGGACTCACCAGATGCAGGGATTGTAACGATGGGGCTCTCTTCACTTTGGGGGTGCTGGTGTGTGAAGCCGGACCAGGTGCAGGGGGCTGCAGCTGCTCCACACTGCGGCTGCGGGACTTGCCCAACTTGGGCCGTGTGCCCTGGCCCAAGGCCAAGAAGAACTTTTTCAGCCCAAGGGTGGTGATGCTGCTGCTGGCTTTCTTGTTCCTGTCAGAAGGGGCAGCTGAGGGCGGGCCAGGTCCTGCACTGACCCCTGGTAGGTCTCTGAAATGCAAGGGTGGACATGAGGTTGGGGGGAGAGGGCTGTGGAAGCGAGGTGGGCTTCTCCTGAGGGTTCTGTGGGCCCCGGATGAGCCAGCACCACGCCTTGTGGAGGAAGAGACAGCCAGGCTGCAGAAAGAAAGGCTGAGTGGATCTTGCACGGTAGCTTTTAGAAAGGGCAGCTCAAACAGGACCCTTGGTTTCACACTCAACAGTGGGTTTACCCGATAGTTCATTCATTCATTTGCTCATTCACTATTTCCAAAGAACCTCTTCTAGGCCTCTCGTAGGCACTGGGACATGTGGCAAATGGCCTGGGTAAGTGAGAGTGATAAGCAGACAGACAAGGTTCTGACTCTTGGGAGCTTATAAACAGCAGATTAGGAAAAAAAGGAGAGACACCATCAGCGACTGCTGAGTAGGGTGAAGCAGAGAGAGACAGGGTGGCCAGGGAAGGCCTCTCTGAGGAGGTGACCTTTAAACTGAAAGTTGAATGGCAAGAAGTCAGTCCCACCAAGCCCAGAAATGAGAGCTCCAGGGAGAAAAAAGCTGGCAACAAAGCTCGAGGGCAGGAAGGGGGTCGGTGCACTCAAGAACATAGCGGGGCCAGGCCGTTAGGACGTGGATATCATCATGAGCAAGGGACAAGAAGCAGGTAAGGTCAGACAGGCAGATTACACTGACCACATAAACCAAGGCGAGAGGTTTGAATTCTACTCCAAGCTAAAGGAAAAACATGATGGGTTTTAAGTAAGAGAAATGACATCAATGAATTAAAGTTTTCAAAGCTACCTTTGACTCTTGTGTGGAGAAGGGACTAGAGGGGCAAGAAGGAAGGCAGAGAGCAGCAGGGCTGTTAGAGTTGCACAGAAAGAAGTAAGGCAGCTTAGACCAGGAGAAATGCAACACGGGTGGGCCTGGGGCTGGAGAGGACCGGCCAGTGGGTTGGATTCGGAAAGAAGGAAAATGGGGCAGCTCAGAGGATGCCCAGCTGTGGGTGTGAGCACTGTGGAGTGGTTCTGTGTTTGTGGGGAAGAGGCCCTGGGGGAAGCGGTTTTGGTTGGGGTGATCAACAATTCAGCGAGGCTCTCAGACACCCTGGTGGACATGTCAGGGAAAACTGGATGCACAGGTGTGGCGTTTGGGCGCACACAGGGCTGGAGATGGAGACTGGCTTTCAGTGGCACGTGAAGCCTTGGGTCATATGTCACCATGAATGATGCATAGCAGAGAAGAGGTGGCCCTGGCTAGAGGATGGCTCCCCAGAACAAGGACTCAGACATCACGCTAAAGAGAATGGCAATGTGAATGCTGAGCTCTTTCCTCAGCATCTGGTTGTCTCCAAGCCCAGGGCGAGGAACAAGTCCTCTCAGACAGGCTGTCCCAACCTGGGGCACCTTGAGGGCTGAGACTGGCTGGCCAGCTGTGCCTAGCACAGCACCTGGAGCTTGAGGCCATTCAGTGAATGTTTGGTGAATACATAATCAAGCACATTAGGTTGGAAATGTTTGGGAGAGAAGGATTGGGGTGCCATGGTTAGATGTAAGTCTGGGAACCCGCCAAGGACTTGGGAGCAGTGAGGTCAGTCATGCTACCACTCCAGGGGGGCTCTTTCTTCACTTAGCACCTCCCACCCCCCACCTCCTACGGGCAGGGCTCACTCTTGCTCCTGTCACTCACTGGGATGACACAAGCCCTTCAGAACTTGACTCTGTCCTCTGCAGGCCTTCCTCTGGTTCCTGGCTGGACTCTGGCTCCTCTAAAGCCAGGGAGAAGGTGACACCCATGGAGCTGACGGTGCCAACACCTGTGGAGGTGAGAAAGTCATGGATTCCTCCTGCAACAACCACAGCATCCCTCCCATGTCACTGACCCATCCCACAAGGGAGGGGACAGTCCCAACCCAGAGGCAGGAGAGCCGGAGAAAGCTGGAGAGAGGCAGTGGTGAGACCCACAAAACAGGGACAGGGCTTTACTTACTGCTGTTACCCCATTTCCCCCAGCACAATACTGGTGCACAGTAGCTGATTAATTAATGCCTGTTAAATGAAGGGACTGTTTGTGGTAAGTCATGTCCCTCTTATATCAAGAGACATAGTTGAGAGCAGGGGAATATTTTGTATTCCTGAGGCATCTGGAATGTGCTGGGCAATGAGTTAGCCCCTCCCCAGAGATTATTTCATGGGTTCCTAGGAGACAGGGTCTATGATTACCCTCAGATTACAGTGGAGGAGCCTGGAGTGTAAAGGGGTCCAGTGACATGCCCAGGACCTCCTGGCTAATGAGAAGAGGAGCCTCACCTGGGCCTCTGCTCCAGGCCCCAAGGAGGTGAAGATCGGCTGCCCAAAAAGGTCAGCAGTTCTCAGAATAGAAGATCCACAGGAAGTGGTTAAGGGCAGCCAGCCTAGAGCCCACCAGGGAAGGAAACCACACCTTAGTTCAAGGAGGGGCCTGCTTCCTCCAGGTTCATGTGAGCAAGGGAGGGAGAGGGAAAGTGTATCTCTGTGTGCAGGGGAGGGGTGGCCAGCACACAGGGTGGGGAGAGTCTTGGCATCCACATCCTCAGTAAGGTCAGTATGGCCTGTCGTCTGTCTGCCCTCTCCTCCTCCACTGTGTCCAAGCCTTCAATCCCTCCTGAGCCAGCCCAGCCCCAGGGCTGCCAGAGCTGTGGGCACATTAAAGCAGGCTGTGTGGGGTGGGCGTGTGTCTCCTGCCTAAAGGAACTGGCTGAGGTGCTCACCTTAGCTCACAACATCAGGGATCAGAGCTAAGGCTGCTGATGCCCAGGTTTGCCCACATTATGTGGACCCCTTCCAAGGGCAGAGGTGATATCCTACATCCTTTGCCTGCTGAAACACACCAGTCTGTCCAGCAGGGCCAGGGGTCTGGGGGGGCGGGGGCCTCAGGTGCCAGAGAGCAAACCCAGAATTCCTTGTAAGAGCTTTGCCTACTGGTCACTGTGTCCTCTGGACCAGCGGTTGCCAAACTTTCAGACCTCTGTGGACCACTGGTTGGCAATCGCTGCTCCAAAGGTTTCCTTAAACCAGCAGTCGCCAACCTTTCGGACTTCACAGACCACAAGTGGTCCATGGACCACTGGTGGGCGACCGCTGCTCTAGACAGCATGTCTGTGCCTGGCCACGGAAGGTCTCAAGGGCAGGACTGCTGCTGAATTAATTCACTTATTGCATTTATTCCCCTCAGTGCCTAGAACAGTGCCTGGCATGTAACAGGTGCTCAAACAATACTGAATGAATGAAATGAAGACACTGAAGGGGCATTTTAGCACTTACTACTCTAAGCAAATGGTCAATCCTAGAGCTGCTGCCTCTCCTAGCTCTGCTGATGGTACAATTTCCTTGCAGCCCAGGCCACCAGGAGCCGCTTAGCTTGGACCTTCTATACACCCCTCAGGATTCCCAGAGGTCAGAGGCTTCAGCACCACTTTCCCATGCTCTGCCTCCTCAGGGGAGTTGTTAACCCGCCTCCAGGCTGATGCTGAACCCTACACCCAGCCCACAGACCCTGCTAGCTTCCCTGACACCTGCCATTGATCAGGGGGCTCCACGGGGCTGCTAGGAATGGTGTGTGGCCGTGTAACTTATGAAGATGAGCAGTAAGAGAAGGATGTGTGAGACCACAGACTTGGCTTCAGCTCTAGGACTGCCCCAGACTGGGGCCACCTTACCACCTCTGCAGTTCTCCAGGGGTGCCTCTGGCTCCTGGCTGCTGGTGCCCTTCTCCACCCTGCCCTCGAGGACAGCGCCCCCCGAGGACCCAGGCACACTGTTGTTGCAGTTGTTGGTGGAGAGGCCCAGCAGTGGGTACCCGCTGTGGTGGCTGCAGGGCTGTGTCTGTGGGGGGCTGAGCTCACAGGTCCTGGGAACTACACTTCCTGAAGGAGGCCGGGGGGTGCCAGCAGATTCTCCCCGGTCACCAGGCCTGCGGGGTGCCTTCCTGTGAGGCCCAGGTGAAGTGGTTTTCCTGGAAGAAGGAGGAGTTGGCACCCAGCCTTCCCAGGAAAGGGAAGCCGTTGGCTGCTGGGCCTGGTGTGGGGCAGAGGGCTCTGCATGGCTCTGTTGCAGGGGGATGGTTTCCAGAGATTGGTGGCTTCCCATAACCTGGTCTTGTCTGCCTGGCCCCAAGGGTGCCAGCTTCACGAAGGAGGCTGGGGCACAGGCCTTCCGGCACAGAGCCGAGGAATCCACAGAGGGAGCCCAGTGGTTTCCTGGTCGCAACTCCCCCTGGGGCCCCAGGGGGGCCCCCTCAGGTTCCTGCCCAGGAGGCTTGGAGTAAGGGTTTTCTCTGGGGAACAGAGTCCCCTCGGGTGTGTGTCCTCTGCCTTCTTTCACTGCATCTGAAACCTCCAGGAGATCAACCCCAGGCAGGTTGTGCGGGGCCAGAGGGCTCTCCGGTGGTTCCCTTTCAGCCTTCCGGCACCACCTGTGGCCTCCACGAGGCCTGGAGCCCCGCAGTCGGGGGCCGCGGGCTCTGGGGGGCTGAGAGGTCCCGGCCTCTTCGCTGTCGGTCCTGCAGCTGTCGGAGGTGTCCGTGCTGTCCAGGGCGGAGTCCACCTCCTCGGGGCGCACAGAGTCTCCCATACCTATCTCCCGGATCCGTTCGGTGCGGGGCCCTTGCTCGGCGGGGAGCAGCCTGAAGGGGGCGCTCAAGCCCCAAGAGCTAAGGGGCTCTGCCAACCCTCCCTCCAGCCCACAGGCAGTCCCGTGCTCCTGGAGGAGCTGGGGGTCCCGGGCTGCCTTCCCAAGGGCAGGGCGTAGATCCTCGATGCAACTGCCACAGGCTCGGCAGGTCCTCTCGATGCCCCGTGTGGGCGGCCGCTCCGGGAAGGCTCTCCGGTCCAGGTGGCCCACAAGCCTGTGCAGAGTCCGTTCACTTGCGTCCCTGCGCACGAGGCCTCCGGCGATGTAGTCTGCGAGCTCTGGCTTGGAGCGCAGGGGGCCCTGCTCGGCCATCTGCAGCGCAGGACTCAGCACCTGGCGCTGGCGCTGCTGCAGCCGCTCCAGGTAGCGGGACTCGGCCTCCCGGGCAGACTTGTCCTCAAAGCGGACATGGGACGGGGAGGGGCCCCGCTTCGGCCACTGCCCGCTGCTGGACTCCCCGCTGGAGGAGTCGCTCGTGCTCCCGTTGTGGCGGTTGTCTCTGCAGGCAAAGGGCATCCTCCGGTCCAGGGCTGGGTTTCTCCTGCCATCCCTGATGGGGAGACAGAAGCAAGGCCACAGAAGTGAGGAGGAAGGTAGCCTAGGGTGCTCCGTGGTAACCACAACCCCAAAGTTACCCCAAATCAGGTTCCTGGGGAGTCAGGCAGCAAACCAGAGTAGCTCACAAGCCCATCCAGAGCCGGAGACATGGCGCTAAAGAGGATCAACAGGACCTTCTTTATTGTGCATTTCCCTCTATTGCCAGCTCAGCCTGAGTTAAGATGAAACTTTAGGATTGTATAGGAAGATGACACCAAAGTCTTCCAGCGTGGCATGCGTGATGTGCGTTTGTGCGTGTGCACACACACGCGTGTGCACACAGGAGTACATGAGCCTGGCCACCATGGCATCTGGCAGTGATGACTTGTGGCAGTACCGTATTTGCTATAAAGAGTTAATGGGAAGAGTACATTTTAAGTCTCTACAGAGACTGTGTGGGACCAGAAGTTAGGGTTTCTTGCTCTCCCTCTGGGTTCCCAATCATCTTGCTTAGACAAAATTTAGACAGAGCGACATTGATGCTCCAGATGCTCCCTCTGTCTGTTCCCACACCCCTTCCCTGTACCTGTCCCACCTCAGCTCCTCAAGCACACTCATCCTGAAAAGCTGTGATGAGAATTACCGTGCTAGGAAAGGTCTCCGCATTCTGTTACCAACCTGTGCTCTGGGAGACACTGTGCCTGGTGGTCAAGTCAGATCTCACACCAGGGCGCCCTGGAGCAGGTTACCAGACTTTCAGACCACTATGCAAATGGACCCATTTTTCTGTCAGGGGCCAGGTAAGTACCATACTTCTCCCTCCCTGAGGACCCACCTACACCTGGATCACTTTAGGCTGTCAGGACCTGAGGAAGGGGCTATGGGACAATCACATCTAAAAAGGGATCCAGGTCCTGCCAGCCACATCACTGACCTTAACTTTTATTTTTTAAAATAAATTTTATTGATTTCAGAGGGAGAGAGAAATAGAAACATCAATGATGAGAATCATTCATCAGCTGCCTCCTACATGCCCCACACTGGGGATCAAGCCTGCACCCTGGGCATGTACCCTGACTGGGAATTGAACCTTAACCTCCTGGCTCATGGGTTGATGCTCAACCACTGAGCCATGCTGGTCGGGCTGACCTTAACGTTTAATACAAGATGGTGAACTGAGTCACCCTGGAATTTATGCCAAAGGTAGAAGTACTATTTTTGTTCCCAAAGGAGAACTGAAGGAGAGCTTAATCACATGAGGCACCTTCAACTCAAGTATTAAAACCCAGAGGCCTCCACCAGCAGTGCTGGGACAGTGCAGAAAGGTGCCAGGAGGATTTGGAAGACAAGTGCAGAGCAAACAAGGCACTTCGGCAGCGAGCAAATCCCACCCTGTTAAGCTTCTCAGCCAGCAGATACCTCAGTATGCATCCTCGGAGAGTACTCTGTCAGGCTCAGAACCTGGGCTGAATGGCCTATGGGAAGGATGGGAAGGCCACCTTCTAGAGCCCACTTCCTGTAACAATGCTGTCCTAACTACACACTCAATACATCCCACTCAAGCTCTACAGTTTGAACACAGCCACTTTCTGACACAAGACAATGGCACTTATGGTGTCACCTCCCAGGTCCTGCATCTTGCTGACATGTTTACCCTCCTGAGATTAGACCACCAGGCTAGGTGTATCTGTCCCCCAAACGGCAAGAGCGTGTATTTCCAGGAGCTGCTTGATATCAACGCTGATGTGTTTCCTCTGGGCTGGCGGGGTATAGGGAGGCTCCTGCATCTAACCCAGGCCCAGGGCCTACGTGGCATCTCTATGTTAACTCAGCACGGCTCTCCAGGATGATCTGACCAGCATAACCTTTAAGAGCATCTGTACCAAGCCATCTGGCGCTGATTTTCAGCTCTACCCTCTGAGGATTCACCAGTGCTGCCAAGTCAAAGTAATTCCTTTCTGGACACAGCAGCTGCTAAAGTGGGTCGCCTTGCTTTCTGATAGCATTTCTACAGCCAGGGGACAGGCTGGCAGAGGGGAACCTACTTAAGGTCAGTGAATGGGTTTATGTGAGCTGCTGACACGATTCAGGGAAGAGGAAGCATACAAGAGTACATTTACGTAGTGAAGTATATTTTGCAAATAGACTGGCCTATGTGAGGCTACCCAATCCAACCTATATACCTGTGGAAAGTGAAACAGGAGGGTTCCATGGAAGTCGAAGGCTCTGGGCCCCATATACATGCAGAGAACAGTTAGGTTGCTTCAGAGAAGCCATGCCCATTCATAACTAGTGCTCTCCAGCCAGAGGAAGACAAGGCACAAAATGTGTAAATAAAAGGGTAGCCTGTTTGGCACCTGTTGCCAGGGTATGGGTTCTCCTGAGCCCCTCTCCGAAGGGCCACACTGACACTGAGCACAGAGGCAGGCCACAGCCCTCGGCTCATGCTGGAGTTATCTCAATGGTGCTGTGAAGGTCCTCGCCCTTTCATGATTGGGCTCAGCATCCTCCATCAAAGAGCATGTGGTGCAGTTCCACTGAGAAGCCTCATTTCCTCTAGTGCCACGTGGTGATGAAAACTGGCAGGCCCAGCACGCCCACCATGCCACGGAAGCCACAGGCCTTATCGACCACAGAGAGGGTTCTGCTCAGGCCTGGTGCAATCTGCCATGGGCTGGCCGTCTCATCTCAGGCCCAGAACTCCACATGTAAGTGGTTCTTTGCAGTGCACCATACATGGAACAGTCCCAATGATGGTGATAGGGTGTGACTCAGGGAGCAGCCACATATGTGAAGTGCTGGTCTGAATTTCCTTGAACTTGTTTCTTTCCCATCTCTCCATCCTTGATGCACTCAGGCTCACCCACAGCTTCAGCATCATGAAAACAGGGTAATACCCAAATCTGCAGTTCTGACCTCTCTCCTCCTCTACAGATCCCATATCCAACTGCCTGATAAGGGTCTCTAGTGGGTGTTCCAGGGGTAACTCCCTTCCAAGCCTGGCCCTGCACCCAGGCCTCACCCCTTGCATAAGGTCCCATCGAACCTTTAGACCCCAAGTCAGAACCCTGGGCTCCATCCTGGATGCCTCCCCTCTCCTACTTCCTACATCTAGTTAATTACTAGATGTAATTAAAAGGGGTAGTCCCCCCTTTTCTGTGTATTCGCTTTCTGTGGTCTCAGTTACCTGCGGTCAACAGCTGTCAGAAAATATTAAGTGGAAAATTCCAGAAATAAAGAATTCATAAGTTTTCAATTGCATGCCATTCTCAGCTATGTGATGAAATCTTGCACTGTCCCACACCATCCCACAGGGACATGAATCATCCCTTTGTTTAGTGTGTCTCCACACTGTATATGCTCTCCGCCCATTAGTCACTTAGTAGCTCTCTCAGTTATCAGATCAACTGTGTGGTATCGCAGTGCTTGTGTTCAAGTAGCTCTTATTTTACCTAATAATGGCCCCAAAGAGCAATCGCAGTGATGTTGACAATTCGGATATGCCAAAGCGAAGCTATAATGTGCTTCCTTTAAGTGAAAAGGTATGAATGTAGAGGAAAAACATAGAGTATATAGGGTTTATTACTATCTCTAGTTTCAGGCACCCATTGCGGGTCTTGGAACATATCCCCCAGTGGAGAAGTGGAGACCACTCTAAGTTACTTTCCAGAGGTAACACTCACAGAGTACTCACTATGTGCTAGGAGCTATTCTAAACACTTTACATGTATTTATTAACTCATATAACCCTCACAACAACTCTGTAACATAGGCACTATTATAATCCCCATTTTGCAGATGAGGAAACTGAGGCACTGAGACTTCCCCAAAGACACACAGCTAAAAAGAGGCAGAGCCAAAATTCAACCCAGTGGTCTGGTTCCAGAGTCTTCTAGCCACTTTCTCTGCCGCCTCATTAAAGCTGCTTCCTTCTGGCTCTCAGTAATCTCTTGTCTCCAAACCCTCCTCCCTATCACATTGCACCAGGAGCGTGGTGCAGTCTCCTCACTGCCCCCGGAACCCCAGATCCAACACATCTTTGCAGCCAGGACCGCTTTACTGAATCACAAACGTGATCATGCTACTCACCTGCTTAAAACCCTTTGTGATGCCTCACTGTTATGAGAGACATGCAAACTGTTCAGCAGTCCTGGGGGCTTCCATGACTGGCCTGCGCGGAGCTCTCTGGCCTTCACACCATGCACCCAACAGGTCCTCAGGCTCCAGCCTGGCCAAACTCCTGAGCACAGGGCTTCTGCTTGTGATTTCTGCCCTGGGATGCTCACCCCTGCCTCCCTCATCTGTCCAGTGAATATTCAGTCTCCTTCAAGCCCCAACTTAGAAACCGCCTCCTCTTGAGCCTCCCAGTCCTCCCCAGGTGAAGGTACAGATTTCCTGCCCCGCACGCACGTCTTTCCTACACCACGATCCACAGAATTGTATTGATCCCTTTGCCTGCCTTTCTCCCTGGAGACAGTGACTTCTGTCCCTCCAGGGAGCTCGGATTATGTTTTATTCATCTTCATATCCTCAATGCTTAACACTCTAGGCCCTCAGTAAAAGTATGTTGACCAACTAAATGAATTAAAGCAAACACTCGATAAGGGACACACACACACACACACACACACACACACACACACACACACACACAGGAGGAGTGAGCAGAGGTATTTTGGCGAGGTCCCATCTCTTTTCCCTGGCCCAGGCCCCACTCACCGGCCACCCTGGTCAATGGTGGGCATGATATCATGGCTGGCACGGAGGGGCCGGGTCCTGGCCTTCATGCGGGCTCGCTGCAGCAGGTGCTTGGCTTCCTCATGCCTGGGGCTCCTCAGCACGGGCTCCGGCTTGGGGCCAAAGGTCCTGCAGGGTGGCACACAGGCAGGAGCAAGTGGGGGGGGGGGATTAGAAGAAAATAACACGGATTAGGAGGGCTTTAACAGTATCTGGCACGGCTATGCCAGGAAAACCCTGCATGGGCCGCCTTCCTTGTCCAACTCCCACAGAAGGCCCTGAGCTCCTCCGGACAGGGCTGCAGAGCTGGCCCGCCTTGGACATCTGCTCAGGGACCAGAGGCAGAGACCCCAGGAGGATCTAGAAAAGGATAGAGGAGTCTCCAGATTATTTTATTGTTCCTTCCCCGGCAGACAGCAGGAGTTTCATGGCTGGGGGAGGGAGAGAAAAGGGCCTCGGTTGTTGGGTTGGGCCTGTGCCCAGCCAGATGGTCTTTACACGCATCATCTCCCCCTCTCCTTCTGTCTCTTTGCACCCACACATACCCTCTCAAGCTCCCGAGCACCACCATGAGCTCCCCCCACAGGCACAACGACTCAGGGCTCTGCCCATTGCAGCTCTGCTCTTTGGAGAAGTGACATTTTTATAGGTCCTGCTGTTTTCCTGCCTCAGTCCCAATCCAGACCCATCAGGCATCCGTTGAGGGCTGGGAGAAATTAAGCTGGACCCATACCAAGTTGGCAAATGGCTTGATTTTCATAATTATAAGGGTCCTCACCAGCCCTCATCACCTACACATTGTGCTGCCTCCCCAGCCAGTCCAGAGCTGCAGAAAATGACAGCAGCCCTTTTTCAACGCTGTCTTGCAGACAGTGACATACAGCCGGCGCCAGGTTACAGCAGTAACAGCATCCCCACAGCCTCCCGCTGATAAGATGTTTCTCTCCACAGAGCTCACGCTCCCAGCCAGGCCGGCCGAAGGCAGGTGTTCACTCCGTTTGACAGATGAGGGTGTTCCGGAGCAGAGAGGCACACTTGGCACATTGCTCAAGGTCGAACATCAGTTGAGAGCAGAGCAGACAATAGCCAGCCCCACTGCCTCCAGCATCCTTCCCATATCCTCTGTCCCCTCTCCTTCCTGGGTCCCAGGACAGGCTGAGGGTGTTTGTGGCTAGAATCAGACATGCTCTTTGATGTGACTTCAGCATCCCCCGTGGCTGCCCCTGTCCTCACCAGGGAGGTCCGAAGGAGGCGGCTCAGGCAGCGAGAGGCTCAGCAGAGCCTAGTCCTCTGCCTACCCCATTCTTTCCCACCGTATGTAACCTGGAGAAACAGGCCTTGTGCTGATAGGGAGAAGGTGCCAAGTAGTTTCCTAGATGACAGGTGACAGATCTGTGAGTGGCATAACTCTGAAGCCCTCTTGGGGCATCCTGAGATAAGCTCTGGGCAGTCTAGGATTTTTTCCTTTTTCCCTCCTTCCCTCCTTTCTTTCTTTCTTTTTTTCTCCTTCCTTCCTTCCTTCCTTCCTTCCTTCCTTCCTTCCTTCCTTCCTTCCTTCCTTCTTCCTTCCTTTTCTTTTCTTTCTTTCTTTCTTTCTTTCTTTCTTTCTTTCTTTCTTTCTTTCTTTCTTCCTTCCTTCCTTCCTTCCTTCCTTCCTTCCTTCCTTCCTTCCTTCCTTCTTCTTTTCTTTCTTTTTCTTATTATTTGTGCCTAACCCTGCTTTGAGGCCCAAGAAAACAAAAAGTGCTGCTAGTATAAAGGCACCATCTGTGCCTATGAACCCTGGCAGGACCCAGGCACAGTTTTGGAACCAGAAGGGTTGACTAGAGTGATGTGCAAGTGAATCTCCAGGCCTGCTGCCCTGCGCAGCCTCTTTTGGCAGGAGAGGCCTCCCTTTGCACAGCTTCCCGAGCAGGCAGCTCCTCCAACACACTGCTGAGAGCAGCTCTGCTCCCTGGGGCTCCTGCTCCGACAGCAGAGATAATGAGGTTACCAGCCCGGAGAGCCGCCCCTGCAGCTGCGGGCCTCTGGCTGCCAGCCTGCGCACTCGGAACCTTCCGGTGACAGCTGCGTTTCCCTGGCTGTCGGGGGGCATTTGTCACAAGACCTGGTGGGCAGGCAGGAGGGCCCCAGGCAGCTGGCCAGATGCTGCCAAGATCGGCCTTGCCCCAGGTTTCTAAGCCATTTCCCAGCTTTGCTATTTCCTTTCTGTCCCTCAAATTGGAGCGGTTGATTTTTCCCCCTCATCAGCTGCCCTGCTTCGGTTCCTGACACACAAAGCTGTTTTTCCCACTGATTAGAAAAACGGCTTTTGGGGCGCCTGGAGGCATCCATGCAGTAACAAACTGAGAAGGGGGAGAGTGGCAGTCACCTTCACAGATGGCAGCCAATGTTAGCAGGGGAGGCAATTCCTAGTCATGGTACACCCTGGAGAGGGCAGGCACTGCCCAGCCCTTGGAGGGAAGGTGGTATTTCTCCCATGACAGGGGGCATGGGAGATGGTGAGGGATGGTGAGCTTGCCCCAGTCTAACTGCCCACCTCCTATGGCCGCATCATACTGGACCACTACAGGGGTGCCAACCCCAGCAGACAGGCAGGCTCAGACTCTTCCATCTGAGGAAGCCCTTCCAGTCTACTCTGACCTTGGCTTCTGCCAAGGGCACACAGCCCTGGAGCCAAACCCTTCCCATCATGAACTGTCACCCACAACCCCAGCTCTCACAATTCTGGGAAGTGTCCTGAAAGGGCTGGGCAGCTAGAACATGGCTAGGTAAAGGCAATTCCACCTGAGAATAGACGGCTTTGGCCACCTTCCTGAACCCCTGCACACTGGGGCTCGTTTGCTCAGGGGGGAGGGCACAGGGATCAAGTGGCTGAGTGCTTTTCCTCCCTGGGCCTCAGTTTCCCCATCTGTAAACAGCAGGCATATAATAGGGGAGAGGACTCACGACCCTGTGAGTCTGTGTCTTTGGCTAGGGAGTCTAGTGCACCCCAAAGTGGGGTGGGGAGACTCTGACATTCTCCCTGTGGGGTTCACACCACTGATGTTTGGCTCTCAAGGAGCAGCAAACCCTACAAAGACAAGGGGAATTCCATGTGAGTATTCTGGCCCTTCCCTTGGCCCCTCCAACCACCAGGGTCCTAAGCTATTTCCCAAGGACAAAGGGCAGCATGTGGCCCCCTCCCCTCTGGTTTTTCAATCTACGCCAGTTTCTTGTTGAAGGCACAGGCAGGTCGAGATCTCGAGTCTTCTCCTAGCCAGGACAGAGTGGCCTCTTTCTGCAGCCATCATAATCCTGGATTAAAACAATAAGCTCCAACAAGTCTGGGTTTAACCCTTTCATCCCAGGAACACGATTTAGGGAAATAATTTGGCATGTAACACCAACTGACATTTCCCAGTTTATAGGATGAGGCGGGTAGAGAGAAAATGTATAGTGTACAGAACATACATAAATTTTCTGCCCAGCATTTGTTTCGTTTTTGTATATTATCTAGCCTTTTGATGACCAAGGATAGAGCGCTCCTGCTGTCGTCACACTGTGTGTAGTTTCCTGAGTGAGGGGAAGAGGTAAGGAAGGCCTGGTACTCTGGACTGTGTGCTTCATGAGGCAGGGACCTTATCTTGGTGCCTTCTTCTCTGGGCTGCAGGATGCTGACAGGCCAGAGCCAAGAGCGGTGGTTCTGGGCAGCCTGCCTAGGCTCCTGTTCTGGACTGTCACTTACTAGCTGTGTCACCTGACAGGTTGCTTAGGGGTTAAGTCTCAGTTTCCCCATCTGCTAACTAAGGACTCAGTTGTTACGTGAGACCTGAGTCTCTTTAAAGGGGTTAGCACAGGGCTGTTCACATTTACGATGATTATTGCTGTTATTAGTAGCACCATTATTTTGTTAAATTACTCTCACCCACTCACTGAGTAAAGAATGCAATCCCTCAACAGGAACTGGAACCACCTGCCAAAGAGATGGCCCAGCAGCAGTCTGTAAGGGAAGTCGTGTTTGGAGTTGACACACCATCTCAAAGCTAGAGAGGGCGAGGCGGTGCTTTGTCTTTAGACTTTCACAAACCTTTGACAGGGCTTCACACAAATCATCTTCCACAGAGGACGCTGTTGGGTAGCAGAGGGAACCAGCTGTCTAGACCATAAACAGGAGCTTCTCTCAGCAGAGAAGGAAGAGAGGGCATCCTTAAACAGGACTGCTTTGAACATACTTCATTTAACACCTCTCAAAGGATCTGGATGGAGCCGCACAGAGCTTTCCTAAGACATCAAAGTGTCTCCATCCTTGCCTTCTTGAAGAAGGCTAACAAGTTCCCCCACTGGGCTGGCCGTCTGGTGTGTGGGGACAGGTGTCCAAGACACCCCAGGTGGGGGGACAATGGCCTGCTCAGGTCTGGTGGCCAGGAATTCCTCTTCCTGAATTTTAGCCTGACTCCCCAAAGATGACTTCTTAAAATGGCTTTCTTGAGCCCCTCTATTCATAAATGTTGGGACCTGAATGAGATTTTAGTGTGAGGTGTGTATGAGTGCGATAATGACATGGCATGGAAGTCCCAGGTGGCACTAGCTGTGTGGTAGGACTTCAAGTGTTAGTTAGCATCCTTCCCTCTCCATCTAGGATTTAGAACACTAGATGCGCCAGGAGCACGGTATTTGAAAACACTGGTGAATGGTTAAATTACTTTTTCTTTCTAGTTTTGGTCTTGGTGTTTTTGAGAGTGATAAGAGGGCTTCCCTCTAGCTTTCCTTTGAGTCTATATCTGAATAAGCAGGCAGGACTGGGAATAGCAAGGATAAGCAGGGTGGGCAGGGCTCGGTCATTCTTCCTTACAATCTTGCCTTGGGTGTCCTCAGGTACCTACAGCCCCGAGAATCCTGGGAAGTGCAGGAGTGTCTCTTCCCCCATGCTCACCCCCAGGACTCATCATGACCTCCTGATCCTAGGGGCCCAGAAGATCCAGAACCTGACTCCTGAGCAAAAATGACTCCAATGAAACATGTACCAGGCCAGGGCTGAGGCCAATCTCTGAGCAGACAGCAGTGGGCAGCAGCTCAGACTCACAGATGCTCCCCGCACCTCCACTGTGAGTGTACTCTGACCATCCTTCCCAGTCAGGACACTGCCCACCCCACCTAATCACCTGGTGTGCCCACTTTCCCCAAGACACTGGCTGAGTGGCTAGAGCAAACTCTGTGGGATAGCAGGGTGAGACTGGAGGAGGAGAGATCCTTTACATGACCCCAGCATACCACCTCGATTGGGAAAGGAACTGGTGCAGAAAGTGCTTTGCATTTGTACACTTTCCCTAAGGTTTTTAAAACCATTATTTTCTTTTAGACTCACACAGTCCTATGAAATCAACCACACACATAACTAGTTGTCCCACTTTAAAGATGAAGAAACAGAGGCCAGGCAGGGGAACCGAATCCCACAAAGCAAGAGCACGTTGTTTGCAATGCTCTGCACAGTGCCTCATGCCCAGGGTGGTTTTGCTGAAGTAGCAGGCAGGCCCAGCCTGGGACATGAGGTGACTGGCACCCTCTACTCTGTCTCAGAGTTGACAATCCATAGTGGCCCATTGTCCCCTGATCTGCCCTTGTGCTTAAATTGGCTTTCTTGAGCCCCTCTATTCATAAAAGGTCTCCTACTCTCCCATTGATCGGTAAATGGAGGGACAATGGTGAGGAGGGAGAGAGAGAAAGGGTGCGCTCTGAGCTCTTACCTGTTCTGGTCTGAGTCCTGCAGGGAGATGCCTGAGTCCCAGTCCATGTCCCCAGATGGTTGCTCTAGGACCCAGAACAGAAGCAGAGATCAGGGCAGAGCCAGCAACGGGGCTCTCCACTGCCACTTGAGGAATGTCAAGGAGAAACGTGTCTCCAGAAGCCATTTGCTTCCCAGATAAACGCACTCCTCTCCTCTGCCTGTGTCTCCGCCTGAGAGGTGGAGGCATGGCCTGTCACGGTGGCTGTGGTAGGCCCTGCCGTGGGCTAAGGGGCCCACACGGGTCCTCTCGGGAGTGGGTGAGGAGTGAGCTCTTGGAATGGGAAGGAAAGAAGGGACAGAGGTGTCTTCTCAGGCTTGAACACTTGCACAGCCCAGTGGTGCTACTGCCTGAGTTCAGCCCACCTGACAAGATGCTCGGCCACTTTGTGGTGAGGGCACGTCATTGGAGGGCGATGCAAAGAGCCTCTAGAAAAGGATACTTGCCACAGGAAAGCAGCTATGGTAGCCGCCATCCCCAAGCAGAGAGGGTGGCCTCCCATTGGCCTGGGGAGTCATGGGCGTACTCAGCAGATGGGGCTGGTTGTGGGGTGGTAAACACTCTATGTCAAGGCCAAGAACAAGAGGACATCCTGATGATTTTGGTGACAGGCAGCTCTCCTCCCTCTCCTGCCCCAGCCCCTGTGCAGTACCCGCTTCTGCTTTCCCTTCTGGACTCCCTTCTGCTGTCCCCACCACCCAGACCTGCAGAGTGAGCCTCACCTGATACAGCTCTGTCCCAGGATAGAGTCCGGGCTGGGATTCCCACCTTGGGGGGGCCCTGCCCCCCAACAATGAGCATCTCCTGAAGAAGAAGGCGGTTCCTCTCCACCTGTTCAGACAGGGGCAAGGCGCTGCGCTCAGTGCCCAGAGCCCCCAGGTCTCCCGCTCTCCAGAGGCCCCCCAGCAGGGCTGGCCTGGGGACAACGTCCTCCTCGGAGGTTAGAGACAAGCTATCCAGGTCTTGGCCTGCAACTAGAGCATCCTGCAGGGGGCATGGCCTTCCTTTCCTCAGGTTGGGCACGTGGGTAATTTTGTTACAATGTCTAGGGCCCCTAGATTGTCCTGAAGTGACTCTGTGGAGGGGGCTGTCTTGCGAAGAGCTGGACCCCGGCAGCAGACTCCTCTCATGGTCAGGCAGTATCCTTACTGTTTCTGGAGCCCACAGGCTCCTCCCACTGCAGCACTCTAGCCCAGGAGCAGGTGGCCTGGGAGGTCTGGGGCCCCCATTCATGGCAGGCTCCTTCTCATTGACACTGTTGTCCAGCGGTCCCTCGTTTTGGTTCTGAGCATGGAGAACCACAACTGTATCCAGCAAGGGAGACCCTGATGATGGAGTTCTGGCTCCACCCACTTTGACTCGTCGGCATTTGGTTTTCTTGGGGGATGGTCTTTCATGGGTTGTGAGGCAGGGACTTGCCCCCTGTTTGCTTGCTGTCATACTTTCCTTCAAGGCCCTGACTTTGGACTCCAGCACGGAGGGTCCTTGGGACGGTATCCCCCATGCCCTGGGAGGGTGGGGGGCCATCTGGCTGGGTGTTCTGTCTTCCTGAAGGCAGGACCAGGGTCTTGGGAGGTGTCCATTATTGGGCTGTGGCTCGGTGCCACTTCTCTCCATAGCTGAGGTCACTTCCATGGAGCTGGCTATTCTGCTCCCTATGTTGGACTCTCTGGAAAATAAAATAGACAGAGCTCCTTAGACCCAGCCCCTGGCTAGCTCCAGCAACTTCCTGGGTCCCCAAAGCACCTTCATATTGAGCCCTGTCCAGACAAGAGTAATCTGGGGCAGAGCAGGGAATAAATACCCTGTAGATAATGTGAAAGCACTTTGGAAAGCAAAAATCACTGAATAATACAAAAAGGTATTATTAAATTTAGGTTTTCTAACTCTGTTTTACAGAGGGGGCACAAACATCAAACAACTAATCCTAAGCCAGATGGGGACCAGAGTGAAAAGCCAGGTCAGATCTCCTAATGCCTGGCTTCTTGTTTTCCTGGCAGGTGATCTCAGTGAAGATGTGATATCACACAGGACCTCAGGGTCTGGCCGTCGGGTGGAAGGTGCCCCCTGCCCCCCCCCCCCCCCCCAGCTCCCACTCTTCAAACCACAGGATTACAGCATGGTGCTATGCTCAAAGGGTGGCCATGATCAGTCCCTAGCTCCTACCAGCATCTACTCCAGGCAGGCCTGCAAGTGCTTTCAAACACACTCTCTCAAATAATCCTCACATCCGTCAGCCACACAGCATTATTATCCTCATTTTCAGACTGTGAACCTGAGGTACGGCAAGTTTATGTCACAGAGGTGCCAAAGGGAAGCCGGTTTGGAATGCAAAGCTTTTTGTTTCAAAGCGATGGCTCTTCCAAAGCACTCCGTGGTCACTTAACCTCACTCCCCTTATTCTGTAGTGAGAATAATCCAGACTAGAGGGCTTCGGTGACTTGCCAGGATGACACAGCTCCTTGGTGGCATAGTTTGCTGTCAGTCTCTTTGTAGGGAATGCAAGTGAGCAAGGGATTTTAGTCACCAAACCGTTCTGTGCACACATACAGGCCACAATGTCTTAATATTCACCCTGCTCTCTGAGAAAATGTTCCCTTGATATCATACATCTAGATATGTCCCACTTGAAATAAACTGCATGTATAAAAATCCATATTTACACATATTACAAATTAGGAGTTAATTATTTACTTCATATGTTGACTAAAGAGTCACCATAGAATTATCTTTTTTTTTTTTTTAACTTTTTTTTTAAAATATATTTTATTGATTCCCTACAGAGAGGAAGGGAGAGAGATAGAGAGTCAGAAACATCGATGAGAGAGAAACATCGACCAGCTGCCTCCTGCACATCTCCCACTGGGGATATGCCTGCAACCCAGGTACATGCCCTTGACCGGAATCGAACCCGGGACCCTTCAGTCTGCAGGCCGACGCTCTATCCACTGAGCCAAACTGGCCTCGGCACCATAGAATTATCTTAATTGGCAAGTCCCTCTACTTGTTTATTACAATTGAATTTACACATGTCTCAGGCATGTACATATTTCATAAAGCAAAGTACACACGGTGCAAAATGTCGCATCAGCTTTCAGCCAGTGTAGTTTAGGGACCATCTTTAGAAGGCCGAGATCATCTACAGTTAAACTAGGATTTACCAACTTTCTCCTTGCAGCCTAGTCACGGGTTTCTCCCTTCTAAGGTTCAATCCAGAGAACAGGGGATTAGAATATAATGGGAGTGGTTTTGGTTAAATAAAAATAAACTTTCTGACGGGGAAACTCTAGACCTGTATTCCAGAGCTAATCCATCTAGGGAGACCTTCCAATGGGGCACTGCAGGCAGCCTGGGGAGACAGAAGGTGCTGCTCGGAGTGATTCTGTGGCCCAAGTGCTGCATTAGCTCAAACTCAGAAAGGCTGAAATGAAGATGGACATGGAGGGCAGGCCTCCCCCAACCCTTACAGCTCGGCCGCCCCGCCACCCCGCCACCCCACAGCGGCCGGCTCCTTGCCTCCTCCGTACTCACTGAAGGCCCCCACTGGCAGGTCTGGCCTCTGGCTCCTCCATCCCCTCCATCCTCGGACCAGCGAGCCCTCCGCTGATCCCCTCTCTCTCCCAGGCCCCCGGGCCAGGCTCCGCTCCCTGCTCCGCAGTCAGCCCTGGGCCCGGGTGGGGTCCAGCCGCGGCCTCCCTCCGGGCCGCAGGAGGGAAGCAGGTCGGGCAGGGATGGCTGTGGCATCGGCTGCTAGTTCGTGGCTGTGCCATGAAGGGGAAAAAGCCAAGCCCGGCGCCTTCCAGGGCCGGGACTGGGAGAGCGGAGCGGAGCGCAGACTGGAGGGGAGCGGAAGGGGCTGGAGCAGCGGGGCCTGCCCCGCCCGGCCTCGCCCCCTCGGCACCGGCTGCAGCAGCCCGAGCCCCAGGGAGCGAGCGCCTCGCAGACGTCAGAGGGGCGGGAGGGCAGGCGAGGCCCGGGCTGAGTTCGGGAACACGCCTGAGCCCTGTGGGGACACAGGGACGCAGGGTGCTTAGCCCGACTGACCCCTCGTGGCCGGTGGCGGACCCTGGGGCGGCTGTGGGCAGCGCAGCTGTGGGATGAGGCTCAACCGGAGCAAAAGCTAAGAAAACAGCACGTCTTCCCGAGCTTCGTGGGAATGCGTGTAACTCTATACCCCAGGCTGGGAATGAGGCTCCGCTATCCGGCTGGAAGCTACGGAATGCCCTTTGTTTAGACAGCTTTTCCAGAGGAGTTCGGAGCCCTCTTCCACAGGATGTCCCTGACGTCCCCATCAGCCTGGGGCACCATTTCCTTCGAGGTCAAGGTCATTAGTTTTGCAGAGGCGGGAGGGTAACCAGAGTAGAGGTGGGTTCCCCCATCCTGTCTTGCCAAAGGGAGAGCCTGGTGCCTGCGTTGCCAGCCCCCTGGGGTTGGCGCCTGGGTAGGGACCCCTGAAGACACCTTGTCACTTTTTCCAGACCTGGAAGTAGCAGTAAAGGGCTTCACCTGCACCTGCGGCCCAAGCCAACCGGAGCTTTCTCTCGCGATACCCGGAGAGAGGTGCGGAGCCTTGCCTATTTCCAAACCCATTTTTTCACCAAGGTTGGGAAACAAGAGAGTCAGGACCCGGGAGAGTCTGGAAATCTCTACAAAGGGAAAGTGCCATTCACCTTCCCTGCAGCCAGCAAGCTCTCTCTGAAGCATGGGTAGCTCTTCTATTTGCACATGTGTTCTACAGTCACCATCTAGATGACAGGCATAGCAACAGCAAGGACCACACAGTGAGGGTGCGGTGGCGGAGAGAGGCCAAGGTCGTTTCCAGAGGAGGCCTCTTCAGTGAGGAATTCCCCTGTAGAAGGTGGGGCCTGTGGGCAGGGCCAAAGCGCCCAGTCCTGAGAGCAGCTGTCTGGGGAGCTGTGGTAGAATAGCCTTGAGCTAATTTAGGAACCCGGGGCAACCCCGGCTGTGTTACAGAACAGGCCCAGGGCCCCACAGCCCTCATGACAGGCGGTTTCCAGAGTCTGGGCCCAGCGCTCTTGCAGTTAGCTCCCTTCCCTCTGCACTCTCCTAGAGCCAGTGGTTTCTCCAACAGGGCACACTGTTCTTTAGTACTGATCACCTCATGACAGAGTACCATCGATGACGGCATACTGTGCACCTGCATTGGGCTAAGCACATTGCTTTCCTTAGCTCATATGGCTCATATGGCAACCTTAAAGGATGGGAACTGTGTATTATCTCCTTTCTGCAGATGGGGAAACTGAGTTACTAGCTCTGTGACCTTAGGTGATCTGCCTAAGGTCACAGAGCTAGTAAGTGGCAGGCCTTCTGGAGTAGAAGGCCCTCACATCAAACACACTGTACGAGCTGCCAGTATTCTGCACATTCAGCATGGAAAGCTTTAGTTTTAAAAATATCAAAAAATTTTTCGGAAGTGCTATAATAGTCAATATATGCAGCCCAGCATAATGGTCTGGCCTTTTCTTTCTGGGTCCTTTTTGCCTTCCTTAATCCTGCCATTCAAGGTGAAATAATTCCTCTCCTTCAAATGCCATGTCAAACCTAACAACAATAATACCATTATTATTATCAGGACCTCCTATGAACTCAGGTACTCCGTATAGGATCTTTACAACAACCCTGCAAAGTGGGTATAGGGTCCCCCCACTTTAGTAATAAAGAAAACAGTACAGAGAGATTAAAGGGCTTGCTCAGGGCCACACAGCAAGCAGAGAAGAAGCTGAACTAATCCTGTCCAGCTCCAAGATCTTCTTCCTTGCTTCCCTTTTTCAGAGGCATCTCAGGACTCAAACTCTTAGAGGTAACTTCTCCATGACGCCTGTCCCCACCCCTCCCCCAGAAGTTAATGATCTCTAAGGCAAGTTTCTGAAAGTTCCAGCAGAGGCTTAATGTTTAAAAGAAACCTGCCCCCCCCCCCCAACCTTTTGAGATGCAAATAAACACTTACAGTTTACTTATTAAATGTATTTTACACTTAAGATAGGGGAACAGAGAGTCACATCTATACAGAGGCTTTAAAAGATCACATATTTAAAAGCACCCATAAGCAAATCCTCCGAATGTGATCGAATTACCAAAATATGTGAATCTGAGGTACTTCTCATTCATTTGGATGCTGTTTGGTTCAGTAAATATCTGTTGAGCTCCTACTGTGTGCCGGGCACTGGGGAGACAACATGTAATACCATCAAGCCTGTCCTTGAGACGTTTCTGGTCAAGTGGGGCATGGAAGGGGCAGGCCGTAAACTTTCTGTATAAGCGCTCCCATTTGAGGGTAGCATAGGGTAGAGGAGCTGGTCGGTTCACAGGAACGCACTGAGGTGTGTGTGGGGTGGCAGGGGATATCACAGAGAGCTAGGTCTTACAGAATCAGCAGGAATTAGCCAGACAGAGGGTGGGTGGAAGGCATTTCAGGTGGAGAGATTAGCATAAACACAGGCATTGAGGTGTGAAACTGCCTGGTTTCAGTATTACTAAGCGTAAAAGTGAAACTGGGAAAGGCCAAGGGAGAGCTGAAGCTGCAGCGTAGGGTGGTGTGGCCTGGTTTAGGGCCTCTGGGGCTAGGTGAGAAATTTACACTCCGTCCTGTGAAGTGGAAATCTCCCGAAGGTGGTCTACCTTGGGCCTACCCCCTTCAGCATAGCATGTTTCAGGGCTGGGGAACTACCTTATATCCTTATGCATCAGACTCTTTCATTTCATTACCATCTTTTGGAGAGAAATCTAGGAAGAACACAAATACATGGTAAGTAGCAATCACATAGCCCTCTTCTTCCATTTGAACAACTAGGGAAGCGCACCTTCCACTCAGCCTGGATAAAACATCAAGCCTCACTCTTCCTCATGCTCTCAACACTCAGCCTGAATGAAGAGCCATGTGGAATGTGGAAACTGGGTTCCACTTAGGATGAAGGCATAGGTGAGAAATAGTCCTTCAAGGTCACACTGTTAGAGTCAGGTGTGTGTGGGTGGGTGGGGGAGTGGGATGGGAGAGACAGCTCTGCCATCCCCCTGCTGTACTGCCTGATGGAGCCTGTCCAACTGGAAACCTGAATTTTCTGGTGGCTCCTGTCTTGGTCATGGGACATGTGGTCTGAGGAGCGCCCGATGGGGACACTGCTCTCTGTCCTGGGTCTCTACTCAGGCCTCACGATTTCTTTTCAGTATAGACCCAAGAGAGTGTTGGGGCTGTCTCCCATGCACCTGCCTCCCCCCTGCGTAGAGCCCTCCCACGACTTCCCAAGGCCTGCTTTGACCTGTGCCTGTGTAGAGAGTCTCCTGGGACACTAGCCTCACCCAAGGTGATTGTGATTCCTTAGGTTGGAGTAAGGCCCAGGAGTCTGCTTTCTAATGTATTGCCCAGGTGAGGCTGAGGCCCAGTCAGTTTTGAGAAGCACAAGTCCTGGGGTTAAAACACAAACTCCTTGCCCTAGCCGGTTTGGCTCAGTGGGTAGAGCATCGGCCTGCGGACTGAAGGGTCCCAGGTTCGATTCCAGTCAAGGGCATGTACCTTGGTTGCGGGCACATCCCCAGTTGGGGGTGTGCAGGAGGCAGCCGATTGATGTTTCTCACTCACTGATGTTTCTAACTCTCTATTCCTCTCACTTCCTCTCTGTAAAAAATCAATATATTTTAAAAACAAACAAACAAACACAAACTCCTTTACACAGTGCATGGTCCCTCCTGCCTCAGCTCTCACCACCGCAGCAGCCTATCCTATGTGCCCTCCACATGGAATTGCTTCCAGTTTCCTCGACTGCCACATGGATTCATGGCTCCTTGCCTTTACCCAGGCTTTCCTTCAGCCTGAAACACCCTGCTTCACTGCACACACACATACCAATTTCTCCTCCTCAGGGAAGCCTTCCCCAATACCTTCCACAGTCCTCCTGACCTGGGTTAGAGTACCCTGGGCTCGCTCCTGCCTCCCAACCACACTCGGTTGTCAATATCTAATACTTCACAGAGAGCTTCCTGTTCCTTATCTTTGTCGCTGGTCCCTAACGTGTGCCCGACTACATGGAAGGTATTGACTAAATGCCAGATGGTTACATGGAAGAGAGAAAAAAAATCCCTGTCAAGTTAGAATGCCTAAGAGGAGAAGAAGGGGGCATTGTTTGCTAAGAGGATCTAGGCCATTTCCAAAGGATTTGGTTCATTCACTATGACTCGTCCTGCACAAGGGCCTGTGAGCAGTCACTGTCAGGGCCTGGACAGCACCCAGGCTTCCTGACTGACTCCTATTTACACCTGGTGACCAGGCCTCTTTGCCCCTGACCCTCTTCCTTCTTCCCAAAACTGATCACAGATAGCAGTGTGGACTGTCACTTCAATTTTGAATGAGACTGGAAATTTGGAGATAAAATAGCTTTCAGAAGAAGAAATGGATGGGGACATGGAGAGGATAAGATAATGAGAGAGAAGCATGCAAAACAGGCTGGGAGAGGACACCAGAGATACATACAGTCAGGCAACATGACAACGGGCACATCCAGAGAGCAGTCACCTTAGTTCCTTGTTATGCTTCTCTGCACACTCCAACACACATGTATAAACACATGTATGCCATGCTCTCTTATGCCACACCAACCTGAATTGACTAAGCCCCAAGGAAAACAGAAATGGGGTTCTTACCTGGTCAGGGTCAGCCTGCACTGCTCCCCCAGGCTGGCTTGTAGGCAGAGAGCCCACTAGGATGGGACAGGGACCTTTTCTGGAGATACGGCCTCCAGACTTCACGGCCTTTAATGATGCCCACTTACCCCGTATCCACCCTGACTTTCCTAGACATTTGGTCCCAAACTGCAGCTTTTCAGTTCATAATCCTAATCATAGGGAAATGACTGATATTAGGGAAATATTTTAATACTGTCCCTCCTACTCTACCATGCCTGCCATGTGGGAGGCTGTCATCAACAGGACATCTGACTTTGACCTATCTATAATCACTGTATCTTGGCCAAGTCAATTTTCTCATCCACAAAATGAGAACTGATTCAGGGAGAAAGATATTGAAGGGTGACTGACCCCTAAAGTCATGTTTGTGACAATTTTTGATCTCGAGAAAAAACAGAAAGTGCTTGGTACTATATTAATGATTTACTTAAGACATAAGAGAAACTATGAAGAAATATATTAATATAGTCCTCATACCAATTGTTCCAATAAAAATGACTTCGCTCAGCTGGTGTGGCTCAGTGGTTGAGCATTGACCCATGAAAAACAGATCACAATTCGATTCCCTATCAGAGCACATGCTCTGGTTGTGGGCTCTGTCCCCGGTAGGGGGCATACAGGAGGCAGCAGATTGATGTTTCTCACCTATGTTTCTATTTCTCTATCCCTCTCCTTTTCTCTCTAAAAGATCAATAAAAACGTATTTTTTTTTAAATTACAATGATTTCAATGGAAGCTAAAAAGATATTTAACAAAATTCAACAATGCACACAGAAGTAGAGGCTGATGAAACCTCAGGGTGGTCCTACCAAAATTAGGGACTGAATAAGAATGCTTTGCATAACCACATTCATTTAACAATGGCCTGTAAGTTCTGTAATGTATAATTATTTAAAATGAGTATAATTAAAATATATAGTTATTTTGAAGGAATATAAAGTCATTATACTTTGTAGATCATATGATTGTTTACTATGAAAAACCCAAGCATTTAATTTAGTTGAGTTCTGGGTATAAGCTTGATCAAATGAGAGACTGGTAATGAGGACAGTGGAAATGAATTTTACTTGTTGAAGAAACTCTCTAAGGAGGTTTTCGCTCAGGATGGATGTGCTGGGATCCTGGGTTGTGAACATGCCTTCCCATAGCTCTCCCCTCCTACATCCGCAGGGACAGGAGCTAAACACTGCCATCTGCCTCACACTGTCCTTCTTTTTGTGAAAGGCAGATACCAGCATGTGCGTTAGAGCAGCAGCTCCTATTCTTTAATGCCCCCAACAGCCCTGCAAGTCAGATTTTGCAGAGGAAGGAGCTAAGTAAGACTCAGGGAGGCCGAGGAACCTGCCCACAGTTACAAGGCTGGTGAGTGACCCAGCCCCCAGCCCTGCTCCAGGCCAAGCAACCACATTTCTGGCTGAGTTATAGCAGGGACTAACCTTCCAGAGAAAGTCCCACACATGGCCCCACCAGACCACGGATCTCAGATGGGTGCCCTCTAGGAATGCTTCCCTCCCAAGTCAGAGCCTTTCCAACCCCACTAATGCCCAAAGGGAAACAAGGCTTGCACCTGGGGGGTGTGGGGCGGGGAAAGGGTGAGTGCCACCTCAGGCATGGCGGACAGTTGCTCACTGTCACACACACACACACACACACACACACACACACACACACACACACACATACTTCTGGTGGCAGGCAGGGAGTGAGGGAGGAAGTTCTGACTATGTGAGTGGAGGTCTAACCTGGTCAAGTGGAATGGCTCAGTGTTGGATGGGGGGGGGGGGGGTCTCCCCAGAGCCTCAGAAGCTGCTTTGGGCAGAGGGGAAAGACAGTACATCTTGGCCACCTGCAAGGTAATGAATGCTATTGCATTGGAAAGCCCAAGCTCTTCATTTTCTATCTTTTTTGTGTCCTTTCTCTGGACAGAGTAGCTGAGACTACTCTGGAAAGGGAGTCCAGTGTCAGTTTATCTTGCTGCCTTTGAACACACAGCCTCAAGCAATTGGGGAAGTCAGCGTGGAGCCCTGCAGACTCCTGGCTTCTGGCTGAGGATGGGATGAGCTTGACAAGCTCTGAAGAGCAGTTGCATCCTCTTTCTCCTGGAGACATCGTCCCAGGTGACAGTGGGGACAGACACCTGAGAGCTCTTGCCAGCAGTCTCCAGCTAGCTTACACCACGAAGGGTGGGCTTGTAGGGACACCAAGAAGGCCAGTCTTCAGGGTCCAGGGGAGTCTGCTTTTGCCTATGTGGAAGCTGCCCTCAGGCTTTCCTGCTGCGGACTAGCTCCTCAGATCGACTACTCTGGGCCTTTCGGAGCGAAGCCCTCTCTAAACACCAGGCTGTGCGATGCCTTGTCCTATGGGGGTCCCGGCCTCCCTGCTCCCTCCTGCCCCCACCACCTGGGAGGCTTTGCTGAGGACACAAATGAACCTCAGAAGCAGCCTCTCTGAGCGGAATTCCTTCCACTTCTGCAGTGCATGGAACGTTTTTTCCTGGATTAAGTTAAGGTACATGGTGGGCGAGGTATGCAGGGAAAGATCCAAATTCGAAAAGTCCAGGATTAGACTCTGGCAGCTGGGATTCAGCTCTGGGTAGGCTCCATCTACTTGTAGGACCAAGTGCTGGCCAGTTCCTCACCTGGAAATGCTGGACTGGACTAACAGGTCCCAAACTAAATTCCTCAGAACCTCAGGGTCCATGATGTATTAATAGGTCTCCTATGAAAAAGAGAATTCAGGTCTAGTAAGTTTGGGCAGATAATGTATGTCATCTCGTCCTCCTGGCAGATCTTTAGGCTCAAGGACATTTCAATGGCTCATGGAAGTCCTGAAGTGAAAACAAGATAAAACCAACCCAGTTTACTTTTGTTTAACCCTGCCTTTCTCGGAGGTAACTGGCCGCAGAAGCCGTTTCCCTTTGGAATACACTTTAGGATAATCTGGTCCTAATAACCTCTCAGGTTTATTCCTGCTTGGATAGCCAAGGTTTCTCAACCCAGCAGAGAGGAGCAGGCAGCTGCTGTACCCCAAATTCCAAGATCCCACAAAAGGTCCAGGCTATTATGTAGAAAAGACTCCCTCGGGACAAGTGGCAGCCAATCTCAGCTTTATTTTATTTTAGAAAATCTAGTGCTATGAGACCAAAAAAGGGGAGACTTCTAAAAATATCAGTTCCCACTCTGATTCCTTGTCAATTTGATTAAGCCAATTCACCTTAAAAACTAGCAGCCTCGTTTGCCCATCTGTAAAAAGGGAAAACTAAAGACTTGGTTGGCATTCACTCAACATTAGCCCTTAGAATAGAAGTTTCCCAACCTGTGGTCCCAGGACACCTAATGAAGAGGGGAGCATAAACTATTTCAAATATTTAAAGAAGTCTAATGGAAATTATACATTTACCATGAGAAATGCCTTTGCTTTTGACTGGTATTATCAACTCAGTTTGACTTCAGTTGCCGTGAGGACGAGGATTATTATGCAATAAATATGGTTGGTTTGTTGGACAATATTTTTACAAACTTAGGGTACAGGGAACTAATAAAAGGATCAGCCAGTAATAAAAAGATAAGCAGCTACTGACTCAAGAGGTTGGGTTCAAAACCAGTTTAAAAGTATGATAGTGGAGCGTGAAGAGGTGGATTGGATCCGGGGGAGGTTAGCGTGTTCCATGGGAAGATGCTGCCCCAAGTAGTCTCTGGGGTACATCCAGGGTTGTGTGGAGAAGCATGTGTTTAATGGTGAAGTGGCTGTGACAAAGTGGCTCTTTCCAGAGCATACTGGGAAAGGGTTTCAGCTGGCTGAGTCAGAGTAAAGGGTGCCACCTCTACTGAGCCGAGAGCAGAGACCTCAGAGTTCCCAGGACAGTGGGCTCTTGGATATGGCCAGAGTGGATTCTTTACAGCTTCTTAGAAAGCCTTCTGGGAGTGCCAATGTCTGAGGATTTTTCAACCACTTGAGCTCTGATTTTATAGTGAAAAGTCCCGCCCCATTGGGCCCCATGTCACGCCTTCATGAGCAGCCACATCTGGAAAGGTCCTGTGTGGTTCATGGCTGTTTACCTCTAAGATGTTGCTCACCCAGAACCACCTCACTAGTTTCCTACTCCCTTTTTGCCCCTTCTCTCCCCCAATGTCCAGCTCCATTTTGCAGTAGCCTTGGGAGCTAAGCCAAGACTTGTCTCTGCCTCCAGGACAGCAATCGTGAAAATCATGGTTGGTAGATCCCTACAGGTAATCAAAAAGGGGGTTAGATTTTCCTTTCTTCTGTATCTAAGACAGAAAGACATTGCTAACATCGATACTGCTAACATCTCTTGCTAAGAGTTGGGCCATTTCTGTGAAGATTTAGAAGTACCAAGAGAAATGAGGTAGATTTCATCTGCCTCAGGACCTAAACTAAAGCTGAAAATGATTTTTTTCTCTAGGGTAGAGAACAAAAGCATTTCACTGTGTTTTAAAAAATTATGTGCCCTGATAAATAAATGCATATTTGGGGTGGAGGAGTTAGCCATTAATTAAAATGCAGGGAGAAACATGAAAGACTTAGATATGGACCAAAAAGGTTATTGGGTGTATTGTCTGTAGTGCATCCTTCCAGACTAGTATCTCACAATTCTATAACTTGTAGAATAAGTGTTAGTAATTAAAATCATTTTTTTCATAGAATTGCCAATTATTTATTTGATGGAACTGCCCCATGAATATTGACCAGTTTTGATGATTTTGCATTCTGTAAATTTTTCTCAGCATTCCAGATATCTTATATATGTGTGTTAAGGATTCTCTTTTGAACAGGTTGCAACATTTTACTTATTGTCTCAATTAATGAAAAATAGAATTTCTGACATGTGTTCCATTTTATAGCTATATGAGAGGCATGATGAATATGCCCTCTTTTAAAAGTTATCTTTTGATGCGTCCACAGAGAAGGGGTCATGTAAGGACATAGAGAGAAGGCAGCCTACTGCAAGTCCAAGAGAGGCTCCAATCCTCTGGAACACACATCTTATAAAGGTCTCTATTGTGCTAGCCACCTGTTACTCACCAAATCAATGGCTAAATACCATGTACTTGAGGTGGCACTGATCTGGTCTAATGAAAATACCACATTTGGCACTGTGCCTGAGACTGGGGTTTTACTTGAGTGTGTGGTCTGCAGTGACTCTTCCTAATCCATCCAGTTTCTCCAGGAATCAGATTGTTTAAACAAACAAGGATAAAGAGGAGGATAGATAAAATGTGGCAATAATCTATTCCCATCTCTCCCTATTTAGTATGGCTACAGGGAGGGTTAATTTTAGACTTCCACTTGGCTTATTTGGCAGACAAATGATGTAATTGGGAGTTTGGTCAGCTGCCAAAGGTCATAATATATATTTGAGGACTGGGTAACTGACCACTGGGCAGGTCCATGGATACTGTGAATTTCTGTAAACTAGATATTGGTCAGGACATTTATTATCTGGCTCCCATAAGACCCAAATCTAGCATGGGAGCCAAGACGACTCAGGTCTTCGGCATCAATGGCAACTCAAGCCCTATGTCCAACAGTCCTCAAACTATCTAAGTGTTCTCTTCTTTCAGGTGCATAGTTACCCGAGTAAATAACCATAAGTGCTTGTGGGAAAGATCTAGGAGAATCATTACTGTGTATACTTGCCATTATTGCAATGCTCTTCCTCCTACAGTCCCAGCCACTTCTCTTGTCAATAGTTCTGGGTCTGAAAACTGGCTTAGGTTTCAACATTGGACAAGGGATAGCACTTTTTATTGGGGCAACTGCCCTCAGCCTCCTGGCAACATATATATATATGTATTTCCTTCTACTAGCATAATCTGAGAAGTACAACTTGGGTCATTGCCATCGTTTATCCATGTTTCTAGGAGCCATGCTAGTAGCAAGTTTCTTCAACTCCTGGAATTCTTACTAGGGAGTTAAACTCTATCTTGGAGAACACTTTCAAGTAAAAAATTCTTCTCTATTCAGGCCTCTTTCTTGAAGCATCCTCAGGATCTCCTCTAGCTCCTATCAGTACATGCTGACTCTTACCTCATGGATCCTTCAGAGCAGGGGTCCTCAAACTATGGCCCGCGGGCCACATGCAAATACAAATATTGTATTTGTTCCCGTTTTGTTTTTTTACTTCAAAATAAGATATGTGCAGTGTGCTTAGGAATTTGTTCATAATTTTTTTTTTTAAAACTATAGTCCGGCCCTCCAACGGTCTGAGGGACAGTGAACTGGCCCCCTGTTTAAAAAGTTTGAGGACCCCTGCTTTAGAGTACAGTCCCTATCCTCCCTTCACAGGTCTAGCAGGTCCCCAGCTGAGACATGGAGGATCCTGACTGGTGCACACATTGTCTTGCACAAGAGAAGCCTCTTTAATGTCTGCCATCATGGATGGAAGAGGGTGGGGAGTCAAATCTTTGGGGGCAGGGGATCCAACCAGATGTTGTATTTGATGTGTCAGGTTTTCCCAATTAAGGGATCTAACCTTGCATAACAGACCTGCCTCAGTTGGGTTTTTAACTATCTTTGAAATTCTGCTACTCTATTAAGTCCTGGGCTTGGTCCTCATGTTCTTCTCTTTCCTATTCTAGGAGATGAGAGCTTCTTTGTATGCAATCAGAGGCCCTCTGTTTCCACATCTGGCTTTCAATTGCCTGATACTTGTCCTCAGCTGTTCATTATTCTGCTGTCAGCATCGGCATCGACATCAACGGCACTGAGCCATAGCCATCCAATCTCATTGTTCTATAGCTATGCTCTCCTCTTTAAATCTCAAATGCCTGATAACATTGCAAGTACATGTCTTCCTCTACTATACCATCCCAATTCATCACCAATGAGGACTTGAACAATTGGAAGGAAGGGAAGGGAGGTGGTTGGCTCGAGAGAGAGGACTCCTGTGAAAAGCAGTCATTTAGGGAGCTAATTTGTTGTTACTATTTAGTTTTCAAAAGACCCTAAGAGCTGTCTTCCCTGGAAGGGCAGAGGATAAATTCCCAGAAGGCAGCAATCAGTGGGACCCAGCTTGCTGAGGAAACTATGATTGTGTCTGTGTTTTGTGTGTGTGTGTGTGTGTGTGTGTGTGTGTGTGTGTGTGTGTTTATGGGGGGGGGGCTTGGGAGGTAGAGGGTGTTCTTTGATTTTCTTGAAAATGGTTGTATTCTGATCTTGATCAAACATAGCTTTCAAAAGAAGCAATAATTCACAAGCCACTTTCTAGTTTTGACTGCCAAGTAGGTAAAATCCCTTCTGGCCCGTTTTTCTTTAAGGAGAGTGAATGTGGGCTAGAGTAGTCGGAACTCAGTACTAATTCTAGGTTCAGTAATTACTGCAGCATCCAAGGCCAGTCAACACTGGTTTTCTTCTCTATAAATGGAACTAACGCTACACAATGTACTCTGATGTGAGAACTGCCTTGCCTATGGTAGGCAATGAGAGTAAGCTGTGCCTACTCTGCTCTGGAGGGACCTGCTCTTGTGAGATAGAACAGAAAGTCCACAGGATGAAGAAGCATCAGCTAATTATCAGGAGGGAGCATCAGAATAGTTTCCACACAGGATCAAAGTGAGGAGATTGACCAGTAAGCCAGTGAGCAAGCATTCTTAAAGGGCACAGCCTCTATAGCAATCAAAAAAGCCAATTACCCCCCGACATTTAGTTGGCAGCTCACCTGATAGAGGCTATAGAAGTTACTTTCAATTGAACAAATATTTATTAAGCCCCTATTATTATATGCTCGAATATTTTTAGCAAATATCATTTTTGTGACTTCCTGATGACAACAAAACACATTTTTGGGGAAAAAAATGTCTCTTCTTCCCTGAATTATACTACTACTAGAGTTCCAGACTAGTAGAGATTGGGGCATTGCCACATAAGGAAACAAGGGTATGTCTTCATGGACACAATAACTGGCAGCAGGGCATACACCCTACTCAGCAAATCTTTTGACTAGGGCTGCCATGGAGGGGCTTAAAGTTTTTGAGGCCCTGGCTGGGTAGCTCAGTTGGTTAGAGTGCCATCCCACTATACCAAGGTTGTGGGTTTGATCCCCAGTCAGGGCACATATAAGAATCAACCAATGAAGTGGAACAACAAATCAATGTCTCTCTCTCTGCCTTCTTCTCTCTAAATCAATCAACCAATCAATCAATCAATCTATGGAAGTACAGAAAAATGTCTAAATTTAGTAGTTGACAGGAATAATCTTTGGTGAACTGGTATTTCTGATCTATCTTTGATACTTCCTCAAAGGGAGACAAAAGCCCTGATTAACTGAATTTTTTAATTTTACTGACTGATCTAGTCAGAAGGCAGTGTTTAAGAAGCCACAAATAAGCAAATTTCTGTACTTCACACAATCTATACTAATTTTTAAATTTAATGAACTGGCAAATACTTTGGGAGTTAATATTAATACCCTTCTTCTGGATTCTCTTATTACCTGCTCGTTTCTCTTGAGTTAGTTGGTTTTCTCCTTACCTTATAAACTTACCATAACAAAATAGAAAAGCATAGTAAATCTACTACCAAAAATCATATATTAACATTGGTTGTTCTATGAACTTATGCAGGAAAGCAGCCATGGGGCTGCTGTAGTTGGAGCAAGGCAAAACGATCTATCATTCTCATTGTCACTCAGCTATCCAGTCAATATAAATATGTTAATATTTGAGGGGAAACTTTGTTTTATAAAGGTAAACAATAGTTGAACTTTGATGCTAATGTATTGCTTAGTTATATAATTTAAATGTTTCCTGTGTGGGAAGCTGTTCCCAGTTGTTAAAAAAGAAGTATATCCATTCAGATAAGACATATCTAACAAGTAAATTATAAGATGAATTGTAAGTACAGTTTTTTGGCACTAGAAAGTTTTGAAGAAATAAATCTTGTCAGATTTAATAGTTCTATTTTTTAAAGGAATTAAAAAAACAGAATAATATCTATCTGGGAAGTGGTGAAGAGGAGTCTCTAACTTGAGATAGAAAATTCAGCTTACCCTGGGGTGGATACCTAGTAACAAGACAGTCTGGCTTTTTTGGCATGTGGTTTTAGATAAGTTGTTTAGAAATAATTTTATCAACTTTCCCTGCTTGTCTCCATAAAACTATGATGATAGGAATTCAATAAACACATACTAAATTAATTTTTAAAAATTCAAAATGCCTTAATTTCCTTAGGACATGGTGAGAAACTAGAAAAAGTAGTAAATCAGAAAGTATAAAATTAAGTCATTATTATTCTCATAAACTTAAATGAGCTAATCAAAATTGTCCATATGAAGGCGAAGGTCACTAAACACAGTCCAAGGATTCTGGATATGTCTAAGATAGATAAATGGAGAGTGGCCTCTGCAAATAATCTGGGATTGTATTCTCAGCTGGTCTAGGTTTTTATTCATCTACAAATTGAGATGCCTTGTTAATCCACATATCCAAGATGCTTAGTTTGAAAAATGTAAAACACTATGCACACAAATGTTGAGCATGTATTATTATCATCAGATTGTAGAAAGGGGTATTAAGCATCCAGTGATTCATATACATTCACAATTTATCTTGAATTTAATCTGAAAACTCCACATTAGCACATTCTGTTTTAGCCTACACAGAAATATAGTAATAGCGCTTGTGGTATTAAAATAAAAAGGTTTTTATGCTTTAGTCAATAAAATATTTTTCTTTTTGCATTTTGAGTATATTCATCTTAGGGTTAGTTAATTTCAGAATTTTTCCTAGACAGACAGATGTAAAAACTGGTTAGTAATTATATAGAAAGTTCTATGTTCCCACATAGGGCATAGATATATAGTGATAATAGGTGTCCAGCTCTCCAACATACAATTGAACATATTATTTCACCTAATACTTCAGATTCTTTGAATCAACCCCATTAGTTTAATGTCACACTTCATATATTACCTAAAGAAAAAAGTTCATTTGCGATTATTAAGAGTCAAAATGTTTGAGCTAAACCCTTTTACAAGTTAGTCCAAAGAGGAATCATGTTCAGGAATCCAAGAAACTCAGAGAGAAAAACACAATCACACAAACCATTCGCCAGTGACAAAGGAGTCAGAAAACTGTTGGAAAACAGAGAGAGCTTGTAATAATGAAAAAAAGGGACAGAGTTTTGTAACCAATCACTTATTTTCTTTTAAAAACACATAACCACAATAACTTTTTGCTTTATACAACCATCTAGAAACTATAAAACAGTACCACATTGTGCATTTTACCTACTTATCAAGGGAACTCCACACTTCATAAGAATTCTATCCATTTAAGAAGGAAAAAGGAGACAGCTAATACCATAATCACAGATACAACATGAGTCCAAGCAAGCATCAATTCTTTGACGTCACCTTTCCCATTTACCAGAGTGGAGAGAGTAAGAAAGAAAGGGAGAAAAAAAGGAAAGCACCACCCACAGAGGACTAATCACATTTCATAGTTACTTTTGACAACTATAGCTCAGGGTGTTACAGAATAGCATCATTTGACCAACACAATGTGGTAGGGGGTGAAAGGAAACATGAGTAGAGCGAGAGGATTTGAAAAAAACATACATTTCACCCTATTCCCCTCCTAAATACTCTTCATTGACACAAACTTCTATGCTAATCTGGAAAATAGCAAGAAATTAATCTTCACAATGTGATAAAGCTTATGAGTTCTCTTTTTTGCAAATGTGAGTGGCTCACAATTTTACAGTTCAAAAGAATAACAATGTCATGATCAATTACTCTTTCTAGATTCCCCACAATCTTTCTGATTATTCTCACCATGCTGGTGTTGCTATACGACAATCAGGGAAGTATGGGTAAGGACCTCAGAGATGATGATACAGGGATAGTGAGATGGAATCTTGCTCTTTCTTAGAAGTCTACATCTTTCTGTCTGTAAGTCTTCCCTCTGATTGGTGGTGGTTCAGAGGAAAGGGCACAGGAAGAACTAATATGGTAGAAGTTTAATCGAGTAACTGGTTTGAAGGTATACAGATGAGATTGTGTAATTAGCAGACACACTAAATCCAAGGCAAACAGTTGGTTATTTGATTGTCCTTAGGTTCAATGGCACCATTAAAAAA